CCACCTTTTAGCATTAATGCCCTAGATAGCTGTTGTCTACTTCTAGTTACCTAGCTAGACTGCTTTTAGCTGTCCTTGTCTCTCTAAACCTGTAACAACTGCTCTAGTAGATATCTAGCCTATTATAAACCCTATCTTATTAAAGTTGTATGTGTTATTATCCTAGATACTATACTTAGCTTTAATATTCTTTATAAAGTTAAACTAGCTTTAAATTACTATAAAATTCTTATAAAAAGCTTTTTTATAGTTATACTTACACTTAAACTTTACTTTAAGCTTTAAGTAACACTTAATAAATATATTAAGCTAGTTTATGCTAACATAGCCTATATTATGCTTAGCATGCAAAGAATTAGCTATATTAGCTACAGCTACTAGCTAGGGGGGAAATCCTTACACATCTAGCTTAAGTATGTGCTAAATAATTACTTGCTCCTTATTATTATCTAGCTTTTATAAGTTAGCTGTATAATTAGCTTAGAAAGGTTGTCTAGCGCGTTAGTTACTTATTATCTTTTAAGGGACCCTATAGATAGCTGCAGTGTGTTAGTTAGAAAGTGTTACATTTTATTTAAAAGCCTAAAGCACAAGCTGCATCTAACATTCCTTTAACGCGTTTAAGTAGTGTTGTTAGGAATGCATTAGTGTAAGAAGAGTAGTGTAGTAGGGTCTTAGCAAAAGTAAGCAACTCAGGTGTGTGAGCGACTTGCCTATGAAGTACGTTACATGTTATTATCTTAGATGCTATACTTAGCTTTAATATTCTTTATAAGGCTAAACCTGCTTTAAATTACCTTAGAACTTTTATAAAAAGCTTTTTTATAGTTATACTTACACTTAAACATTACTTTAAGCTCTAAATAACACTTTATAAATGTACTAGGCTAGTTTATGTAAATATAGCCTAGATTACACTTAGCGTGTAAAGAATTAGCTATATTAGCTATAAATGCTATCTAAGAGGAAATTCCTTATGCATATAGCTTAAGTATAGTCTTAATAATTACCTACTTTTTTTTATTACCTAGCCTTTATAATTTAGCTATAGAATTAGCTTATAAAAGTTATCTAGTGCTATAGTTATTTATTATTTTTTATAAGACTTTATATATAGCTGCAGCATGTTTCTTTAAGAGTTTTATGTTTTATTTAAAAGCTTAGAGCATAAGCTATATCTAACATTCTTTTAGCGTGTTTAAGTAGTGTTGTAGAGAATATATTAGTGTAGAAAGAGTAGTTTAGTAAGGTCTTAGCAAAAGTAAGAAACTTAGGTGTGTAAGCAACTTGCCTGTGAAGTACGTTATAAGTTATTAATAGCTAGTTAAGTAATCTTTAAAGCAAATAGTAGAGAATAGCTAGCTTACTTGTTAAATACGTTATATAGTAAGTGCTTAGTAAGCTTACAAAGTTAGTGTGTAGTAAAGTTAGTCTATATAGATTACACATAGCTGTAGCCTTTATAGTAATAGACTTAAATTTAATACTAAAAGTTTTTTTAACTAAAGGTTAGTTATTAAAAAAGTAAAAAAGAGTAGATAATAAAATAAAAATTAATATAAGTAAAATAGAATGCTAACTAAGTAGGCTAGTAACATAATAAGTAAACATAGTAACTTAGTGTTGTAGCTTGACACTGCTACTCTAAAGTAGCTAGGCCTTATATTAATAGTGCTAAATATATATAATTAAAAGAATTTACTTTAAACTCTAGTATAACTAATGTATAGTAAAGATTAAGCGCTTATGCATATTTATAAATTAAGTGTTAAATTTATTATAAAAGTGTATATTGTCCTAGTTACACTAAGTTTTTATGGGCGAACAACATTCTAAGAGTGCCGGGACAGTCTTGCCGTCAACAGCTCCGCGAATTTAGCACCCATGACGAGTTTCAATCATTACGCGTTCGGCAGTGTCGCGGACTGGATTACCAGTATATTAGTGGTATAGCGCTGGTGGAATCATGAAGGTGGCTCCAGAACCTAGCGGAAATATCTCGAGTGTGAGGGCCAGTTATTTGAATCCATATGGAATGATTGATGCCGGATAGAGGGTGGGGAGAGATGGGCTCCACATGGAAGTTAGTGTGCCGCCGAATGTGGAAGCAGAGGTTACTGTGCCAAGGGTAATATGACGACGCTTAGGAGTGGATAGTATGAGTTTTACGTTGAGGGATATACTCTGCCTCCTTTAAAAAGGCAGTGAAAAGCAATCCTTCATTGCAGTCCTATCTTTGACTGGGTATTATTAATTGCTCGACCAAACACGACACTCTTCTTGCTTAATACTCGCGATGTCGCCTAACCATGAAACTACATTGTGTATGAAGAACATGCCAGCTATTTTGGAGCATGTTAAGCGGGATTTATCTGGTGGGCCCAGAAGGAGCAATCCGACGTTCACGCTGATTGGCTAGGATATTCACGCAGCCAAACCCACATCGAGGTCTCCACGTTTCCCCGCCCCCGCACTACGCCTGACAGAAAGCCATCATTCATCGCTGCCATCCAGTCCTCCATCCAACCCTCCATTTGTCCACGTCTTCCCACCAACAGAAAAGACCGGGCATGCGGATACCAACGCCATGCCAGTCCATCCCACGCGCAGTAGCGCCCCAGATCCGATCCATGTCATGCGGAGACGCAAACATTTTCCAATCCTGCATGGGATGGAACCGACGTTAGCCGGGATGGGGATCCTCATAACAACCCGACCCTACTAAATAGTATGAAAACTTAGCGCTCCTGGAGACCCTAAGGTGTTGAGCTTCGGCTACCTCATTCCTGGAATCCTAGTCTAGACAGTCTCCATTTGTAAGCAGCCATACAAACATAGAAGGAGGGGACAGACATGTCTCTAGAATCTGCGTTTGTCAATTCTGTTATTACTGGTGAACGAGAGAAAAAACTTGGTAAAGGGATCAGTGTACACTCGGACGGGAAAATCGAGATTGAAAGACGAAGGGAAATATGCGCGCAGCGAGATACTACGGAAAGGGGGATATTAGGATCGAGAATGATGTTGAGGAAGAAAGATGTGGGGAGGGAAAAGTCAGAGTAAGTCATACATCACTGTTAAGTATCAATCCTATTCTCCCCTGAAAAATAAAGTGGTCGGAATCAATTTTGAAATCGGGACAATTAGATCGCCCCCTCCTACGTCGGCATCTGCGGAACAGACCTGCACGAATTCACCGGTGGTCCAACCTTCGCACCCCTCAAGCCCCATCCCATAACCAAGGAGACTTTACCCATCACTCTCGGCCACGAGTTCTCTGGCGTTGTCACCGAAGTTGGGCCTGGCGTTAACACACTGCAAGTCGGTCAGCACGTTGTTGTCCAACCTACGCTCTATTGTGGCACTTGCAGCGCTTGTTTGGCTGGGTTCGAGAATGTGTGTTATAAAGGTGGGTTCATAGGTCTCAGTGGTAGTGGAGGGGGCCTCAGCGATTCGGTTGTTGTGCCTGCGGGATCGGTGTTGAAATTACCAGGAAAAATTCCGCTGGACATTGGAGCGTTGGTTGAACCGCTTTCAGTAGCCTGGCATGCTATCTCCGCGGCCCATTTAACGCAAGAATCGACCGTTTTAGTTCTTGGTGGAGGTCCGATTGGATTAGCGGTTGTCCAATGTCTTGTTGCGTTGAAAACCCATAAAATTATTCTGAGCGAGGTCTCAAAATCAAGACAGCGGTTCGCGAGGGAGTTTGGAGCACACCATGTCATTGACCCGAAAACAAACGACTTGGTTGCTGCAAGTAAGGAGCTCTCTGGAAGTGATGGGCCTGACGTTGTGTTCGACTGCGCTGGCGTCCCCGCAAGCCTTGCAACAGCATGCCAAGCGGTGAAAGCGAGGGGTACAGTGGTTAATGTCGCAATATGGGAGAAAGAAGTTCCCTTCCAGCCGAATATGCTAGTCTTTAAGGAAGCAAAGTACACAGCTGTCCTCGGTTACCAGAGGGAAGATTTCCAGGCTGTGATTGATCATTTGGCGAACGGTGAGTGGTGACTATAAAACAGGCCGAGAAGGATTGTCGATTCTAATTAGAATACAGGGAGCCTGAAGCCGGAGAAGATGATTACTAGTAAAATACGTTTGGAAGATCTCGTAGAAGGGGGGATCAAAGCCTTGATAAACGATAAGGAGAGTCATGTTAAGATTCTTGTCGAGGTTGGTGGAAAATAGTGCCTATATACACTCGCAACTAGACACAAGAAAGTCTTTCAAGAGAACTTGTTGTATGCATATATCGCTCGCATATTCTCTGGTCAGCAAAATGAAAAGTGCTATATGAAAGTACCGTCCTCGGGAAAACTCCAGCACAGCCCAGGTAATAAGCTAACTTTAGATAGCTAAATTTTGAAAGGGCAATGGTGTCAGACCAATATAATATTCTAGAGGCGCGTTCAGCGAAAAACTCGGACCTCAGGAGCGCCCCTATAGTTCAAGGCACTATATAGTCAACATCAAGTCAATTCTTCGTCCGGAAATCGGACCTAGCTAGTGAGTTAACTAAACCCAACCCCTACTCTGATCCACACATTGGTCACATCTTCACCACCTAGAAACCGAGGACTTCGTCAAATTCAAGGGAGGCCTTTCTAGTCTTTAGTTAAAATCTGCTATCCGTGGATCTCAAAAAGGCTTATATAGAAACTTTAGGGCACAGCCTCCCAATACAGTTCGAGTTTGAATAATGTTACCAGGTTTGCTTTCGAGTTTAGTTTGTCAGTGTTTACACGGTGGCGGTCCATCTAGTTATGTGTTTACACAACCGCAGTACTGCACTATTGGTATGCTATTCAACCATATATTACCATAAGCACCGTTACGCATGATAGACAAACTTCACCTATCCTTCTCTAATCTTGAAGTGCCATCGTCCAACCCATTCCCACATCCCGTAAGCTAGATCCCATCACACCCTGCCACCACAACCCCATCTTAAAAAAATCGCCCACAAGCAGCCTCGGACATATATTAGTGGAACCGATTTTTATCAGCATTCTCATCATTCTCCAAGAACACTTCAATCTTATTATCCATTTTGTGCGCAATCTCATTGCAAAACAAACACGCGATAATCGCGACAATTCCAAAGCTCAAACTACTCAACGCAGTTGTTCTGAGTCCAACGACGTAGCTCTGCTGAAAGGCTGCACCAGCCGCGGCGGCGATATCGTTTGTTATCCCAGGGACTTGAGTTAGCGCCGAGGCGCCGAGGGGAAGTGCTGTGAGAAGTGCTGGAACAGAGTCTGCAGGAAGTCCGGCGGCCGTTGCTGCAGCGGGTATGAGCTTGGCAGCGTTGGTGGATTGGACGTTGGTTAGGATCGTAGTGTATACTGTTAAATTCTATCAAAGGCCTGGCTCTTCCTATGGGTGCTTGCGTACATACCTGCTATCGCGACAGATCCACCGGCAAACCGCGACACCCCAGCTAAGCCACCAGAGATACCGAGCTCAACTTGCGGAACACCGAACTGAATGAAGGCAATAGAAAGGTATTGAGCCCATCCGAAGCCAGTTTCAGCGAGGAAGACAAACGCAATCATCATTCCCTTTCGGTTAGGGTTTCCGAGGCCTAGCAAAGCACCGAAGACCACCATAATGCTGACTGAGGCAGTCAGAGTCCACTTCCAATGCCCAATCTTACGACCGAAGATAGTTAGAAGAGCGGCACCGAAACAGAGACCTTGGAGAATTAGCTAAAACGCTGATCAACTCAAGAAACCCGTGCATACCTAAATTCTGGGGGAGTGTCATAACAATGCCGTATTTGAAGTCGGTCGTTGTATCCGTAAAGAAAACCGCGATCATCGTTGGATAGATCACATTAATTGCATAGTAAAACATGGTCACGACGAAACCAACGATAAAGGGGGCAGTAAGTTCCCGACCCTTGTCACGAGTGAAGACATGAGTAGGCGTAAGTGGCTGCTTGAGCGGCGCAAAGGTTTCCCAACATCCAAATATCACAAGACATGTAAAGCCGCTGACAAGGGTTCCAATGACTTTCGGGTTGTTAGATGGAAGAGTGGTGGTATAGACGATGCCGACGAGGATGAGGGTTGCGGAGAGAATGAAGAGGATTGAGCCGACATAGTCCAGTTCCTTGAAGGCTTGCTTCGTGGGAAGACCTTAGAAGGAGTGTTAATAGAAACAAGTAACTTGAGCATTTCACATACCTCGCGGGTGTTTGGGAGGGAAGTAGTAGAAATAAAGCCCGAGGAAACTGAAGAACACGCAGATTGCCGGAGCGTAAAACAGCCATCGCCACTATTTAGAAGGTCTGATCAGGACAAATCCAAGGGGTTCTGTTAATGTGACCTCACCGTGTCTGCATGCTCTGCCGTAAATCTTCCGGCTACAGGCCCTACTACAACTGCAAAATATACACCAGCATCTAGCTGAATTAGCACACTTAGTTTGCATCTCATTCATGAGACTCAATACCGGCAAGAACGATTGCGGCAGCACGCCATTTGTTCGGAAGAAGCTCGGGGAGAGCAAAGGCAGCAAGCTATCGATGTTAGATCAAACTTGTCTGGAGAGAAGACCATGGCTTCATACTTGAGCATTTCCAGCCCCCTAAGAAACATTCGTCAGTCCATTGCACCTAGAATCTCCCCACCGTACTCACAAAGCCTATCAGAGACATGGCGGCCATCATCGCAGTATTGTTCTTTGCAGAACCTCCAACAATGAATCCGACGAAAAGTACGACGTTCCCGCCAACAATAAACCACCGACGCCCAAAAAGATCGCTATTTGCTCCACAAACCCTATTAGTTGTTAGCGGGAAGAATTAGACCATGCGTAAAATTTTCCGTACATAAAGGCAATTGTCACCGTCATCTGCTGAAGTCAGCATCCATACCCGTTATATCATTCTTAAGCACGTACAGTATAGAGCGCAATATAGAAGGCGGCAGCGGAAGGGTCACCAAGTTGTGTCGCAGTTACAGATTGGACAGCACTGAGTGCGGGCACAATCCAGAAGCTAATGCCATAAGATAAAGCCAGAATCTGCATGTCAGTGAGTAATTGGTGTACAGTATTGGGTGGCGGGTACTCACGATGACCACACACCATGTCTTGAGAGTAACATTGTATTGGTCATCGCTCTGCGGAAGGTACGATGTCGCTGCCTTTTCTATGTCATTATCCTTGAGGCTTCCGGAGGTCGTCACGGCCACAGCAGACGTTTGATCGACTTCTGGCTTTTCTTTACTCATCGTCGTGGTTGTCATTCGTAGGTGTAGCGAAACTTGGCCTCGGAACACAAAAAAGCTAGATATCTGCAGGAACATGCTTCAAGCAAACGTGTGGGCCCCTCGAAAATTATATCGTAGAGCTGTGATCATCATCTCTTAGCTTCCTAGCACTGTGCATGCCAATCCGTGAGCTAGTATCCTCCCATGTCGCATTTTGCCCTCCGGGTAGCGATATTCATGGCTAAAAGTGTATATGAAGGACTAAACTTAAGCCGAGTTTAGCGCGTAAGACGCTCATTGTGAGAACTGAGGAAATTGTTTTCCGATGGGTGTTGCAAACTCTGGCATAGGGCTACGGGAGCTTGGGCCAGCGACAACCCCATCGAGGTGTGCCAAGAAACGTGATCTAGAAAAAGACCTTGGGAGTTAGGTTGTTGATGATGAGCGGATGGTGCTGTTATAGAATGACGATCACTGAGTCAAAGGGTTGTTGGAGATGATGCCAAACCTTCTTTCAGCTCTTGAGAATGGTCCTCGGAATTCTTCTTGCGCCTCGAGGCCTGGAGGCCTTTCTCGGTTCTACCTTTCCCTACCCCTCTCCCCATGGAGAAACAACATCACGAGTCCTGCACCAATATGGCCCTGCCAATCTGTATGATGTGCATTCTTGACACCGGAAAAGAGAACCGAGAATGCGGTTGGCGGTTCGTGTGTGGGGGAGGGAAGGCAAGTCGCAAGCGAAGAGTCGAGGGGAGGAAGGAAGAGATTGGCCAATGATGCGCAAGGGGCTAAACCACTTCGAGTCACACCTGGAGAAACATGACTTCTAAATCTAAAATATTTACCCAGATGTCCATATAAGGAGATAAATCTTCTGTTTTAAACATAATCTGTTGTACTCTTCGCACCATTATCACATGGCCGGATTTCGATAAGAACTGAGTACGAAGTCTGTTTTTGCGCATGAAGCTTGCCTGCACTTAATGCAAGCACCCAAGAAATTCTGCGAACTTTGCCCAGTCTACATACTGGAACTTTAAAAAAGCAACACAACGAAATTAATTTAGGGGTTGCTCTGCTGGAACTTGTAGCATTCTTGTTGAGCCTCTCAACCACTGTTTGCATCTAGGGGTCTTCCACAACTACACCATCAACGAAACGTGTCAACAGACAAGACTTTTAAGCCGCCCTTTGTAGCAAGAACAAGCCCGAATTACTTCCAACACCCCGTTGCACGTTGTAAACGATCCATCATTTGAAATTACCGAACGATAGAGGTCGGCGCCGAGGGCACCAGCCGGTAAGCGGTAGATAAGAATTATGGTGGAAGAAATCAATTCTAACCGAAAGATAGACTACGGCCGGCCGATGGGCATGAGATATATCCAAGTTTCGTTTGCGACCGCGGTTCGCATTCTTGAAAGGCAAGAATCTCAGCCTCCAAATTACCTTAACTCCAGAGAAAATGCAAACCCTGTTTAATGTACACCCATCATCATACAATATTGTCCACCACTCTCGTTAATCATGTGTTCACCGAAACGCGGCATGGCCCCCAACATCCTTAATCTCCTCCAGCTTAACCCCCATCTTTACAATGCTGTACCGAATCATCCTTGGGTCTAGACTCATTGTCCTCCTTAGTGCATGCTGTGTTCTAGGGCTCGCATCGAAGCGCATGATAAAGTGGTGTCCGGTGTGATGTACGGATTGCAGCTTTCGTGCTGGCTTGGGGAGCAGGAAAGTCCCCCAGTTGGTGATGCCGCGAACGACGCCGTTCTTTTCTAGGACGATTTTACCGGCAGTTTTAACGATTCTAGAGGGGAGAGTTAGGAGCGGGGGAGTTGAGGAGGGCATGGAGGAGCTACTCTTTGACTTCGGAGAGGCGGCCTGGTCGGACCTACAGCTGTTAGTAATTGGGTAAGCTATCTCTTCGAAGGCTGGCTTACCACTCCTATCATCTCGTACAACATGTTGAGTCGCGTCGTCTTCAGTCTTGCGATCGTCGTCGAGAAAAGCTCTCGTAGTAGCTCGGAGAAAATGTCTTGCATACCATTTTCTCTTGGCATTTCTCTTGGCACCCTAGCTCTTCCGTCATATCTCTGGCTTGCTCTCCAACTTTTCCTCGCATTCCTCCACGCATCCAAAATGGCCGCTCGCCTCTCTGTTGCACGCACAGCTCGTCAATTGACCTCCTCCGCTGTCCGCAGACCACCTTCTTTCGTCCCGGCGACATGTCAACGATGGCAACAAGCTCCACTTGAGCGCCGGTTATTCTCGGTATCGGCAGCAGGTCAGAAATTCATGATAACACCAATTGGAAAATTTCTGTGGAAAAAATGTGTGCTGACTGGAATGTAGTAAAAGAGAAGAAGTATACCGAAGATCACGAGTGGATTGAGCTCTCCTCTGACGGGAAAACCTGTACTACACCTTCCTCTCAACGTCTGGCATTCCCGACGGAGGACTGACGGGATTTTCTCTCCATCTAGGTACTCTCGGAATTTCTGATTACGCTGCTAAAGCCCTCGGTGATGTCGTGTACATAGAGCTCCCCCAAATCGACATGGATATCAGCGCCGGCGACACAATCGGCGCTGTCGAGTCTGTAAAATCAGCCTCTGATATCTTGACCCCGATTGGCGGAAAAGTTACTGAGGTGAATAGCCAGCTAGAGGCGAAACCTGGAAGCATAAATGCGGATCCTGAGGGCGAGGGATGGATTGCGAAGTTGGAGGTTGCAGGGGAGCCGGAAGGGAAGCTGATGAGCAAGGACGAGTATACCGCTTTTACAGAAGACGCGTAAATTGAATAACGGGACATAACGTACGACAAGGGAATATAAACAGATGGGATGGATATCAACTCGGCACGGTTATGGTGGCTCTTTCAACAATGAAGCGATTCGAATGGTACAGGATTCCTTATGTGTGTCCTCAATTCACGATCTAGCTGTCCCGATCCAGCATTAGGTCGATTTTAGCAGCATCCGGCTTTTCCTTGCTATACATGAGAAAATGTCCTCCTTTTATAGGTTCTATTCCTCTCTTGAAGGCCAGAACCGCCAATTTCGGACAGACAAAGCTGAACGGAGGCCGACTCAAGAATATACGAAAGCTAACAAACTCTGTTCAAAATTTACAGATTACTTCAACAATTTTGACATAGCCCAGCACTTCTCTCATCTCAGACTCTACCACCCTACTCCTCATCTGCAATCTTCATGACCACCTTCCCCCGCGCGTGTCCTGTTGCTGTTCTTGCGAATGCCTTCTCATAGTCCTCAATGGTCCACACACTATCCACCGAAGTCTTCACCAGCCCCTTCTCAATAAACATCCCAATCGCCTTCAACTCCTCCCCTCTCGATTCCATAATAAACCACTCCGTCTTGACGCCTGCAGGCTTCCCTCCCTCTGGCTCTTTAAACCCAGCCACAACACTCACATAAACGCCACCACTCTTCACTGCATTCCATCCATCAAGCATACTCTTCCCCCCAACACAATCAAACACTACATCGAACTTCCTCTCCTCTTGCCCGCCTACCCAGTCCTTCATACTTGTCTTCGTATAATCCACAACCTCCACTCCTCTCTCCTCCAAAAAAGTCCTGTTCTTCACACTCGCCGTCCCCACCACAAACGCGCCAGCAATCTTCGCAAATTGCACCGCAAAACTCCCAACCGCGCCCGCGGCCCCGAGCACTAAAACCCTCTTCCCAACCGCCTGCCCCCCCACAACCCCCTCATCATCAGACACATACGGCACAGCGCTCAAACCCCCCTTTTCAAACACCGCCTGCCACGCTGTAAGCGCGCTCATAGGCACAGTCGCCGCATCCACCATCCCCAAGGTCTCGGGGATCCTCGCAGCCTCAGATGGCAAGATCGTCGCATATTGCCGTGCTGTGCCCTCTCTATCCGCCACCACTCTCCCATATACTTTATCCCCCTTCTTAAACTTGCTGCCTTCAACCTCTGTCATAATTGTCCCGGAGACGTCGTAGCAAGGGACATGTTCAATAGGCCAGTTTACGAAAGGCGCCCAGGTTAGTTCGCCGTTTGTTATGGCGGTGGAATGGACGCGGATGAGATGTTCACCCGCTTCCTCCGCTCTGGGAATGGGAGATGAGGTTGTGAGGGAGAGGGCGGAGGTTTGCACGTTGAAGATTAGGGATTTTTGGGTGTCGGGGAGGGGTGGGGTTGTCATTGTGTATAAACAGTTGTGGGGATAAAGAGGCTGGCGGTAGGGTGGGGTGGAATTGGCTGTCTATGTGTATTGCAGTAGTCGTTTGTTTCTTGTTTTGCTTAACAAAGTCTAAAAATCTCGTCGGCAGAGAGTACAAGTCACGTAGTGAGAATGTAAATGCAAGAAAAGAAATTCCCTATCCTGAAGATGCCCACTCATCTTTATATACCGTACAATCTTCTCCCCATCGCTCTACCAAGACTTCACATATTTTGAATAACCCATATCAACTTGTCTTTGCGTTCCCCATCCCGAGTGGCCGATGCCGCAACCTAAAGTGCAACCAGTATGTTGCAACATCCCAGTGCCGTATATAGTAAGCGCATGCATCAAAGCACTGCATTGCTAAGGCGGAAGGAACGGTTCAGGGGTACGTGGAAATAGGAATGCAGTGACAGAAAGCTGGATATGAGCGCGGAGAAACAACCTTAGAAAAGCGTGGAATGCAACAAACGCTTCGTAATCAAATTGCAGGGCTTGGTACAGTGCGCGAGAAAGCCAGGGTCGTCTGGATGTGAAAAAATTTAGGTATGGTAAGCTTCGGCTTCGGCATCTCGGGTACTTTTTGACATCCGGGTCTTGGCATTAGATGAGGGGGAAAGGGTCTCCGCAGGCATGTCTGAACCACAACACAATCGGCAAGGAGATAGAGATGAAGACCGAAGTATGAAAGAACTAGTTTTGAGGTGCATTTCGTCGTGTAGATGATCTATGAACAACATACTATACAAACCCAGCTTCCATATCCATTGCCCGAAAATTCACTTCACTCCAGTCTTCAAATGTAGGATGCAAAGCCCCCTTTCACATAAATTGATTCTACGAGAAGATATTCGCTCTCGATTTCTTTAAGCTCGAAGAATCCTCGTACTAGTCTCCAAATTAGCTTCGTTGCATTCCATCCAAAAGCTGCGTTTGTTAGTGACTTACCTCCAAGTACCCCGTAATTTCAACCAAGAGAGTGAAGCAATCCACTAAATCCGTCAAATCCTCTCCAACGCCACCATTAACGCTGCCGTTCACACCAATCGTTGTACCCAATCCTCCATTAATCCCGCTAACGCCTACGTTAACACTTCGCTTGAAAATTGCAACCATTGAATGTCGATTCTCCTTTAGAAACTCCCTGGCTTGGAAGATGGTCTGATCGTTCTGGCGGCCGCGCGCAACAACTGCGGCGTTGATGACGCGAAGCATGGCTAGCATAAGGTCATAGTATTTTTTAAGGGCATCGGGGTTGTCGAACTCTACACGATTGAATTAGATAGCGAGTAGAAGAGAGAGAAAAGGGACTTACCGAGTCCGATATCTGGATCTACATCAAAGATACGCGATTCTCGAACCGATAGGAATAGGCCGGCATTCAGGACATACGCAGCGCCGAGGCGGGTTTGGGATATCCGTAGAAGGAGCGCGAGACTGGCATCGTAGTACGATAAGAGCATAGAGACTTGGGGAGCTGCCGCGGCTCGGAGATCGTCTGGGATGTGCTTGATGTTGTCGACTAGCACACCAATGAAGTTTAGTGACACGAAAGCTTCCAAAATGTATTTAGACTCTTGTCGAATGGCCACGGCAACCAATGCATTGAGAAGGAGTAGGGCAGAAACTTTACATGTCCCTTGACCACTGTAGGCATCGTCGCATATTACCTCGAGAAGGTGGTCCCCACAGGTCTTTACCGTGTTCAACACGTGACGCCCCAATGGCGATCCCTTGGTAGCTTTCTCAAAGGTGCCTTGGATGTACCTGAAACAGATCTGGTAGCAGTACTCGCGGAGCTCTGTGTTCGATACAGGACTGTAGATACCAACCAAGGCTGCGCGGAAGAGCTGCGAAAGTCGGTCATTTGCGAAGTCCCCAGCCTTGGTCTTTTCGAACGCAGTAGAGTCGAATTCAATCCTTTGAATAAGTGACACAGCAAGACTAACAAGTTGCAGGGCCTTGAATATGTCGCTGTTGTAGGCCATCTCAAGCTTAGGTAAGATTACTTGAAGCGTTTGGAGGATGAACGAAGTTCGAGCGCTAACGTCAAACTCGCAGCCCTGGAGCGTAACAACCAATAGCTGGACCCACGACCGGAGGATATCTTCATGGTAGCTGACAATCTGAACCCGACGATTGTATTCGGCAAAAGAGACGAGCAACCGTTGGGCTTCTTCAAGCTCTTCAAGCTGTTTTTGCTCATCCTGAGGCGGGCTTTCTTTTTTCCAAACCTTCATCTTGAGGAGGAAGAGCTGCTCGATCAAAGGCAATACGAAGAGCATCACACCATCCTTTTCCTCTTGACAAACAGCTAAATTGATGCCTTCTAGCAGTTTGTGGTCAGCTAATGGTCTCTCTGGGAAGTCGAACTCGATAAAGTCAAATAAATCGAAGACATTTGGATTAGGAATTGGATCCTCGCCCGGCCTTATCGTTGTACCCAACAAAACAGATTGGATCCGTGACTTGAGTGTCGGCATTCCCTCTCTGACTGTCAATCGCAGTTCTCTTGATTCGTAGTCTAGAAAAGCTGCGCGTTGCTGCAGGAAGTTCTGTAGAGCAATGGCCGATGGTTCGCAGAGGAAAGCGGCAAATCCGGGGCTGCCCTGCTGTTCGAGTTCGAATGCTTGGCCAAGAGAGAAACCATTCCATAATGTGCTTCCGTCGACAGCAACAAGCTGAGGAGCCTGGATAAATAGCAGCTCGTTAATTCGTAGTTCCTCCATCACGATCGAACTTGTCAGCGGCGATCTCCACAATTTCTGAAGCAACAGCCAACATCGACTCCTTATTTCAGATTGCCAGGCAATGAACGTGTTCCCATTGTGATCTGGGTAGTTCACAGCAAGTATTAGAATGGCGTGGAACAAAGACTGCCCATTTGCCCAAAGGCTGTCATCAGCAACGCGCACACTTGTGCTGCCGCAGGAAAGGCCGAGCAGGATGTGGGCTATCGTAGGCCTTGTTGACACTGCGGCGAGACAACTGTTCAGGAAGTCAAGGATTCGAAGTTTAACAATGTACCCAGATGCTTCTTGACCAGCCTCAATCTCATCCTCGCTTTGTCGCATCAGGCTAAAAAGACAGCGCCCGATACGCTCGGCTTCATTATCTTTCTCCAAGATCCCGACAATTTTGCTACGGCCTGAACGCTGGCCAAATCCTGCCGGAGATACAGCGAGCTTTCGAGATGAAGACAACTTTTCGAGAAGCTGGAGAGAGGCAATTGTAAGCGTCTCGTGTCCGGTGCCGCAGTAAAGTCCGAGATCGACGATGAGCTGTAAATTGTTGAGGATCGCGTCTTCAAAGGAGGCGAGGGCCGGATTAGAGACCGGTAGATGGTGCATAGAGGGTTGTTGCTTCATAAAAGGCCTGACGATGTCAAGGTATGTTGCCTGTAACCTCATAATCAGGTCCATGACCTCAATGCTTAACATTAAGGATTGAACCAAAGGAGAATCTGATGGTGATGCATCCACTTCATTGACATCGTGATGGGAAGCTGCAAAAAGAGCTCTTAAGACTTTGTCGTTAAAGAGCCATTCCATCACGCGGGTGAATGGATGAAGGGTGACATAGGCAGCTAAGGATGAAGCTTCGATGACCGAATCAACTGTGATGTTGGACTTGTTTGCAAAGACAACAAGGTTCTCGTTGAATGTCGAAAGAGACGCTACTATAAAGCGTAGACAATTCCATCTTAATACATTACGCTCCAATGAATCTTGCACGTCCTGGGATCGCTCTGCAAAGACTGATTGCATGGCGAAGTCGACATATTTCTCGATGCCGGGCATTCTATGGGTTGAACCTAGGCTCTCCGGGAACGGCAGAGCATCATTAAGGCCCTGATCATCGGAATATGGTTCCACAAGAGAATGGAGAAGGTTAATGAAGGCAACGGATTCATCATACTGGTCTGCCAACGTAGCCCAAAATTCGTCTCGATGAAGAGGGCCTGGGACATTACTCTGTTTAGAGCCAACATAGAAGCCGGATACTGTCCAGCTGTCAAGATCATTCCAAACGGCAGTTGCACGCTGGACGTTCTTGTATGAAAGTAAACCGGAAATAGCATCGAAAGCAGCGGCGCGGACGCGGCTGTCGACCTTGTCCGTACACAATCCAAAGCAGAGACCTGTGATACTGTATTCAGGATGGTCCAATAACCAGTTCCGTGCGAGGGGACTCTGTCGGCAGAGATGGGCAAGCAGACGTAGATAGCTCTCGAGCATTTTCCCACTTTCTGGCTCCTCAATCTGATCTGCATGGTGCTGCGCCTGTTGATACAAGGCGCCCTGAATAGTTTTCTTTGGCTCGTGAATATTGGTTCGGAACTCAATGAGTTCATTGAATATGTGCGTGTAGCTCAAAGAGCTCGTTCTTCGTATTTTTCCAGAGGCTGATGCTCCTTCTTCCATCAGGAAGTTGTGCGCAAACTCGGCATTGGACTCCCCGGTGGATATAGCTCTGAGCATCTCACAAAAAGCCGCGATGCGCGGAGTAGGCTGTCGTTTCGCGGCCCATTGCAGGAACCCATACAGATTGCTCTCTTTGTCACTCCAGAAATCGTCTGCGGCTTCTTCAAATCCGTCGTAGGCGTATGAAATGATGACTAAGAACCGTTCCAGATGCAGAGTTTGTTCTGCTGGGCTTCGCTGGAAGTGTGATTGAAGGCGCCTTCGTTGATCATCCTCTTCAACTTTGAGCCTTCGAAGAGTATCGGGCATGTTCGTTATAAAGGAGTCCACGAAGGTCTGCAGCTGCTCCATAACAAGGACTTTGAAGAAGTCTTCGGCCTGTGCCGAGTCCGACGGCAAGACAGCGGTGTCATGGAGCAGCCAAGATATCATGCTCGTTTTTGCTGGGTCGTACCATCGAGTCGGGCGGACATCTTGGCAGAAAGACAACATAAAGCTGAAAGCTCCATCATTGAGAGCTTTTAGAAACACCTCAGATCGCGCGCTAGCTTCTTCTTCGAAATTGACGTTTCGGAGATCGGGGTCATGGGGATTGGGGTCGATGTATCTGCCGCTGTACTCTGCCAACCACCAGGTCAAGGCTGCAGCATGAAAAGTCCGCAGAGACCAATTATCGCTCTCTCTACCAGCTATGAAGGAGGCATGCAGGGCCCTTGCATCACTAAAGCTGGTGTTCGACTCTAATGCTACCCAAGAAGCTAGCCGGATGAACATAGGCACATAGTGGATGGTGATAATGTCGTGCCTGTCGAGGGTCTTGATCTTTTCCAGGAGAGCTTTGAAGTTGTCCAGACTCGCAAACCCAGGTTTCACCATGTGGGTGCAGATTGCAGCAAGGTTCTCGTGTTGGCGAGTAAGGCTCTGGCGTTGGAGGGTCATGATCTCGACAAAGCCCGGCAGCGGCACCTGGCCCACAACCTGGGCACTCTGCAGACGCTCCGAAATCTGATGCAGCCACCTCTCTATAGCCTCCATGCTCGTCAGGCACTTGGCCCAGAATTTGTGGGCATTCTCGAAATTGACCCCCTCAATACCCATTATGAGGTGGACCGCCTGTAGCAGCGTCTCCTGGCCCATGACCTCGGCCTCCCCACTGTCTAGCGCGGCCTTTACTATTATGCGCAGACACAGGAGCAGGGTCTCTCGTCGGAGGTGGAAGCGGATCACGGCGGTCTGGAGCTGCGAACGGTCAAACTCCAGGGCTTCAGTCTCCGCGCCGAGGAAAAGGGCCGCGGCCTGCAGCTCGTCAAGATCCAAGGCCTCCGCCAATTCCAGCGTCTGCTGCTTGAACTCATCGTTGACCTCATATTCAGTGTTGTCAATTGGGAACTTGCCTGGGACATGTTAGAAGCGTTCTCAACGACAGGAAGAGCGGCGTACCGGAGCTCAGCGCCTTCCGACTTTGGTCGTTCTTTGGCGGCTTGTCGAGGAGCGCCTTGAACTCGTCCAGGCTGGCCTCCAGTCTCTGCACGAGCTTCTCCAAGACCGGCAGCTGCAGATCCGTCAAGGCACAGAGGTCACGGTGAAGGCCCTGAAGGCGGGTGAGGCTGTCCGCCTCTGGGAAATCAGCCATGGTGAGATCAGACTGTCGGTTTGCGCATTGTGCGCCAAGGGGGTAGGCGGCGCGGTGGCAGTGGCAGTGGGAGTAGCAGGGCCGTGGTTGCTGTTTTCCTGATGTGCGCCTGCTGGAAGCTTTGGAGAAGAACGCGCTTGGACGCGCTACATCCCTGCCGCTTAGTCAGCACTGAAGCTTTCACCCCCGGCCAGAGCTCCGCAGAAACAGCAAGCACTCCCAAGCGGCAGGCTGAATCCATCGACGCGCTTTCGAGACACTTGGAAAGAAGCACGATGCTCTAGTGATGCCCTCAATTGAGCTTCTACCCCTAGAAATGCCCTCGTCCCCTCTCAGTCCACCCCAGACGGAGAGGAACCCGCACTCTCCAACATGGGGGCGACCAACATCCAGGACGCAAAGGGTAAGCGTACCCCTGCTCTGGTGATTTCGTGTCTAATATGGGCTTTGCAGTCCTCATCTCATCCACCAGAGTCATAGACAGAACCAATGGTCTCAAGGATCTCATCCACATCCTTAAGCACAACCGTGGCAAGCCTAGTCTCGAGAATCTGGGAAACAAAGCCTACCTTGCGCTTTGCGAAACCCTGTTCCAGTGTATGCGGGACGAGCGGTCGTCATGGCTTCGTAGCAGAACCAAGTCCGCGAAAACCTCAGTCCTCCTGCCTCTCTCCGCGACTGCTCTCCGGCACATCATAATTTCTGGCGTTCGCGCAATCAAAAGCTCGACAGTCGAGTTAATCGTTGATCACATAGTCGACGTGTTGCCGGGGAAGGGTGGGGCGCTTGTAAAACCGCTGCTCGAAGACCTTCCCAAGGCTCTACGGGCGCTTCTGGAATACCAGCCTCACGTCGAACGTCTTTCGCGGGAGTGTTGGGATGCTGCCGTGGACTTCTGCATTGAATCGCTCTCGAGCTTGTTCACAGAGCCCGACCTGGGACCTCCAAACAGCTGGACGAGCACCGGCCTCTCGTCTAGCCGTGGACGTACCCCCAGTGAGTCGGCTGACACAGCATTGAAGCCCGGCGCAAGGACAAAGTCAATCCCCGACGATCTTGTACACACGGCGGAAGATTTCGTGAATTGTATACAGTTTCTAACGAGAAGCTCAAACGCCCCGGTGCTGGAAAAGGCCGGTCAAATATTGTCAACCTTGGTTCAGTTTCTGGAACGAAAAATTGGCCGTGGATACTCAGCCGCATTCGTTGCAATCAACTCCATCTTAGTGCGGACAACTCTTCACTCCACTGACCTAACCAAAAGCACCATTCGAGACCTATTGCCCATAATGAAGTCTATGTGGGCTGATCCCTTTCTTAGGGATGAGATCTTGATCACTCTAATGCGCACAGAAGCGCATATCTCGAGCATGCTAGCTGAAACGCACGAGGAAACTACTAGTTCCGAGCTCGAGGCTCTCATAGAAACAATCTACGGAGATTACCGGCGAAGACAAGAAAGCTCGGCCCTTCAATATCTCGAAGACCATCATCTCTGCTTTCGACATATAGGCAAAGCTTGCAATGATACTCATCCGCTAAACACATATGCATTCTCAATGGGGCCGGGCAATAGCCGCTGTGAAGGTCTTTGGACGACAGTGTCTGCTATTGCTCACTTCTCCTTCATACTCGACGAGAGGAAACGCAAAATATCTCAAGAACGAGAAGATAGGGAAGAGATACTGATAAAGCGACTGCGAATTACCCATCATTTTCAAGAGTACCTTCGCCACATCTATGAACCTAGATCCAGTGCGAAAAGGGCTGCATTACAAGTCGTTGCCTTCATGGCCCAAGAAGGCCCGTTGGACACGGAGGACCTTAAACAGATGTTGGAGAAGCTCACTGTTTACATTGCAGACGAAAATCCGGCTCATTCAACATGGGCAATGATAGGGCTAGCAGCGTAAGTCTTCCAATTCTAGGACGGTGACAACATCTGACGTAGAACAGGGCGGCCTTTCAAAAGTCTGCTAGTCATGTTTCTCTATCGCCACTTTGGATATCGGCGTGGCAAAGTGCATCTCGAGTTATCACATCGATCTCTTCGTCCAGAGCCGCATGTCATTTGCTGAATGTTCTCCTTCGGTTGGAAATCGTTCCCTATTCGGCGATATCTGACATTGCTCAAAGCATGTTACTATCCATCGAGCTCAGTGGGCCGGCGTTACTCACAGAAACTAGTTCCTCTTTGTTGGCGACCATTATACAAGAAAGAACCACCGAAAACCCAACACTCTTTAACCAGACGGCGGAACGCATCTTGAACTGGCTATTCACCAAGTGGACGCCAAGTAAGTAATGGCGTCCTTGGCAGAATCACATTCATACTAACAGTCGCAGGCATGTTTCCGGAGAGAACATATGCTTTGTTAAATGCTCATCATTGTGATGCTAGAGATATATTACGTTTACTCCATTCCTGTCTCGATCGGCCTTTTACTCCTATTGATGCTTCACCCTTCATGGTGCTAGGCCCAATCGCGCAGGCTCAGATTCAGACTTCCCAATACAAGAAGCTTACCCACTACCTGCTTCTACTGGATGATCAAGAGAATTTTCAAGTATCAGTGGATCTGAAACGCGTCCTCATAGATTCCACACCTTCGGAGCACCATCCTATGCAGCTGGAGACCAAATTACTCGAATTCTGCATTTCCGAGCTAGAGAAGACCCGGCAACGTTGGAGAGCATGGTCTAAGGAGAGTCCGCAAGGTATAACCTCGGACATGATGCGTATCATTACAAACTTCTGCATTGTCGTCTCAGCTGTTGGATACCTCAGCGATTCTGATGATCGTCGCACCCCAAGTCTTGAATCTTCCGTCGACAGTCTTACACAATCGTTCGTGAGCTTCCTATCTAGACGCGACATTGAGCAATACAAAGTAGACGCAGTCCTAGAAGTCTGCACACGCAGCCTTCCCGACATTCGCCAAGTGAAGACGTTGTCACGGGTATCATTCAAAGAAGCAGGAACCTTCCTGCTCGCTGTCTATCTATCTAAAACTCTCGGAGATCGAACAGAAATGAAAGAATCCTTCTATGCTGAAGAAGATGATTTCATGGATATTGACGAGACTCCAAATTCCCAACCGGGTGGGGGCGTGTTCAACCCCGATACTGAGGTCCCTCGACATGATGTTCAGGCCGAAACTGATGCCGCGGCTCTCCGCTCATCTTGCTCGGCCTACATTCATCTGATCGCATCTTTGGACGATAATCTAGACGACCAGTTGGACGTGGTCCCTACCGGGTTCGTTGAACATCTAGTGTCGGTTTCAGAGGCTGAACTACTTCGCTCGCGGCAATTTGTACGAGCCCTGTTTTCAACATGCTTCCAGTTTCAAAGGACATCGTGTTTGAGGCTTCTCGAACGACTTAGTGATGGCCTTATTGATCCCTGTGCACGAGAATTTAACACTTCCGAAGTAGCAAACGGCATGGTGGTGGAGGTATTGGTTGGAACTATCCTTGTTTGGAGCCCGAAGCCTAATGACCGAGAAGCCCAAGACTTATACGAGAACGCAGAAGCGATGTACGCGTATTATATCAAGGGAATGGAAAAAGGTGGAGTAAGGAGGTCACCAAACCTTCAAAAGGCTATCGCAAACTTCCTCCATGGCTTGCTCAAGCACCAACCCGACTTCAGCCAGAACCGCAAATCTCCATCTGTTCGAACGAGCCTCTTTGGCCTTCTTTCGCATGGAGAGATTACAGTGAAATACCACATTGCGGAGCGACTGGCAAATATTTTTGAAGATTTCATTTTGTCTGAACACGACAAAATCCTACAAGATGTTGACGACAATCTGCCTGGTGACGATGATTGGATTGAAGGGATTGCCATTCGATTGCTAGTACTAGCCAGGCTAGCATCTCGATGGCACACCCTTTTGCGACAAACTGTGTATCGCATCTTCGCAACAGCGGGCTCAGTTGAGCGCGCAGCAAGCCATGCACAGCGGTGTATTTTCGAAGTAGCAAGAGCAAGAGATTTAGCAGATCCACAGGCACTCTTCAAGCTTTTCGCTCCTCAGATCATCTTCACATGGTTAGATCGGAAGCGGAAATTCTCAGAAATACCGTTTCAAACTTTTAACTACCGCAAACTGGACGACCTTCTCCGTGACGTCGAGTCCGAGGCTGTAGGGCAAGCCATTATGCTTGGACTGAAAGAAGAGGTGGGCTACTTAGCCCAACAACTTGGCACTATAAGCTCCGATATATTGATGAGAAATATTGGTAAAGCAGCTGCATATACCCTTTCTTGGGACACATGCAAAGGTTTTGCTCGCAACAAGTCTGACGCGAGCAACGCTATGCTTCTGCGCGATTTGGTTGGACCAGAGCAATATTCTTCGCTAATACAGGACCACTTCCCCAGAGTCCTGGGACACATCTTGCAAACGGTTGATCACGAAGAGCGCTTCAGTAAAACTCTAGAGAAACGGCCTGCGTTCACAGCCACTGCGAAAGCGCTCACCCACATGACCACTATCAGCCACTCCAGTCAGGAACTTGATCTAAAAATCGAGCCGTCATTTTCTGCTTTCTATCTGATTGACCAACTTGAACGTCTGTGCCGTCGCACTGGTGGTGACCCGGTACGCTTTTGGACGCCGAGCAATTTCACTTTTGTAATGCGGATGCTCCTGGACCGTATTCATCCAGCTCTTGGTTCGATTCACGCTCGGTCCATCATCCGTAAGGTCCGTATCCTCATCGCCCTTGCAGGAGAGGTCGCCTATGAAGGGTATCCTTTGCACATGACTCTTCAATCTCTACGACCATTTCTCACAGACATACAATGCGCAGAGGATACGCTAGGAATCGTGCAGTATCTCTTCGAACACGGGGCTCGCTATCTAAGTTCTCAGCTCAACTTCGTAACCGGGATTGGCTTGTCTATCCTCATCTCTATTCGAGAATTCCTTGGATCCTCCCAGGAGAGCACTACCCAGCAGTCTCAACACACCGCAACGATGAACAAAGCGCAAATGTTTCATGCATGGTTCACAACATACCTCGAGTCACTCGCCAATACACTCGCCTCTGGTGGCTCAAATTCTGCCGTCAAGGCATTCAAGTCAATTATTACAGCGGCTTCTCGTGTCCGTACTGAGGGTAATTCAATAAAAGGTAGTGACGAGAGTAGGCTACTGCTGGAAATACTAGATGACGTTCGGTCTGATCGAAGACTTCTCAATAAGACCTCACGAGAGGTTGCCCTTGGGCTCCTTTGCCAGAACTTTCAGCCAGCACTGACCGCCCGAGAAGACGTCCTCGGATCAGATGCGGACGTAGTTGACTATGCACCCCAGGTATGGGAATCATGTCAACGTAGTAATATCGGTGATGGCTATCTATTATGGGCAGCTAGAGTCTTAGGCCGGACCTTCAGTGCTTGCGGAGAGGTGAAGCGAAGTGCAAGACTGTCCCGCCCCTGGTCTGGCCAGTCTCATTCCCCGAGAGCATCTCTAGGTAAGAGTTCGCGTGCGGCAATCGTCAAGAATATTATCGACTTATTCTATAGCGATGATCGTAAGGAGGTGAGCCTGGCAGAAGATGGAGTACGGTTGCTCATATCCCGCCTCTCCTCGGATGACACCTATGTTGGAGAATTGCAAAAGACAGTACCGGTACCCATTGGCACCGCCCTCAATCTACCTATGCCAGAGGAACCCGAGCCCAGGTCAGTCGTACATACTGAGACGCTTGAGCAGAGTGCATATCCTTCTCAACCCAAATCCGTATCTACATGGATTCAAGATCTCGCCATTTCACTGTGCCAAGTAGCTGCGCAAGATCCAATTCTAGGCTCATTGTCCCGAATCCTTCAAGGCATTGAAGGTATGGCAGAACTGCTATTCCCTTATATTCTCCATCTCGTCTTACTACAAGACTTCGATGGAGAAAGGGTTGTTCGGGGTACTATGTCTGAAGCAACCATGTCATGGTTTAGTAACTGCGATTCGACTACCGTTTCATACGTGCGAATCCTGATTGAGGCCATTCTCTACCTCCGCAGCCAGCCTACCCCGAAAGAGGTAACCCGAGTCGACCGTGATCGATGGGTGGAAGTGGATTACCTAAAAGCGTCCCAAGCTGCAACATTCTGTGGTATGTACAGAAGTGCGCTACTATTCGCAGAGACCTCATCAGGTCAGCCAATCGTCAAGAGCACTTCAAGACGATCATCAATACTAGTAGGGCCGCCCAAACTTCCAGTTGAGCTGCAGCTTTCTATTTACAAAAATCTGGACGAACCGGACTCATTCTATGGAGTAGATAGGGGTTCTAGCCTGTCTTCGGTGCTGGATCGCTTGGACTACGAGGGAGATGGGGTGAAGAGCCTTTTGTTTCGCGGAGCTCGCCTAGACAGCCAGATTCGGCGATCTAATGCGATCGAATCGGTTGATTCTCGAGGAATGGTTAAGTCACTTATATCACTTAACATGAACAGCATTACCCACTCATTACTTTCCAACGACCAATTCAAGGATATTGGGGACGATGTTGTTGATAGCACTCTCCACACTGCACGGAAACTTGGTCAATGGGATATCAAAGCTCCAGAAGGGAACCATACCGAGTCGAGTACACTCTTTAAGGCATTCCAGAGCTTGCACTACGCCTCCGACGCTTTGAGCGCCAGGAAGTCGCTTAACCGACAATTCTTAGCCACCATGAGTTACTTCTCCGGTCGCGACAGTTCCTCTACGTCGATGAAAACTCCTCTGCGAACGCTTGCCGTGTTGACAGAAGCAGACGACATTGTCACTTGCACAAACCCGGAACATCTCCTCGATATTTGGGATCAAATGAAAGGTCGGGAGAAATGGATGCGAGCAGGAGAGTACGTCCCCCAAATCCGCTATCACCCCCCTAGATTGCTAAATTTTGCGTAGATTCGATGACGTTCGACTACTTTTGTCTTGCCGAGAAACGCTATTCAGCGTACTGAGTACCAACCCCTCGTTGCTAGATTCACTATGTGCACGCACTGGAACAGTTCGTCACATGGAAGTGGAAGCGCTTGTCTCGTCATCAGCTATCTGCAGAAAACAGGGGGCTCTTCAGGAATCTCTGGCGAGTGTTACTTATTTGTCAGATATCGTGCAGCAATGCAAGTCGGTAGGCCTTGACATTGAAGTGGCCGCGCAACACGAGGTCGCCAGTGTTCTTTGGGAGCAAGGCGAGGCCGAAACATCCATTCGAATGCGCCAGCATCTTATCGATAATGCCAATTTTGATTCTCAAGCCACTAACATCAGTCTACCAGTGTTGTTAGCGAAATTGGTAAGTACAATTACGAAGAATCCAACAGTTGATACTAACACCCTTAGGGTCATCATCTGGCTGAAGCTCGTTTGGCCAAACCTGATACCATTATCAAGGAGTACCTCGAACCGGCGATTCATGAGCTGAAAGGACAAACACAAGGCACATACCCAGGGCAAGTCTTTCACGAATATGCCCTCTTCTGCGATAAGCAATTACAAAGCCCAGAGGCCGCTGAAGACATTGCGCGTATCAAGACGGTAATGGACCGCAAGCACCAGGAATGGCAAGACTTTTTAAAGCTGAGCCAAACGGACAAGAGCAAGAGTATGAGGGAAACTTACCGACGAAACGCGCAGCGAGCCCAAAATTGGTATAATCTCGACCATGGTGAGTATGAGAGGTTGCGCAAAAGCCGTGAACAATTCTTACGTCAATGCTTGGAGAATTACCTCCTCTCACTCCAAGCGAGCGACGAGTACAACAACGACGCTCTCCGTGTCTTCTCCCTATGGCTTGAGTATTCAGATATGCCTTTAGCGAATGAGGCTGTTCGAGCTTATCTCTCAAGAGTACCCAGCGGTAAATTCGCCCTCCTGATGAACCAACTATCATCCCGACTACAGGCAGAAGCGACCGACTTCCAGAAGCTCTTGTTTGAGCTAGTGTTCCGAATTTGTGCTGAGCACCCGTATCATGGTATGCACCAGATCTTTGCTATTCAAATGAAGGTCGGTTCAATTACAAGAGAGGATGTCGTCCGCTCAAAAGATGAGTCGGCGAAGTCTCGACAGCGGGCTGCGGCTCAGATCGCCCAGATGTTAGGTAGCGACAGGAAGGCAGGGAAGTACTGGAATGTGATATATCAATCAAATGGACTCTATCACAACCTTGCCATGTTCAAGAACGAACAGGATAACCGGATGGGCAGAGACATCGCGCTGGAGAAGTATGGAGAGTCGAAGGCAATGCTTCAGAAGATTCCGCCGATGGGGGTCCCTCCCGCCACACTAGCAATTGAGGTTCGTGCCAGTTGCGACTACAGCGACTTGCCCAAGATCGTTGGGTTCAAACCAAGGATGACAATTGCCAACGGCCTCAGCGCACCGAAGATCATCACGGCACTCGCTTCTGATGGCAGGCCGTACAAACAACTTGTATGTATCAACCTGTGCATCTCTACAACGTAAGCTGACTCAATCCAAGTTTAAATCCGGCAACGATGACCTCCGGCAAGACGCCATCATGGAGCAAGTCTTCGATCAGGTGTCTCGTCTTCTGAAGAACCATACAGCGACACGCATCCGCAACCTCGGAATCCGCACCTATAAAGTCCTCCCCCTCTCCACTCGATCCGGGCTGATGGAATTCGTACCAAACACCATGCCACTCCACTCGTACGTCATGCCTGCGCACGAAAAATACTATCCGAGTGACTGGAGATCAGAACAATGCCGCAAGGAAATCGGGAAATGCCAAAACGACTCACTGAATACACGGGTCAAAATATGGCAGAGAGCAGCAGACAACTTCCATCCTGTCCTACGCTACTTCCTGCTCGAGCGGTTCGAGGACCCCGACGAATGGTTTGAACGACGTCTAGCATACACACGATCCACAGCCGCAATCTCCATCCTCGGCCACGTTCTCGGCCTCGGAGATCGCCATTGCCACAACATCCTCCTCGATGAGAAATCAGGAGAAGTCGTTCACATCGACCTCGGGGTTAGTTTCGAAGCCGGACGCGTTCTACCTGTTCCTGAAGTGGTGCCTTTTAGGCTCACCCGCGACCTAGTCGATGCAATGGGGTATACGAAAACAGAAGGTGTGTTTAGGAGGTGCTGTGAATTCACCATGGACACACTTCGGGAAGAACGCGAGTCGATTATGACGCTGTTAAATGTCCTGCGCTACGACCCCCTAGTTAACTGGAGCGTAACACCTACGAAAGCAAAGAGGATGCAAGAAGGGCCCCAAGAAACGAACGCAGCAAATGGCGCCGGTCCGAGTAGAGCGGGAAGCGTTATGCCTGGTAGCACCCCTGGCCCGGCAATGGCGATTGGAATATCGGGTGTGATCGACGATGGTGGGGAACAGAGTAACAAGAAACGAGAAGAGCAGGCGGGCGAGGCGGGACGGGCTTTGAGTGTGGTGGAGAAGAAGTTGAGTAAGACATTAAGTACAAGGGCGACAGTTAATGAGCTTATTCAGATGGCGACGGATGAGCGGAATTTGGCGGTGCTGTATTCCGGGTGGGCTAGCTATGCTTAGGAGGTTCGGTTTCGACGTATTTGTGAGAGGTTGAGACGACGTGAAAAGGCATGTATAGAGAGAGCTAGATGTATGTGTATAATCTTGAGGTATGAGTTCGAAACGTAAACTAGGTAGTTTATAGTAGCCACGTAGCGCTTCGCAGCTGTAGTTGTTTTTTCATGTTGATAGTTTTGGGTTTGGTACATTTTGGGGCCTAGGTGACCCATGGAAGTGATACTGCTCCTGAAATTTCCAAACGTATGTCGTAACATCGTCGCTCTCACCGCCGCGAGCTAAATCTTGGAAACGCGAATGTAATTTTGACGGTGCTGTTAATTGCATTTGGAGAAAATGAAGTTGATTCGGTATGAAGTGGATGGGGTGGAGGCATTCGACTTCTGTTGAGGTGGTAGAGCTCGGGTACCTGCTACTTGTATAGTCTCCTTAAGCAATCTAGGGGTTCGCTGGAATGATTCTAGGGCATTAGCTATCATTAGAGCGTACAGCGATAAATTTTGACAAGTACCTGAAAATATCATCGTTCCAATTCCAGCAGCAGAAAGTATGAGCCAGAGTCCAAACTCTCGAACTTAATCCTTCCATAGCTTCCAAGGTTCTCCTGCATAAAACAGTATGGTTTTATCCCTGCAATACTATCAAATTAGAACCGAATAAATATTGTACCAATTAAGATCATGGCCCCCAGGCTTGTTATCGTATGCTGAGAGCCGGGCTCACAATTTTGGTTTCCCATCAAACCTCTTATACAGGTCTAGGTGTGGATGTCCCTATAAAACGCACGTATCCATGCCATTTCGAATATCATAGTTTTCCCTTTCTTGTTCTGGTGTAATCTCTTTGTTTCTGCTGAAGGCTTTATGCCAAAATATTGGTCGTGGTCTATATTTGATGCCCTCGCTGGTGTTCGGTTCCGGTTCACATCTCGTCAGGAGAGCAGCATCTAAGCAAGGACCATAAGCAATGCCATCAGCACCCAATACCAAATTCTTTGCTACGCTTTATCTTTGATACCCTCGTGGGCTTTCGTTTCCAACCTGTCTTCTTCTTCTGTGTTGTATAGTTTTCGGCGTAAATATTTGAGAGCTTCCACTATCCAATCCTGGAACTTGAGAGACAGATAAAATGCGGCCAGTACCCCGAAGAGCGGACTTCTTCCAAGCGGTGGGTGAAGAGACGGCATGACTCCTTAAAGCCTGCTGCAGGCGATGCGAGATCGGAGGAGTTAACTCACATCTCGAAAGTACATTCTAGCTTACCCTACATCCCTTCCTTTAGTGTTACTTCAGACCCACTAGACTGCACGATTACCCCTCTTCTAAGCGTCAATTCCCAATCCACTGCTTCAAATACCCTCGTGGCCGTTCCATTCTCGTTAATACTTCTGTCAAAAGGTCCTAGGGAGCCACTGTTAGAATATGCTGAGGTATGAATATTGCAGGTTATGTAGGAGGGAAGGCTGTACAAACATCCAAGGTGGCCGTAAAACCGGAAGCAAATTCAGCCCGGCCACACGAGATCAGTACGCGTCTTTCAGCTACATCTTTTGAAAAACTGCGTATATCTAGACTTTGAAGTTGACTAGTCTCCCTTTAGTTTTTATTCAATCCTTTACGTTCTACTCTTGATCTATACACATTCTCGTCCACCATGGACCCGTTCGAGCCCATCAGCCTTCTGATTGGTGCGGTGGCGTGGGCCTCACTCTCAGCACTTGCTTATAATGTATTTATTACTTCCAGGCTACCCCGAACTCCTTTTAATCTAACATGACTACTAAAAGGAGATATTACTCACCTGGGGTGATCTTGTCGAGAACTCAAGATCCGAAAGAAGGATGCAATAAGGAACTAGATAGTTCGAAACAAGGTCTTATAGAGAGATACCTTAAGTCAATTGTATCTCTGTCTGAACGCTGATAAACTTCGGGACCGCTATAGGATTCAGTTAGCAATCAGCTGCTTCCGGAAATCGTTTCAGCGGCTGTTTCCACTAGATACTCGACTACAACCTAACACGATAGCGAAGAGGAAATAGGCGATTCATGATAAAGCCAAATTTGAGACGCTTACCGCTTTTATCAAAGATCTGATCAACAATCTACCCGATCTTGTGCCAGGTGTATCCAAATCCCAGGAGACGATGGTGAATGGCGACATTACTTCTTTGGGAATTCTGAGGTTTCGATTGATTCAATCCGCTTGTGAAGGAAAGTCTTAAACTTAGTCTAACATTGCCAGAGTATCGGCATGACCTCTGAGATAGGCACAGTTGCAATTGATCGGCTGCATGTGGGAGAGTGGATTCAGGATGTAGAGGCCTCTAAAAATGATGCAGATAAGGTCGACGATAAATTGGGGTTGACGGCCCTAATCAACTCAGTAATGACAACACGAATTGGTAGCACCTTATCCAAGTTGATGTCAAGATCTGTGACTACAAGAAGAATTTAACGTCTCTACGTTCTTGGAATAGTGCTTTGTGGTTCCTAACCATGTTTGTGGAGAGACTCCGATCCACCTTGCCATGAGGCTGCTATTGGTTCCGTCGCCTTTGAGCTGAATAGGACCAGCTTTTTCCGGTGAACAGTGTTGGTGAAATCCCCGTGCGGAATCTTGCAAGACCAATTGCTGAAACTATGTGTGTCAAAACATAGGAGATGAGAAGAGCATACACATTTACAGCTCCATGTGCCTGTGCTGTTCAGACAGTACTTTAATCGTATGTAACTGAGACTTCAAAGACGCATCACTATATGGTGAGGGTGGGTGACTGTATATCCACGAGGGCTGTTGCGCTGAAGTGGGAAAACTTTCCTAATTTGTTTTCATCATGAATAGAACGAAAGAAGCTGGAGTCTCCTTGACATTTAGCGTGGTCGATACCGCAATCAAAAATCTCCAGTATTTTGACTGAGTATGGATCGAGCAGAGAATATATCGCCTCGGAAACGTCGCTCGAGAGCACAACGAACCATTTGCTCAGTCTTGAAGGTGGGTACAAGGCAAGCTTTGTCATCTTGGGAGAGCTTAATCACTGCCAGTAGTTGTTGCAGACAGCACCCTTTCCGTGGAACGTCAAAATGCCGACACATTTTGAAATCTATCTGGCCACCGGAGGTGGCGTCTGGTTAGGACACTATTTTAGGGCTTTTATACTCTAGGTTTTCAAGGTGGTGTATTCTTTCAACTCAAATGCAAATCAGGTTGGACTAGGGATAGAGGGCGGAAAACACGGAAGATTCTGAATTTAGCCACTGAGCTTGTGGATCGAAGTTAAATGGATGAGTTTTTATCGATTGAACTAGTCATCTTGGGGTTACCCACAAGGTAAATAGCGCGGAGGAAAATTGTGCCTACCCCCTAAGTGAACATGACAAGGAAATCGAAGCCAAACCTCACGATCCCCAATCGTTGAGTATCATCTCCGCAGCTTTCTCTCCAATCGCATAAACTGTTGCCTGTGGATGACTACAAATATGCAAGGGCATCACACTGGCATCCGCAACTCTCAATCTTTTCACGCCATAGACCCTTAATCTTGCATCCACGACTCCGGCTTTAATGCCTTCATGTCCGCCCATCGCGCAGGTGCCGATGGGATGCCAGTCTGTAATGCAAGAGGAGCGAATCCAAGAAGTAAAATCTTCTTTGTATTCGGACGGAGAAGGAAAAAATGACTCGGGAGGGTACACACGCTTTTGTATGATGCTAGATAATGGCGAAGTGCGACAGATCTTGTCAGCAAAGCGTTGACAGTAAGACATAATGGAGAAGTCCAATTCACCACCGGGGCCTTCGAAATACTTTGGATCGATAGCTGGTTTGTCATTTATGGAGGATGAAGTGATGTGTATACTTCCTTTAGACAGGGGAAGTTGAAGCATCATAAGCATCGTCCCATAAACCCTCCCCGGCTCGGACTTGAAATATGGGGACCAGTTGCCCAAGTCGAAAAGATATTCTATCTGTCCGCGTTTCGAGTTTGTGAACTGTTTTGATAAGATTTTATCACGTGAAGTTTCTGCTGTGGGAAGGTTGCTAAGAATCCATCTGAGTTTCGGGGAGGGAATAACCTGCGAGAGTGAGGCGTAGCCGAGGGCGCAGGGAAGCATAGCATAGACCCCAGATTGGGAGGTTTTGTAGGCTTCTTGGGCGGCGGCTGCGAGAACGGAATCTGCGCGGAGTTCGTCGGGCCCAATAAGATCGGATGGGAGCTCGTAGATTGCTGCCGTCACTGATAACTGGTTACTTTATCTGTAACGAGGAAGGGAAACCTAGGGTACTTTCTCATATGCTCTTGTAGATTTTCCCCAACATTTGAGTTCGCTACTTTCACAGAAATGCCTGCTGCCTCCAAGATTTCTGGATTTCCGATGCCGGAGAGTTCAAGGACTTGGGGCGACTGCACGCTGCCGGCACAAAGAATGACTTCACGTGCGGCCCTCACGACGAACTCTTGACCACCACAAGCATATGCAACGCCAGTTGCCACCCACTCATCATCTCTACCTTCCAATAACACTCTGTGAACGGTTGCGTCTGGAAGCACATGGAGATTACTTCGCCCAAGATTCGGTAGATAATATGCGGTTGCGGAAGACGCCCTAGTCCGCGTATCCGGATCCACAGACGTCAGTGTCGTAAATGCGCCTAGATTCGACCCTGAAAAGTGGCTTTTGTTCGTCTCCAATCCAAGATTGTTCAGCGTAGCGTGCCAGTGTTGATGTGGGGCAGAGAAATCTTTGGAGTAAATGCTACTGATTGGCCCATCTGTGCCGTGAAACTCGGTGTTGAAGTGTGATTGGTGTTGAGATTGATGTTTGGGGCTTGATTGGTGGAGTGTTTCTGTTCTTTTGAAGAAGGGCCTATGAATAGGTCAGCTCCAGATTCCCATGTCCTTTTCGACTGCAATCTCTTCTTCCTGATCAGATATTAGTTCAATAGAAGAGGTGAGCCAGGTACATAAAAGCAGGGTGAGTTCTAAGGCAGTGATGAAGATATTTAGCTCTTGCGTAGGTGTAGAATGTCCTCTCGCAAGGAGGGATGCCCCACGAAACTCACTCACAACATGCCGTCCCACCCCCATCCTTCATTCCCGAGCTCTTCCCATGCATCATAGTCTTCCCTGTTTCCTCTCGTCCAGGTCATGAAATTCAGAGCGCTCGTCCCGCCAAGAACTCTCCCGCGCGGCCAAAGCAGCCTCCTCCCATTGAGGCCTGGTTGCGGGACAGTTTCGAACCGCCAGTCGTACTGACCACCCAGGGATTCTCCAAATCGACCAGGCACATTGATGAGCGGGTCGTCAAGAGATTTCGGCCCCGCTTCCAGCACCCCAACCGTGATGGAAGATCCCCTGGCTTCAGAAAGACGGGCCGCAACGACGAGACCGGCAGTGCCCCCACCCACGATTAAATAATCAAAGCGCGTGGTAGAGAATGTGGAGGGGGTGATGGAGGGGTCTTTTAAGGTGGTCATTGCGTTATTGGATCAGCAGCTTTCGTCAGGAGATGGAAGTCGGTCGGGATGTGTTGAATTAAAGGAGGAAATTTGAGACGAGATGGCTTGGTGGCGGTGGAGATTTATCATTGAATTCTTGGCAGCATCCAGCCCATGCATCAAGAGGGGGCTAAGTCCGGCCGGCTGGTTACGGTTTCTCGGATAATATTTTTTCTGTGAAGGCATCGGGAGAGGGCATTCGTTGATGTTGGCCTTCTTTCTTCACGGTGGACTGATTCTCGCACAACTACTGCACGAGAGTCATTCCAGAGCGATTTCTTCAGAATCACTTGCTCTATCCTCAGACTCCATGAGAGTGTGGCGTGCCAGGGTTTGAAGCGCAATCCATGGATCAAAGCATGGAATGGCCCCCCACGCCCAAATGATCCCCGAGATCATCTGTCCAAGATCGCTTCGTCCCGTCGCTGAGGATCAGGAACGCGTCTCCAAGCCTGGTGGTGAAGATCCATGACATCCAATCACGATGGATGTTGTTGTTTTTGTTATGTCTTGCCGAGTTTGCCGACAAGGGACGGCACTCTGTCTTCACACCTCGGCTCACTCAACCACCGTATCATCCCTGTGAGTCCTACTTTCATCAGCCATCGCGACCTCTCGCCAGCATCTTCATCTCTCACGCACGCCGGTGTCTACGCAAACATCTTGCTCAGCGGAGTCCCTTCCCAGCCTTTGTAGGATGACTTCAGCCACCATGTGTTATCGTCACCCTGCTCCAGGATGGCAACGACACACAATGCTTTTTTTGCAGGCTCGCAAAGAACATTCAATAGAAGCAACAAGCAACGGTCTTTGTATGATTTTCGACTTCGCCTTAGGTCTCCTGTCCTGGCTATGATTACATCCGCGACAAAGGGATACACAGGGAGTCTTAAACCTCCCGACAGGATCCTTCCTTGCTCTGTCTGTCCTCACGTCTCCCTATTTTATGATATCTGTCACCTTCGTCAGTCATTACAGTTATATTCTCTTAAGTCATGTCCACCTCATTCTCCGTTATTACCGTTGAATCATCGACACTGTATGTAATTGGCACATGTTTAATCCTCTTACGAATGTAAGCTGCCCATGTGACGTCCACGCTCAACCCTCATAAACGATATTGACGAATAGAAGCATTTCTCGACGACTTACGCTGGGTTCATTCTCGAACCTTCAATTAGATGACTGGCTAATGATTTTTATTTTGGTGAGTCATGGAACCTATCACACATAGATAGGCGAAATGTGGTAAATCACGTGACACTTACCACTCTAAATAGGTCCCCTTTACCGGAACCATTGTGTGTGCGAACGAAGTTGCGCGCCATGAGAGTCTACTAGGTTCTGATAAGCCTGACGTAGTATGGGGTCTGAAAATGAGATTCGCTCTGGAAGAGTTTCAAATTACGAGCTCTTGGCTTGTCAAAGCATGTCTCCTAATTCTGTACAGGAGGATATTGTATGTCTTACTGGGTTCGACCAACTGAATTTGACCTTTTGGAGAGACACTAACTTCTTGGTAGCCCTGGCGGGAAAGAGCGTCGATACCTCGATTGGACATCCGCTTACTGTCTGCTCACATACCTCATCATCCAAATATTACAACCGCTACTTTGCAGCCCTGTCCAGGGCTACTGGAACATGTCACCGACTACCTGTATGGTTGTGCTTTCCACTCCCTAGACTTACCAATTAACGTAATGCAGCACAATGCTCTACATATCATGCTCACTCTATCATTACCCTCTTCTTTGACACCACGACTATCCTAACTGTCCTCATATTTCCGATACCGATGATTCCAACACCGCGGAAGCTGCTTCTTGCAATACTTTTGGCCTTTGGGGCCGTTGTTCTTATTACAGCGATACTGGGACGATACTATGTAATAATTCACTCGTCAAACCCGATGCACCTACTTTGGTACGGGGCTGAGGCCACGGGTATCATCTGCTTCGCAAATCTCCCCTTCCTAAACTCTCTTATCACGTCAACGACATCACCTTCCCGCATACGCCATATCAGCAGTAATCTTACCCAAACACCATGGCCACGCTCCTTCAAGCCAACGTCGAGCGGGCAAGCACTACGTTCGAATAGCACCACCACAACACGATCGCTTGCTCGCGTTGAATTTGAGGATGAGTGGAGTAATTGTAGCGTTATACCCTCATCGACACCGCTCACGCCTATCCACACCCTCCGACCTACAGACCCACCACCTGAACTGGGAGATTATTGGCAAAGCCGACAACTCTCGTCAAGGGATGCGGACATCGAGAGAGCTTTGAGACCTTCTCCACAGCCCTAGTATATAACATGCGACCGTTAGGTATGATCATGAATATGGTGTTCTAGGTGGGCAAAAGTAGGCTATAGAGCTCGGAAAGGCGAATCCTAGTAAGATAGAAAGCCGTTCTTAGATCCCTCAGCTGCCTCAAATAACTTCCGCTAGGTCATGCGAATTGCTATTCTCTCTACGAATCTCCTTGCCGCCAGTTATTTTGCATTGTAATATACGATAACCATCCCGAAATGTTTCGTCTCTTACCAAGATTTTGTCTCCTGTACTTAGAGTATTTATGTAGTTGCGGGTCTACTCACGCAATGGAACCCCCAGTCACGCGAATCGTCGTACTTGAGTGCTGCATGATGATTCGTCCTGAATGCGTGGCTGATTCGCTAAAAAAGTCAAAGTAATGGTACTCTCCAGTGGGATGGTTCACCCAACGGGGAGATTGAACACGTTACACAGTCGATTGGGTGAACTTGACCCCAGTCATCGACACATCACTGCAGCGCAATGACGTTGGTGTTGGTTATTTACGTAACTAGAACTAGGCATTATCTCCTTCATGAATTCATTCTGCCTTCAGGATAACATAGGCAACCCATCCTCCAACGATCTAGTTCTAGATGAATTACAGTGTGACTCGAACTGCTTCTCTGAGAATAACCCAGGGTTTCGGCAAGTTCGCCACAAAACCTAACTAATCTGGCGGCACCTTCGGCTACATAAATCCCTTCTACCTCTTCCCGGCTTCCTCCCTAGCATGCACTCGAGACAAATGTGTTACCAAGCCCAACCAGGATCGAGACTCAAAATAGTTGGAGAATTGAATTATGTCTCTTTCTTCCGGCATGAAAATGCTTGTATTACTGTGTAGTTCAAACTGGAATAAATAAAAATCCTAAAGACTAGAGCCATGGCTGTGAGTGAATGGCAAGAAAATTGCAGAATGATCTGAATATAGTTAGATCTCTAGATGCTGGAACACACAAGATGGGATGAAACAAAAAAAATCCCTAGCAACAACCACATGGTATCCCGTTGGGGGCGTTAGATAGAATTGGAATACGTACTTGGTACTTCAGTAGATAGAAAATTACGAGCTGAATATGGCGTAATTGTCACTATTCCCCTTAAATAATATGAATACTTGGAATCGTCTCAGATGCAGTCCAATAACTGGATATTCTCAAAAAACAATGACGTTTCTGGACCCATGCACCGCTGGTTGTATTAGTACATGCTCCACTCAGTTCATTTCAAAACTACGCCAATTCAACTAGTAGAATCCCAATTAGCTCTAGGTCAGGGGATTATTCGCTTACATTAGGTTACGCGCCTTATGTCCGCTCCTGGCATTGCGATGACGCGGCAACTCCTGAGGGAAGCCGCCACATGGAGACAGATCACCCAATTCACTTCCGCTAGGCTCTTTCCACCCCCTCCTCTTCCTCATACTCCTTAACGTAGAGAAACACCACTACGGCACCCTCCTTCCGTCTCTCTACACACAAGGACACCCCTTCCTCCCACAAAAACAGTTCAACATGGAAGCTAATGTCTCCCTCCGCTTAGTACTAAATCATGCCACCATTAACCTAAATGTCCTCCTTGGAAGGAAACCACAACACACAACTATGAAAACCAGCAGGACGGGTTGAAACCTCCCTTGGGCCCAAAAAACGCATTGAGCTCTGCTGCATGATTGTCTAGTGCTGATTGGAAGGAAAGACTAGTCTAGCTCCTTTTGCGACTAAAATATTACACTCTTAAGTCTCGATATCCGTGATGAAACGGCACTACAGTAATCAGTATTATACGCAGCAAGTCGGGCCGGGGCCGTCCTATCCTCCTTGGGACTAAACGACAGAAAACGTCTTCTCCGCTCCTCTAGTGAAGTTTAGAACGAAGCTCTTCAAATGTTAGAGCTCTTGCATGTTCACTCTATAGACTGCATATAGGGCTTAGCAGGGATGAAGTTAAGATGAATAAAGTCGTCCAAAGTTTATAGTCATGGCACTAAATTATCTCCACTGCGCTATCATGGTAATAAAATTTCACGACTTCTGTCTCACAGCAATGAACTATCGCGACTACGCTCCCATGTGGTAAATTATTTCGACACCATAGTCATGACAAAAGGACCCAACAATCAGACCCAGCATGATCAGCGCGCTATTGCCGGGCTATATAAAATAAGTGCTCAATGCTAGGTAGCTGATTCTGGGGTCGAATCATATAGTGTTGGAATATATGAACACTTTTGGGTTTCACTAGTGGTAGGATATGAAAAAGGAGTAGGAACATATGCTGGGATACTGGATGTTATGGAGTACGCCTCAGAGCAAAGTTGAAGTGTCATTGAGACTCGAAATTCTGAATTTAAATATTTATGATCGAAGCGTAGAAAAAAAAAGAGCGGGGCGAAAGTAATAGAGCTAGATATCCTACACAATAATGTGATATTCCTGACTGAAGGCGAGCCAAAGCTACTATGGTCTTCAGCTAAACGGCGACGGAAATTGCCCCTGTTCGGTATCAGTGATGTTTTGCATAGAATAGGAGGCTGTAATGCGCCGCTAATAGGAGATTCTGAATTTGGAGGGATTGTCAACCACGTACGCCCGCTTCGCTAGTGCACATTCCTTCCTTTGTCCCCTGGTTGCTAATGCATAGACACTCCACCTTCTGTCTAAGACCACCTATAACAATATAATCTGCTACCAACTAGGATTTAAATAAGAATAAACGGATTGTTCTCCATAGCACCGACGGCGGAGTAAAATTACCAACCTTCACCATAATGACCTCTAGCTTCCTCCGTTAGACCAAAACAAGCAAACCGGAGTACAGTCCCTCCGGCATTTTTCAGTAATAAAACAGGGAATGAAATGAGGACAGTCAAGGATGTCAATGAATTTTTGCACTCATTGTGATGTGTTGTTGGAATCTGGGGACAACTCGAGCAGCGTGGCCAATATGACTCAGCTCGACGACTGAGTTCTTCTGCAATTGTAGCCCCTCAATCGTTGCCGAGGAGAGGAGATTGACATGATCATATTGATGGGGATCCAAAAATATGTGATGAGGATGATAAATTAAGTGAGTCCTCACGTCTTCTCCCATACAAGGTAATACAAAAGTCTCTGCTTGTTGTACAATAGGAACTCGTTAACAGTAATGTGAAAAATCCCTCCTAATGCATTAAAACATATTGTCCCCACAGTAGGATTATGGCTCCAAAAAGTCTATCTCAATCGTAATATGACTCAACTTTTCAGCTTCATCAATCGTAAGTTACGACTCACAAAGTTACTACTTTTGTACGGTTCACGTGGTAACGTCTTGTGAAGTTCTATCGTAGTCCGTGCTGTTGGTCACGTTGGACCCGGGAAGGATTTGAAAAGGGTGATTTACCGCCCAGATGTTTAGTTACTGACAGGCTTGAGTAGATTCTAGGGAGATCGTTTAGAAAAAGAATACCATCCAATAATTCAGTGTCCGTGGTGGTGAGGCGCCTAAGCGAAGTGCTGCAGCTACCTAAATATACTTGAAGAGGCATTAATCCATCAGGCATCCTAGCCTATCTAATATTACAATCTATAACCATACCCTTGGTAGCCATCACTAGCTATTCAGTATCACAATAAGCCCTAACAATATCCACTAACGTCGCCCTCGTGCTCCTCTTATCAAAAACCTGGGCATGATCCAACTCAGAAAACCACAACACGTCTAATTTGTCTCCTTTCCAATGCCCCTCTTTCCAGGTTCCTTTTTCGGGGCTCGCACTCCCGTTGCTGGCAAGATACGCTCTCACAGCTTCGGTGTTCACGATCAGATCCTTGCCCCCCAACACCACAGTCACACGATGATTTTGAATATCTTCCTTCCACAATATATTCTCACTCCAGAAGAAGCGCCGAAAGAGGGTGTGCGAGACGCCCATATCTTTGGATGCGAAGTAATGCAGCTGGTACTCATTGGCGCGGTTTGGTTTACGGCACGTCTAATTTGGGATGGAGGTAAGTGGGGACGTATCTCGAAGGGGGGTGGAAAGGTCTTACAAAGTTGTATGCTACATCTGGGAGATGTAGTAAGAAAGTCACCGGGTCAATAAATACGAGTGAATCTATCCTCTGCGCGATTTTTGGCGTGTTCAGGAGATGAGTAGCGATTACACTTCCATAGCTGAACGTAAGATTAGGACTGGTACTAGAATATTTCCTGGAGATGATGCAGTGAGAATATGTGGAAGGGGAGACTCACGAATGCGACACCAGCACAAACTTTTCCCACCCATGCGCCTTTAATATGCAATCGATCTCCTGGCACATCTCTTCCTTCTTCAGCGCTTCATCCGTGATCCTAAAGCTCACTGACATGATTTCCACGGCGATGATGCCCAAGTCTCCATCTGTGTCATCTTCTGAATTCAGTTCGGCTAATAGATTTACGTATGGATAAAGTCCAATGCCGATACCATGTATGAACAGGACGGGAAGTCTGGTTTTGGAGGTGTGTGGACGGTGCCAGTAGGCAATTGTTTTCGCAGGAGAGCGGTGAGAGCTGAGAAGTCCAAGGGGCCGGAATGGGAAAACAGAGAGAAACCGATGGAGAGAAGTAGGGTAGAAGTTGAAGGAATGGTAGAGCATGTATGCAGATGCCAGGGTGTCGACGACGAACACACACTATGTGAGGAAGTCAGGCTGGCTGTGTATTTCGTTCCTTGGAATGGCAAAATCATGCACAATTCTTCCCGCAAGAGCTTACCAAGTACCATGTTAAACTCCGATGTAACATATCAACCTTGTTAAGAGTAAGCCTGAAGCACTCTGCCTTCCCCCTCCCAGGTTCCAATTTCCTCCCTAATAGTTCCTCCATTCTTCTAACATACTCCTCCAGCTCTTCATTTTCTTCAATGTCAGGCTCCCCAGTATTCAAATAGGCCCAACGAAAGAAATCTTTGAGGTTCTCCCGTTTGATCTCCGATGCAGGGGCATCCACGAACCATTTAGTGAGGAAACGCTCCGGGTCCGGAGTATTCTCGAGACAACGCTGGAAGAGCGCACGGCGCTCATCGCGGCTGATAGTCGTTGGATGTGTCGCGGATCTCTGCAGGTAGATCTTGCGAGGGTGGTACACGAGAAAGTAAAACGCTGTCTCGAGGGCGGCCGCAACCTGCAAGCTCAGAGGGACATGGAACGGGGGAGTGTAGACGAGAGATATTAAACAGCAGAAAACACTAAGGGGAGCGATCCAGTGCAGGAAAAATATGCAGGACCGAATGAAAACGTAGTCGAAGATGGAAGTTCCTATCATTGCTTTGTTGTTGGACAAAATGGGGGATTTTTTTTCAATATGGCCAAACCAGAAGACGGATTTTTCCACTTTACATGGTGGTTTGATCTTTCTGAGTGAAGACGCGTATGTGCGCATACATATCTTTCTCTGTCCCAACAAGCCACGGTTTCATGATACAGAAGGCAGCTGTAGCATGTGCTCACGGACCCATTCTTCTCCCAACAAAATCTAGGCTCCAATCGTGTGAGATTCCGTCCGATCGTCCTCTGACCCACTTTCTCTTGTAGCAGGCTTATTCTGTGCTAATCGATGCTACCCAGGTGGACGAACGCCGCAACTTCCTGAGTGTGAACGTTCCTGGGTGTGAAAGTGCTAGGTAAGGGCTGGACTGGTGAACTATTTAATTTTTCACCAACAAAACGGTCGTGGATAATTTTTGCGTCAAGTGAGTGCATCATCTGCCCCACTGTTGGCATGTGTGTACCGAGGTGCACTCCCAATTGCACATGGCCTATGCGTCACTTCCCACATGCAAACCTCTCTGTACCTAGGTCTTCGAGCGTCATTTCAAGGTTTAAAAGGTTTCTCTTCAAAGTTCGGATCGTGCTTAGTAACTGGTTCGCAGTGCTCGTAAGTATTCCCGTCGACGAAAATTTGAGGATCACAAATATACATGCACCAGCCACAATTAGGTGGGTTCTCTCAGAGCCGTGAAAATCCTGATGTAGGTAATATTGCTATTTACTTGTCCGAGTATTAGTTTTCTGTGAGGACAGAGGTTTCTCTGTAGATCTCGCATGCGACAAATACTTTGCGAGATTCCCGGGGTCCCCATTAACTACCAAAACAACTGTAAACGCTCCAAAAGTAACCCAGGGTGAGTAGGAAGGCGAGGGCGGCCAGGGCGGTGAAGAAAGCGTGGGTCATGTCTCAAAAGCCATGTTCATGTTGTACTGTAAGAATGAATTACTATTTCGTTCCGACGACAGATGCTCAACTCACATCTTACAATAAACCAATCGTGACATCTCCCTTGACTCGGGCGTAAATTTCGACCTATAAACAACACACTACATCAGCCCTATCGTCACATCACCCTTCACCCGAGCGTATATCTCTACCTCGACTTCCAGATCCAACTCGATCTTGATCTTCAAACTACTGTCCTTCTCCCCCACTTTCGCTGGTCGATCTGCAATGCGAGACTGGTGGACCGGCACCATCCTACGACCTCCGCTCCTCCTTGGCATGACAACAGGTTCGGGCGGGATGGCTCCGAATGCCTGTTCATCGTCATCGTCATCGTAATCGTTAAATTGTGGTGGGGGTGCTTTTTGGAGCTGGTTCTGGCCAAGCTTCTTCGGCTTCTTGCGCTCGGCTGCTGGACTAGAAGAACTTTCAGATGATGTGTTTCCCTGGGCTGGGTAATCGGTAACGGGAGTTCTGGAAAAGGAGTGTTACTCGGAATGAAAGGCTAGAGCTAGGATAGTAGGACGCGCAAGTTGGGACTTACTCTGACGCCATCGATATCGCAGAATCTGTTCTCTTTAATGTCGTTGGGAGCAACGTTTTAAGTGATGTTTGATGGACCGATGAATTGTTGAATAATTATAGGGTGAATTGATAGTAACAAAGGCCTTTCTTATAGAAAACTTGGGAGCTGAAATCCATGGCGTCATTGCGGAACTGTATGGTCAGCACCTGAACATCTTACACTCAAATTCACACGGAACTAAAGCAACTGTTGAAGATCCGGTTTATTTGGCCAGGTGGCGGGGTTGCGCGGGCAGTGCATCTCACCGCAATGCGCCCGTCGCGTCCAGAAACAGGGTCAAGCCCAAGAGATGAACGATGGGAGGATCAAAGCAGGTTTAAATTGAGGGAGTAGGCGCTGCACTCCGTTTGCCTCTGGGAAATCTACTGTGATCAGAACCTTATCATTCCTAGTGGCTTTCTGGAACCAATGAAAACTGGGAGTCCTTCCAGTGACGCGTTTCAATGTCAGTAATGAGCGCTCCAGAGTGCATGTCGGTTCGGCTGTCCTTAACAGGTCGCGCTCTCTTTTCGTGATAATCGACGTCATTCCGAATTTCCAGTGATGAACCAAATTTCGTAAGCATTTGCGGAGCCGCGAAAATTTTAGACTTTCTGAGATCGCTTTACAGGTTGTCCTCCAACTCAAAAATTACCAAAACTCCCTCGTTGCGGATTAATCCACAAGGAATCGGTTATTACGCCTTCGTCCAAGCATTTCCACTCGTCAATTAGAGATCATGGTGTTGGGCATTCTTACTGCGATTGCCGCGTGTCCCGCAATTATAGGTACGACTGAAGCAGTGCGCCAAGGCCAAAAGCAGAATGCAAAAGAAAAGCATCGGGGCTTGAAGACAAATCTTATCGTGAACTGTTCTCGATTCTCGGAGGACGGGAGGGAAGTTGATGGATGCGAAATAGTTCTAAGCAGCAATAAGGTGCGATGGCCCCCGAATGTCTCAACGAGGATCAACCCATTTTGGGTCACGACGAATGATAACGATTCCGCAGTTGTACCTCGCCATGTCAACAGAGGAATATCCAGACGGCTGCCCCGAGGATCACCCTTTCGCAGGTTATTTTCTCCCGTTTCCAGACAAGAATTGGGGTAGGCTTGGAGAGGGCTTTGTCTCCACCATCTCAGACGACCCTCCACAGCTAAATTGGATATACGTCGATCAAGATACCCATGAGGTCAAGCATGGGAATCGTGAGGAATCTGAACCGCATCTTGTGGGCCCTTGGGATGTCACCAAGATGGATAGGAGGGTCACCTTCGAGGGCTGGGAAGGATTTATGGCAGTCAAATATGGGCCTGGGGAGTGGGCACTTTATTTTGATAGAGATGACAATGGGCTAGAAGGCATACTTGCTCCGGAGATGGTAAGGGAGGAGGTTGTGTTGGTTAGGAGAGAGAGGAAACAGGGAAAGCCCAATGACGATGAGTGACAGGGGGTATTCCTTTCCCAACAAAACCTGGTGATCACGTGACTTTCTGAACTAGCCGACGCCTTTACTCAAGCTGTCGTCTCACTGCGTCCCCTTCCATATAAAGGGTGAAAGGTTGGCTGCGATGCCTTCATACCTTGCAAGGTTTGCTCCCGAACTTGTAGGCGTCTAAGCCAACATATTATTTGATCTGATCGCAGCACAAGTTTCTTGCCGTTATCCTAGCTCCAACTAACATTTCTCTCACTAGTATTACATAACTAAGAGTACAATTTACTGCAACTTACCACAGACTTCCACGGTTGTTAGTTCGTTTAATGTTAACTCTTACTGCTTTTGGTATCATCAAAACTTAACGAAACCGTTAGATCGCTCCTTAAGTGAACTTTTGTTTGTCTTTACTTGTCGGAATATCTTCCAACGTGGCATGCTCTGCATGCAATGGTATTAGAAGCGAAGTCGAAGCGAAATCGAGAAGCGATCATGCAGGCCTGTTGTGCACTGTGAGCCCTCTTAGGAAACTAACTCGGCATATGGCATATGACAACACTTGTGATAGAGGGCTTCTACCACCTAGGTATTTGTAAGGGGTTTCACCCTAATCTATGAATTATAAGTCGTGTTACTTTGTTTCCCTCCTAATTCTCTCAGCCCTGAGCGCCTCCGCCGTCAAGCGTCCCGCGTCTTTCTACGCCTCACGGTCAATTTGTTTTCTGTGTTGTGGTTGAGTGTCTTTGGATATTATGTCGGATCGTTTGGGCAGAATAGCAGTGAAGAGTAGAGCCTCTTGCTCAAACCAATCTAGTTGGGTTGGGTTGGTTAATGGGATTCACACATAACTAATGATTCCAGATGTACATTTTGAACGATACGGTGATTCATAATTCTGAGGTTTTGGTTGGTGAGCAGACGTACTGCAGTTTTAATAGTTGTGAAGTCATTCATCACTAGTATGCGAATCCAGGATCTTGGACTGAAAAGAAATTTTTAATGCGCGCATAAAGAACACTAATAATATCATCGCTTCTGAAATTGAAAGGGCTCAACCATTGAAAGGGCTCAACCATTGAAGCACAATGCGTACCTTAACTTACCAAGCTTCAAATCGGCACTCTGCTATGAAAAGAACCGCTAGCCAATCGGTATCTGGAGACTTTCACTTGTGGCTGCTTATTGTGGCTACTGTAGTCGACCTGCTGATTGGCCTAGAAACCAAGGCGACTGCACTGCCATAGCCCAGGTTTCAGCCTTGCAGCACATTTGAGCTGAACCTCGGTGTTGCTGAAGCAGAAAATTGAAACCTTGAACGATGGCCGTAGATGATTTCTAGCTCCATAACCGAAAATACTTATGCTCAATCGACCCAAACATGGTGGATTCACTCCCTGTACGCCATCAATCTATTAAGAAGCCTGAGTGACCCTTACACTACCTCAAACAAGCACAACACAACCCGTCCCTGAGAGGTAAGCGAAGGTCACTGGTCTGCTCTCTCGTTCTTGAGCACGACAACTTGGCCTTCGGCCTACGACAATGGACTTCCTGTCCCCAATTCAGGCCTCTGACAACAGAGGTACAGACATGCTTAGCCACGAAAGTAATGAATCAGGTACTGCACATGAACATGGTTCGACAGGCCCTCTCTCGACATATGCTTTTGCAGACCAGGGGAGTCTGGTCTCCGCAGCTCCACAGTCACTTCAATATTCTGTTCCTGGCGGAACTGAGAATTGGCGGCATGATCCAATGGATGAGATGGTGAGTAGACATTCTCAACTCAACATTGTTCGAACCTTCGTCAGCGGAAACGGTCCGACGAACGTTGTCTTCTTTGCGAGACCTATAACCTAGGTTTTCCGTATAAACCTAGACCTATGCACGAATTGTTTCTGATTTGACTAGGCTAATAATACCATCTATGACTCGGCATATCATAGTAGCACATCTGCGTCGCAGACTGTCTCACGGAATTTCCACCCCGGAGAACTGTGGTTACATAGTATTCCGCCTTTATTCTATTCAAAGTCAAAACCTTTCGGGCAAGTCTCAAGCGAGTTATCTAGTTCACACGGATCTTCCCTGGAGAGAAAAAGACTGGATACAGAACCGAGGACACATGGTTTCCATGGCCATTATTCTTTCCCGCACAATGCTATGCTTCAGTCGAATCCTGAGCTCTCACAGTTTAGACCCTCTTATAAGGGCGAAGGATTGACCAATGGACAGGAGAAGTTCATCAAAAATTGGGTCAGATTAAATCAAAATCCCTTGGTCACTGATGAACAGGTAAATGCACTGTCCACCCTTGTCAAAGCCCCTTCGCATTTGGTCAGCAACTACATAATCGGGTCCGCTATAACCTCTGGGAAGGCCACCAAAGGATATACCTATCAGAAGGATCGCATTTCATCCTCGTATTCGGTTGCAGAAGCAAACAAACATCTTCCCCGAGACCAGCTAGATTTGGTAGAGAAGTACATCCAAGTCTGTAAAAGGCGTCGAGCTCAAAGTGATGGACGGCGAGTCGTCACAGTTGGCCCATTTAAGTGTACCTTCGGTTGCGGAAGAAGTACAAAGTACTCGTTTGATTGGAGGCGTCATGAAGAACTGCATGAACCACAAGAGCTTTGGCTATGCTACTTATGCTTGGAGGGCAAGGAACCGAATCCGTTCTTAATCGGTCGCAGAGACAAGTTTATTAAACATGCCAAAGACTACCACAAGAGTCTGGAGCATGAATTGGTCCTTGAGAGATCAAAACTCGACTTTCGACCAAACATTCAACTCCAATGCCCGTTTTGTTCTAAGTGCTTCAAGTCGTGGGACAAAAGGTGCCGACACATCCTCTCGCATTATGAAGATGAATCCAATAGTAGCTGTTGGATCAAACAACATGTGGGCGGATCCAGCAGCGCTGAAAAGCACACCGAAGGCTCGGCAAGTGATGACGATGATGACTCGGACAACAGGTCGCTGGGGAATTACTCTTCAGATGACAATATCCCTAATTCGGTAGGGTCCTGGCAGGCTTTTGAAGGAAATTCCAAAACAGGAAATATTGTCAAGGCGTCTCCAGAGACTACTCAAGCCTCAATAGATCCCAGCGACACGATACCGAAGGTTCCATCAGTAGTGAAGGCTGAGGTGTCGGATATTCCTCTAACCCGACCAGTGTCATCACCAAATCTTCCAGGACATGTAGACATGGATGGAATACTTGGCTCGGTAGCATCGAGACTTGTTTCAACGATGGTTGGGGACCTGTTGGAGCGTGCCATTCCAATGGTCACTGGCGCTTGGACCTCGTTAGGATCTCCCAACTCGAGTGTACACTCAAACCAACAGTCATCATCTTCATCTGCTCCACTACTCACTACAGGCTCCCTTAGTCAGTCTGGGTCGAGGAAAAGAACACGAGATGACGATAGAGACCCTGGCGATGATGGGGAAAACGACTCTCAGGATGATGATGACGATGAACGGCGGCGAAAGAAGAGAGGGAAAGGCCCCCTAGACCGGGGGCCACACCTGGGTCTGCGCTGTCCTTTTTACATAAGAGATCCAGAAAGGTACGCGCAAATCCAAGCCTGTAGTAGTGGCAAGGGTTTCGCCAATATGTCCCGACTGAGGTATTGTGCCTGTATGGAGGTAATAGGACATCAATGACCTTGATTAGGACACACCTGAAACGTGACCACACTCAGCCACTTCGATGTGAGCGATGCTGGATGGATATGAAGTCGAGGAAGGATTTAAAACTACACACCCGAAGCGCAACATCATGCGAGCTACGCGATGAGCCACCAGATGACCGCCTAACACCAGAGCACTGGGAGCGTATAACTGCCAAAGATGTCATTTGCAGGCAGACTAACATTGAAGAGAAGTGGACACTGCTTTTCAAGGCTATTTTTCCGGGATATAGGAAGGTTCCGCCTCCATGTAAGTCTTTCTGTCTTCAATCAACACTTTTCATTAACGTGACAGAAAAGTTGACAAAATGGTCATGTTAAGCCGGATCGAAGAGGTTCTTAGCGAAGTCCTAGAAGAAGAGTTACAGAAGGAACTATCCCACTTTATTCCAAGCATCCTTGATGGCATTAAAGATCGAATCAGTCTTATTGTAGAAGCTTGCAAAGCACGTCTACAACAACCGCGCACTGACACGCCTGAAAACCACAAGACTCAATCGACTGGAAGCGGCTCTAGTGCGGGCGGAGATCCTAACGCATCCCTAACATCTCTAGTAGTTAGTGAAAAAGACACCCCGAACACAGAAACATCGACACCTCATCTTCAGGATCCTGGACATTGCATAATTTCATTGTCCTTGGAACAAAATGTCCCCAATGATGTTACAGCCCAGCTTTGTGATACTTCAGTTGGGTGGAACTCGCCGCTAGAGGAGGATCTACTCGCATTTGACAACGCTCAACTCGGCGCCAACGCCAGCAACATGTATGAAAGTACCCTTTCTAGCTTGCCAACAGCTAGGGATCAACTTCGGAGAATCGAGGCTGTGCCGTTGTCTCATACACGGTCAAGCAATCGGAAAGAAGATAAGGAAGGGGATGAAATGATGGATGAACGCTGGATGACGGAGAACTTGCAGGATATTTGGGAATGGAACACAGTGGACTTGACCGCAGAGACTGGGCCTAATATAAAAAGATTAAATGCTCTTGATTCGGGCTAAGAGTTGGAGTTCTTCACTAGCGAGCATCTTGTGTAATCAATTGGAAGTAGCGGACGACCTTTTAATTACTTTTCAATATAGACGGCTTTAATTACGGAGTTGCAGGAGCTGGACTTGGCACTTCAGGTGCAAGTGACTCCAAAAGCGGTGACAGAAAACCTCCAAAAAAGGAGTCAGAAGTCCCCAAACATAGAGGTACTACAGTAAACAAGACCACTCTGTTTCCGGGTAAGTAACGGAAGAACTTGTTGTTATCTATGGGTATTCGGTAGCAAGCGTAACGCGTACACAATGGAGATTTCTTTTCAAGGCCGACATTTCTAACAATAAGATTCTGCAGTACTTTATCACTTCCGTAGGGCTGAGCCACCACCAAACCTAAGGGCCTCTCTCGACTCAACTTCAACGTATCTCTTAGCCCGAATGAAAAGTCCTGAAGCCAGATTTGCTGAAATAAAGCATAACGACTTCAGATCGAGCCATAATTATAACTATCATTCCCCTTTCACCCACAAATCAACTAACCAGCTGGACACGCGAATGTGGTATTGAAATAAGCTTTTAATTGTAGCGTTGCCGTAGCAGCTTTCTAATTTGAAAGAAGATCATACACAGAAGATATATTCGTATTCCGTCCCTCCCAACCAAACTCTTCCTTCCTCCCTAATCCTTGCAAGCCAAGCTCAGAAGTGTGAAAATGCCGCCTCCGACACCGTGCACAGCACCTAGAACTCCGTGTAAGTATACGAGCGCAATATTTTCGAGGCTGTGAAGAGGAAGAGAATGGCTGATGACTTACCAGCAACCGCACCCAAGCTAGTCAAGAGCGTTGTGCAGAAGCCTCCCTCGTCAAGCGTAATATGCATGTCGGCACCGATGAATGGAGGAGCAGCGTTTGTCGCATCAGGAGCTTGGTAGTTGATTCCCCAGTACTGCGGGACAACACATTCCGTTACCGTGAATGGTTTTGCTGGGAAAGCACAGTATTAGTAAAATTTCTCTACCAACTGTGTCCTAAACTCTAGGCTTGGAATAGGGCTTGAAGGAGATCCCACTCACATGGGCAGTAATATGCTGAAAATCCGCAAGTTGGCGTGTTGGTGACATCTTCACATTTGGCAATGGCCTTGACGGCAGCATAGAGACTATCAATGAGACCATTATGGATCCAGGTTGGATATGCACCACTTGGATCGACGGTCAAAGTTTCGTCTGTTACCGAGCCTGTGCCAGACTCGACTAATTGTCCTTTGAATTCAAGAGCACTGGTGTCGCATTGGCCCTGGGTACTGCAAGCTTTGGCGAGAGCGTCGATGATTGTCTCGATGGTAATGGTGCCGAGTTTGACGGTTTCGTCAGAGACTGTTTCTACTGTTAGACTAACCTGTACTAGACTGATATTTCAGGATGGAATATGACGTACAGGTGATTTTGATGTTGCCATTAGGATCGTTGACCTCCTCCCGTTTTGAGAGCGGCATATGGGCTCGGGCAGAAACAGATGCAACAGTAGCTGCGGCAAGTATGATACTTTGGTAACGCATTTTGAATGAGTGCTAATAAGTCGGAATGGAAAGAGTGACTAAAATGAGAGGAAAAAAACTTTGGTGTTAGGAAATAGCTCGGGGGGTATCGCTGAAATGCTAATGCTGCTAGCTTTGTTTGCTTGCTGGATACAAATGCTGAAGGGAACCAAGATCTTTTTATAAGCCCTAATGGGTCTAAAAACTGAAGTTCGTAGTAACATGACGATGGAAACGTGCGACTAATTTGTTTGAAGGAATCGAAGCCTGGTCTCTTGGTCCTAGTTGTTTCATCTTCCTCTCGCGGCTGGAGGCGCAGCCCATCTATCGCCCCAAGATTACCACGAAACGTTTTGTCAAATCTCGTGTGTTCACCTAGGCAAGTCAAGCTCTCCCTTTTGGAATCCTTCTGCTCCGTGAAGAGAGGTTGTCTGCCTCGTTGAGAAATTACGCGAAGCCGCAGCCATCTGCCAAGGGACGCGGGGATTGGGGGCGAAAATAATATTGCCCGATCAACGTTTCGAAATAAGATTATACGAAGTGCACACGAGGCGATGAGATCCTTCCCGATCTGAGGCTGCAATCTCCGCTGTGAAAGAGCCGACTGTATGATGAGCTCTTATGATGTCAGGGCTGAGGAAGTGGCCATAGGAGCTCCTCACAGTACCGCCACCAACCAAAGGAGCAACAAGGCCGTGACTAAGTGTATAGCTTAAGTTAGTACGATGGGTAACGGCCGTACTAATATGATGCCCATTAGTTTTTATGGGCGCTTGCAGGCGCTCTGCCCCAAAGCTAAGTCGCAAACCTCCCGATGCAAGCTCACCCAACTGCATGAACTCCGAGCCGTAACACCAGATGCACCTCAACGACAGCACTACCGCTCATCTTCAGTCCGCAGCAGAGCAACTACCCAAGCTGGAAAACTGTCGTCCAACCCCGAGATCTTGTCGAAAGAATGTAATACGCTTTCAGGGAAATCCTAAGTTGGTGAGGGCTTAGTTTAGAACATATTCGGCCTTCATCAATCATACGATCTGTACCCTACTCGTGAACCGACGGAACCAACACAACTCCACTTGAAACTATGCTTGAACTGTGGGTTCAACACATCTTTTGGACTCCCATTTTCATATCCAACGAAACTCATTCCTAGCCTCAACTAAGGTGTGTGGCAAAAAACTTATCTGAAACCGTAGCTTTTAAATTAGCATTTTCGCGGGAAGATTTCACACGTTGCGCAAGGCTGATTTTGATTCGATTCGGGGCCACTAGGGTAGACATATAAGCTCGCCCGAGGATTAATATGCTTAGTTCCTTTTACCGAACATCTGTAACTACTGCACTACACTACGTTCTAATATAAGACACGAAAGTCAGCGCAGCCTTTCCCAACAGGTACCTGAACGCGAGGCATCTTACTCCGCACAGAGAATAATAATATTTTGGGACGCGTCACAGTAGTCGATCTACATGGAAATTATCGCAAGATTTCCTGTGGTAGTTAGACTCACCGAGAGATCCCAAGACTAACTGTGTCACTCGATATCAGATTCCGGCTTCCGCAGAAACTGCCAAACCGAGATTGTAGGGTTGTAATCACCTCATGTGCAGGCCGCAGGTCACCCAACCATGGCTAGGTTCAAATCAGTTAGCGCGCCCACACAAACGAAGGCGAGCAGCTGAAAATTTGTTTAATTGTTATCCTCCTGAGGTACGCTGCCGCATCAAGGTTGGCAGAGATCTCTGCGGAGTAGGAACATGTTCCCATCGTGTTACAAACATGTTTCACTGACACTGCATTAGAAAGTAGTTGGTACTCGGGGCGCGCTGTGTACTCATGTTGAGGCGTAGCATGGTATTGATGTTGTCTCGTCTGATAATGAGGGCAAGCCTTCGACTAGATATATCAATGAAGTGAAAGATAACAAGATCCCAACGTGTTTCTAACGTGTTTCACTAATACTACCAGAATGGTACTTGAACATACTAGTTGAGCATGATCGTTTGGTGGCAGTAGAGACTGCTGCTGCGCGGGAGCGCGAGAGGCTTGGTGCGAGTGCTGCGCTGCCCATCTTGAACAAGAGGCCGGTCATTTTCCACACTAGTGGCAGATATGGGGGCAAGGTATTAGATTTTTGGAGCGTCTTTTAAATGTGTTGCTTACGTGTTCCAGGTCAACCTCACCGCTATGAGCAGGCTCCTTAAGCTCTAGGGTAAAACGGTGCTGTGCGCTGCCTGCCGTCGTGACTGGGGCTCGCGCGTGAGTAAGTTTATGCTTTTTCTCTTTATTTTTATTTCTTTATTTGCCTCATCCATTTTACTTCTTGAGTTGGGTGAAACTATTGGAACATATTCTTAACATGCTTCTAACGTGTTTCATTCAGATTGCCATTTCGATCGTCCAGTGGGTGATTCTGATAGTTGCGAGAATAGGGACTATTTTGCCTTTAGAGATGAGGAGGACAACGAGGAGGAGGAGCAGGTGGGTGAGGAGGAGCAGGAGGGTGAAGAGCAGGGGGGAGAGGAGGAGGAGAAGTAGGGTGGGGCGTGGGGCGAATGTGTTCAGATCTGATTCTATATTTTCTTGAACGAATAGATGTCTCCTCTGATCACACCTCTGCTCGCTTCTGAAACTGATTCCAACTTTGACAGTGCTCCCCAAATTGACACTGGACAAAGCCCCCCTTCGCGCATTTCTGACAGAGAGTAGATAGACCTTTTGCCCTCAGAATGTGGAGACATTTTTTATAGTTCACCTGTGTGTGATTAGAATGTGCTCTGAACGTGTTTGCGTGCATGTTACCTCGTTCTTTACTTGGCCTCTCTTGGCGTTGCTAGCCAGGTACAGCGGGAGAGGAGGCAGCACATCCTTTGCTGCGTGAGCAGCCCTAGTCCTCTTTGCATTTGCTGTGGTAGATAGTGTCCGCTTTCGCTTTCTCCTAGAAGGCTGAGCAAGAGAATCTCTCTCCAACGTATTTGCAACGCGTTCTAAACCAACGGGCTCCTCAGCCCCCTCGTCCTCATTTCCCTCAACCTCAGTCTCCTCAACCCCAGGTCCCTCAGCTACTGGTTTATCCCTTGGGGGATCTTCCATGTCTACATGCCCTTCGCCATCTGTTTCACCCTCTCTAGCTGAACGTACTGTTAACGTGTTTGGAACGGGTTGCGGTGGGGAGAAGAGTGACCGATAGAACCTAAGCGCGGTTTGTTCAGAGGCATGCGTTGAACGACCAGTCTGCTTAGGGGCTGGTGGATAGTCTTTGTGGAAAGATTTTAGATGGTAGATAACAGCACCTCTATCACTAAACTTCTTCTAAGCAAAGTGGTTAGCAACACGTTTGGAACGTGTTTTAACACATACCCCACACATTGACTGTTTCTCAGTCCTATCCCAAAGAGCCCGGCAAAACAGTTCTCCGTTGTAGACCGTATAGCAGCCCGGATTAGTAGTATCTTCCTGCAACTCTGGAGTGTTGACAGGAAGGGTTTGAAGACCAGCGTACTTCTGGTAAACAGGCTAGAACAATGTTAGGACACGTTAGAAGAAACGTGTTTCAGGGCACTGACATTAAGCATTAATGTCTTGTTCCCCATGACGAGCCTGTTGTGAGGATATAAGGATGTTGTATTAGAAACGTGCTGAGAAAACAATGTGGGCAGGGTCGGCTATATTTCCGAGTCCTTCTTTGTAGTTACCAAGGTCCACTAGTGAAAAATTTTACCTTGGCATGCACGTGAATGCTAGCTAATTGGTTATAACTAGGACGTGCTTGGAACACGTTTAAAACGTGTTGTACTAACTATATACGCTTTCTCATCTCAAACGCGTATTTCTCTTTCTCAAACTCAAATCTCTCCCTTTCAAGCTGTAACTGAGCCCTTTGAAGCTCCAGCTGCTTCAGCTCGTACGCAATATCCTGGCTAGACACTAGAACTTGCTTTTGAAGGCTCTGGGAACCTGAACTCCTATATATGTGTTAGAAACATGTTCTAAACGTGTTAAAATAACATACCTAGGAGGTGGTGACCATCTTATAGGCGAATACCTTGATGGTGAAGACCTTGCAGGTGAGGACCTCCCTTGCGAAGCCCTTGACCGACTCTGAGACTTCGATTTACGTCCCACTGAGGGGAGTACCTCATCGTTGTCAGATAAGACAATAACCTCTTCCTCTTCTTGATATTTCCGTTCTAAACGTATTAGTTTGTGTTCTACTTGCATAATTGTATAATACTTACTTGCCTCACGCCCTTGATTAGCAGAATATTGCTGGCTTAGTGATTGGTCACTACTATGTGCAGTACAGATCCTATATTTATCCCTTGCATTAAATTCCTTTACGTCCTGGAGGTCCATTTGTTGACTACTATAGAATGCGTTAGAAACATGTTTAAAGCGTGTTAATAAGAATCGTACTTCTGTATCGCCTCTAGTAAAGACACCCGAATGCCGGTCCTGTATCCCTTCATACCAGCCTGCTCAGCTGCGTTGGTATGTGTTTCTAACGTGTTCCAAGTGTCTAGCGTCATCAGACTGCAGCATCTAGCAATCCCTGCGGCAATCACAGGACTCTTCTTGTTCAGGGCCCAGTTCTTCACTGATACAGATTCCTCGGATTCTAGGAACGTGATTAGAACACGTTCAGAGCGCGTTGTTACATTTTACTTACGAATTAGTAGGTTGCACAATGCATTATAATCCTCAGCTGTCTCTACTTGGCAGAGGGACCTCATACGGCTCCAGACAGAGTCCTCTGAGTGGCTAGAGGTTGGGGCAGCAGTATTAATACTACGCGTAAAGTGCGCTAGGCAGAAGCGGGTACAAGAGGCAAGTTGCCATCTCCAGTCCCGTTGCTGCATGTCCATAGTCTGGAGATATAGACCAAACCCTTCAAACACGTTAATAACACGTTTCAAACATGATCACTTGCCTACCTTTCATCTGCTTGCTGCACATGTCAAGGGTAGTCCCGTAAAACCCTTTTTTATGGAGGTGCTGCCACTGGACAATTTTTTGTGTACGCTCTCCAACTAGTTTGAAAAAGGCGCAGAACCCAAGAAAGGATATGTCCCGGGAGTCTGTGTCAGTTACTATACGACCAAGCGTAAGCACTGTAACATGTTAGAAACGTGTTTCAAACGTGCTATTGTATGCTACTTACTTCTGCTATGCGGCCCATGGAAGACTGCGATAAGAATCTCAGCCCACTTTCCTTGGAGTCTTTTGTACGACATATCTATCTGAAAGGTCTTCTGGTCCATAAGGATCTTAGCCTGCTCGTCAAAAAAACAGACAATAATGTTTCCAGAAACCCCAGAGATAATCTGTCGGATATACGCCTAAACGTGCTTAGAATATGTTTGAAACGTGTTATAAAGGAAAGCTTACAATTTCAGGGGTTTGATGTCTTGTCCTCCACTCATAAACAACACTTTGAAGCCCACCCCCATATGGAAACGTAGAAAGCTTCTCGCTCTTGATAATACTTGAAACTCGATCCTTGTTTGCAAAGGCTACATGTAAGTCCTCTATTGAACGATATCCATGCTGGTCAAGATACACATGAAGCGCTCTAGAGTTTAGGAATTGAGCTAAACTTATTTAGAACGTGTTGTAAACGCGTTACTGAAGCAGACTCACATCTCGTAAGCCCTGGGGTGAGCATTGGCCGCAACACATCTTTAAGATCCTCAACATACTCACCCTGAACCACAGAGGGAGGAGGCGGTACATGCGTATGTGTTCCAATCGCGATTAGAACGTAATACGGGATTGCCCTCAGGTCAACTGGTATAATAATTTGCCACGTGGCTAAACAAGGAACAGTTGTAAGTTTTCCAACGCCTTGGGGGTGGTCCTTGTCTATAAACAAGTTAGAAGCGTGTTTCAAACGTGTTCTAGATATTAGCTTACTACAGTTCTCGCCCCGTGCTGACGTTGGCTCCACTACAAAGCAATGCTCACATTGCTGATTCTCTGCTGGTAAGCCATGCTCAAACAGTGATTGAAGATACTCTATATCAACTTTGGCATCAACCGTCTTGATAAAATGCTTCTCTGTATCCTTTGTAGACCAGTGCCAACTCTTACAACCAATATACCATGGTTGACCTCCAGCTAGAGACTAAACGCGTTAGAACCGCGTTTATAACATGTTTATTGTGTGTACACTTACGACTTCACCTTGTTGGCAAAGAATAGGCCCGCATGTCTCCTTTTGATCACGGCAAGCTCCTTCTTGAAAACTTTTACAAGCCCCAATGTAGGTACTATATTCTGTTACAAACATGTTTAAAATACGCTTTAGATGTATTAAAATACTTACTTTGTAGCCCTTTGCTTGTCATCATCCTTACTTGTATGAGGATTAGGTCGAAGTGATCGGATCTTATCCCAGAGGGTATCATCGACCTTATTATGAGAACAATTTTGTAACGTGTTTAGAAGGTATTGACAGCACTTGATACCAGAGCATTGGTATCTCCATCGTCGAGCAGGCTGCTTGTTGAAGAATGGACACACAGTTGGACGGTTCCCAGATATGAGACGCTTAGAATATTGAAACTGATCGTGTTCAGTGCGTGCTAGGAACATGTTGTGAACGTGTTTCGAGAATTACTAACCTCTGTTGCCTTCTTGTAGACATCCTTTACATCTGGTATCTCTCCTTCTTGATTCCTTGTTACAGGAATTATAAAGGCGCAGCCCCCGTCTAGTGTCTTTGGGTAGGCTGGTAGTGTTGCAACAAACTGCGTTTCAGAGGCAGTAAGGGGAGGTCCTTGATTGTTTCCCACAGTGAACACGTTTGGTATGTCCTGTAGCACGTTTAGAACATGTTTCTATCGCATTAGGCTTTCCTACGTACCTCAGTATCTTCGTCATCCTGGATTGAGGCGTCAAATGGCTGCGTAAACTGGTCTCCAAGTTCAAATGTGTGATCCTGCCTCTCCTCTACATCATGCCTGACAAGGAAAGGATTGTAGAGCGCGACAGAATTGTCAAGTTCATTCATTATATTTTAAACGTGTTGCAAACGTAATGCGAGGGAATTAATGTTCTGGAGAAGTTGTAAATTAAGGGACCCGTTGCTTAAATAGTCGTGCGACCATGGAGGAGCTAGTCTGCCATAAAAAAAATTTAAAATTACGTTTTACCATTTTGGGAGGGATCTGATGGTTTGCCAAGGCCAGCTCATGGTTGGATCACATCCCGACACCCTCATGTGCATGCACAAAGGCAGGGCGTGAATCTCCAGCTGACTACCGGGTGAGGGAGAACATCACCATATTCTAATGTAGGATGCACCTCTTTCGTTTAGCGAATCGTGAGATTTACAAAGTACTATTTACTTTATTGCCCACGGTGAGAAAGAGCCCAAGAGATATTTTCAGGAAGAGGGCACGATTGAAGTGTGAGCTGAGGAAAGGAGAGGTCTATTTCCGCACCGAAATCTCTATCCTCTAGAACGCTTTGCCTAATTCTAGCAAACAGTCCATCCATGACACGAACTCGTTCCATCAACCCAAACCACCGAACGCGAACCTCAGCATCCTCTCCACCACCACGCTCCTCAGCTCAACAACTCCTGCACCTCTTTAACAATCAACCTCTCTTCTACACTGCTCCCTTTAACCTTTCCCACCGTTCCCTTCGCATCCATAACCCTCCATAAGTCCCTCACCTCTCCATCCATAGGCGCGCAATACACCAGCCAGCCGGTCGCAATCAGCGCCATCTTTTTGACCTCCGCGTCTTTCTCCCCTTGACCTGTGCCGAGGATTTCAAGTAGCGAGGCAAGAAGCTCGACTTGTTCGGCCTCGTCGAGTTCGACGTCCGAGTGCGGCGTGCTTTGCGAAGGCGGGGCGTTACTGTGTTTCTTCATCCGGATCTTGTGATTTGAGGATGTTATATTCATAGCGAGACTTAGGGCTGAGGCCTTGAGCGCTGGGTGTTTGTCATCGAGAAGGGCGGTTGTGAGGAGCGATATCAGCGTAGCGGAGAGTGGAGAAGAAAGAAGGTGTGGGATGAAGAGCGGGGACGTGAAGAGGTTGCATGCGAGATGCAATGTTGTAAGTCTTAACGGATATGGTGTGGAAGTCCCAAGCTTGTCGGCATAACTGAGGAGGTGAGAGACTGTTGCTGGAGTGCCCGTCGCGCCTCTGTGCTCTTCGGCGAAGAATCCAGATACGCGGACGTCGGTGAGTGTGATCCTCAATAGATCTAGCGCCGTGAACAGGAGATCAGGAGGGAGCGACTTTGTGCTCCTCTTGAGGAACTCTGCAAAAGAGGGCAACTTGGTGAGGGGTGCCTCCATTGCACCAAACCTCTCCCTTGCATCAATAAACGACACAATCGAACTCACAACAGGATCTTTCCCCACAGTACCCATTTTCGCAACGACCTTTTCCAGTGGCGGAACTTTTGCGTACATAATTGGTCTCTGGCTCTGCCTCAAAAGCGTCGGTACGTTCTTACTCAAATGCAGATGTGGCGGGAATGCAGCATTCAACAACATCTCTACATTATTCCTCAACATCCTCGCATCAGCCCCACTCCATTCATCACGTTGCTGGCCTTTTAAAAAAGTGATGAACGTCGGCGTGACTCGCACATGTGGGAATTTGGCACTGATGGCGCGGTCTGCGTAGCTGAAGTCTATCTTTATGAAGATGCACTTCATATTGGCCTCGACTGCTAGGTCATCGTATGGTTGGTATACAAGCTTGCAGGGTGCGCAGGTGGAGCTTGTGAAAAAGATAATAGCGCAGCGGTCTGAGGCTAGCTGGAGGAGACGTTCGACGTCTTGGAGACGGGTTTCGTTATTGACTCTACTTGTGTAGGCAGCCAGGGGAGAAGTTGATGCAACTGGTGGTACTTGGGCCGGAGTAGGAGCTGAAGCCCGTGTCGGTATCGCGGCCTTAGAAGACGGCTGTTGGTGATCTAATTCAGGAGCCGGTCGACTTCCATTAGTTTCGTAGGGGCGAAATGGTGCAGGCGTTGGCGCCTGGGTAATGGGTCGCATCATATTATCAAGATGAGGTCTCAACATCTGCCCAAAGGGAGTATTGAGCACCGTCTCTGGGAGGGAAGTGATATGGTCTGGAATGCCTTTGCCGACGAGAAACATAGCGAAGTCGTTGGTGCTTAAACATATCAGTATACTTGTGCCTACTGTGGAAATCAAAAAAGTAGACTTGATCATTAAAACCCATTCCCAAATTCAAGATGAAGGCTAAAGAATTCCGACCTCCGTCTTACGACAGGAAGCATCCGGGAGCTTAAGCAGAAGATATTAAAACACTCACAAATTATTACAATTGTGCAGGAACAAATCATATGACTATCATCATCCATTAGCTTCCATCCAACCCGCGTTGGGGGGATAGTACTCACCTCAGCTGTATACACCGTCTTTAGGGAATCCAGATATTCCAAAACAACTTCCATAGGCAGGTCCGTCACTCCCATAGGAATGACCTCCATGGGCTTTCCATGATGTGTACTGCCCGCCCTGCATGTCTGTACTCCTTGCCCGAAAAAGTATTCTATACCTTCAAAAACAAGTGAGGTGTGGTATACGGCGTCTATGCAGCACGGTAAGCAGATGAATTGGAGCTTTGCTCGAGGTATCCGCACCAATGTGTCTCCCGAGGAGCTGGCTGGACATCTATGCTGGGTTAGAAGCGCTCTTGAAGGGCTCTCAATAGGGCATCATACCGTCCGAGCCAGACCCTAGAAGCCGACTGTCAGTGAAGCTTTCCCGTTACTTGGGAAGCTGGCTTACTTGGGAGAGGTCGTACACATATAACTGGACCTGCATAGCTTAGGGTATATTTGTTGGTCTCAGTGAGTGCTTGGGTGATTACTGCAGCACTGCGAAGGAGATTCTTTCATGGGATTACGAGGCACGGTGTTCAGGCAACGATTGATGTGCGTGGAAGCTTCGCGACCATGTCCCCGAAGAGCGTGGCGGTGTGGCGGGGCAAGCACGAACGCACGTGTGTGGAACGGACGATTTCGTCCGGCTTACCCCACGCTGCTGATTGGTTGACATAAATATGCTTTAGTTTCCATCCCACCTTAAAGTCGGATATGAGCATATACTAAGCTTCGTGAGTACTCTATATAGTGAAAGTGGTGCGTTGACAGTTCTAGAGGAGATCGGGTTTATTTGACTACTACGCTATTTCGACGAAGAGGTTAAAATCTAGAGCTGCCAGATTTCTCAAAGAAGAGGGCATCACCGATGCTTCTTCCTTTTCACTCCGCCATCTCCTACATTTCCTGTCTTGCTCGCCTCCCCTGACACCCTCGTCCTCCCTATATTCCCCTTCTCTCCCACCCCCTCACTCTCCCCTCCTTTAACGTCCAATGCAATGCAATACATCAACTCCAAACTCTCTGGTTGGCGTGTTCTGACTTTCGCCAAGTGTGAGCCCTACTGCGGACCGAGAGCCCTTTCAGTAAGCTCGCCATGCGTGGAGTCGTAGTGTCCAATACCGTATACTCTGGCTTTTCCGCATAGATATTGCCTGCGTGGCCGAAGAAGGTGTTCTGCTAGAAGGTGGTTCTTCCAGTCGGAGGCGAGCTTGGGGCAAGAAAGATATTAGGTATAAGGCTCAACATCCGGAAACTCTCTAGGACACTTATGGCGCATATTCAAGCCAGTTGGTTCAATATCCATATGGGATGCAGAGTACCATATTCAAGGAATCAATGAGTTAGGCCGATTCTCCCTCTCAGTGTTAATTGGGCTATTATTATGCGGAAGCTAATCCGGCAAGTGCCCGAAAAGGACACTGACTAAAAAGTCTCTAGACAGTCGTCTTCTAAGTTGTCTCGCTATATCCAAACCGGCCAGCCATATTTATTTTCAATAATACCGACGCCTTTACCTCGAATTTCACGTTGGAATTGGCTCGCCTGTGGCCCACCTACGTCTGCTGGAGGTGGTAATGGGTCCCCATACATATACATACTTCACACGCCTTCTCCTTTACCTCTACGGAAGCTGTCTCGTAACCACTTGCTTTTCCCCCACGTTCCTCTTCTGAGAGTTTCGGAATTATTTTGCGCTTGTACTAGCTATAATCTATGGCGTTAAGAGGGTCCTTTCATGGTATTGCTTGTTGCATGTGTAGCTGTATTCGAGCGTCGTGGGAGGGAAGCTAGTCAAGCCAGCCAGGCGACGCTCTCGCCTCTCGCTAAAATGCATCTCTAGGGCGGTAGGCGTAACCATGATAGAGATAAAGAGCAAAAGTGAACTTATCGAAAGCAATGGAAAGATAGAGACAGGGGCCTAAGCAAGGCTGAAGATAGCAAAAGGTCCGGAGGTCTGCACGTGAATGAGGAGTTGGAGATCTAGTAGAGCAGGTGGGCAACAACTGATTAATATCCAGCATTAGAAGGAGCCATGACTGCGGCGGGGTGGACGAAGGAAGAACCCACTCCACAAGCTCCTCCGACTTTGTTTAGCTCCCATGGGAGAGAAGCAGTCGCGACTCAATGCATGAGAAGTAGTCTGGAAGAACGTGAAACGTCTATCTTTCAAACTATTGGAATAATACAGACTGGAAAATCTGCAGCATGCCCTGACTACGGGTTGGCACACACGCTAGGCTATTACCGCCTCTGGGTATCACGCAACTTTCAAAACTCCATTCACATCCAAAATCCTACCCTCTAAAAGGACCCCCCAATCTGACCGTTCATATTCTTCGTGTACATTGTTTGTTTCCTCTTAACCTTCCTTTTCTTTCCATGCCCTTGTGAATCATGTTTCAGTCCCATGGCCATGGCCACGCCTCCTGCAACGCCATTTGGATGAACCTCGCGATCTATTTGAGCCTGCCGCTTGCGGGTGGCTTTGCGCAGTTTCCATTTGCCAATCGAGCGCTGATATTGTCGCCTGATCCCACTGTTCATGAGCACGAGGATCGTGACACACATAACGGGTATGGCGATTTTCCAGAAGAAGGCATCAGAGTGGTTGTTGACTCCTATTTTCAAGAGTCAATAATACGCAAGCCAATCAACGACTCGAGTACTTACCATTGAACCTCGTAAAATTCTGTCCGAAATACCCAGTTATGAATGTCAGAGGTAAGAAGAAGATAGTGGCACTCGTGAGTTGTTTCATCGACTCATTCTGGTAGGAGCCCATCACATTGAAAATGAGGTCAATGAGATTATCAGCAGCCCGTCTCATCTGATCCAAGGATGCCGTTATCATGATGCAATGATCCTCGACGTCACCTAAATACGTATGTGCAAGGGGGGAAATGGTTATAGAAGATATGATCTTGCGGGTTGGGCCTCCAGACAAGCCAGGGGTGAGGGCAGGCTCGGATTTGTGGTCCCGGAGGGCATTAATAAGAGATATGATGGGTTGGATGGTGTTTCGGAGGATAGACAGCTCCGACGTGAGAATATAGAGAGACTGTGAATGCCAGATTTCAGGGTCGCGTAAGACATCTAATTCTAGTTCTCCCATGGCATCCTACGAAGCTTTAGCGATGAATTTTACGTGCGAGCTGGTGACATACCTCATAGGCTGTAACGACAGGAATGGCTAAATCGATAATAGCATCAATAATAGCTTGAACTAGCATGCTTGCATCGCAGCTGCGCCGAAGGATGGTATCTTCAGAGTTCAGACGTTTGAGAATAGGAGACTCAATGTCAGCTGCTGAGTGCTCAAAGAATGATATGACGGTGTTGTCTGCGCAAACGAACATGGAGACCTGCTCCACGCTCACTGCTAGTTGTTTTTTTGCTAGTGCAGAGTGCTGTTCTAAGTAGATAGTTCTGTTTAGATTCGGCCCACCGCGATAGCGCTGAAGGGTGCGTATTTCTTCCCGCTGCTGAGCTCCTCCATAGTACGGTCGCGAAGGGATGGTGCCATCGAGGTTGTAGTCCTTTTCCTCGGTGCCCCATGAATTTTCAGGATCCTGTCGTGGGCGAAATTCACTCGATCCAGAGCCGAACAATTCCTTCACGTGTCTATAGAAGGATCTCGGTTTTCGCTTCTTGGAGTGTCTTGGATTTCTTGGCTTCTTCGTCTCACCCTCCACATCGGAGTCGCTACTATCGGAATCGTCGTCCGGGATAGTGACAAGTTTCGAGAGCGTGAACAGCACTTGGCAACAGTCAGTTTTGTGTAGCGGTTGGTTCTCTCCATTACCAGTGGTAACATGTCTTTCCGATAGATTATTGTGGGAAGAGGGCCAAATGCCTGACACTAAAGAACAGAAACAGTCGGAAAGGGGGCACGGATGTCGGAAGCGAGGCAAGAAAGATAGTGCACCTACAGAAAGCTTGGTCAGAGTACCAATCGGCCTTGGTTCGTCCTCTAGTGTTCATTAAATCCTCGATTGCTAGTCTGTGGAGGCCTTTGTGGTTGCCGAGCATGCGAATCACGTCCCAACTCAATCCGTTGACATTGATCCACCGACATGAAACCCACTCGTCCTTAGGTAGGTTCAGAAATGCTTCCAGGGTGTCATTGTCGAGTGGGTGGCACTCGACGTGCTCCTCGGAAAAGTCCACCACGGTTATGTCGCAACGACGCTGCAGATCCTTGTGGGCTTCAGTCTCCTTTTTGGTGTCTATGCCAGGCTCGGCACCGGGCTCCTCCCACTTTGGCCGAGTTGGGGAATGGTAGTGTCGCACGGTATTGGAGCGCGTAGGCCGGCGTCTGAGTGTGGAATCGATAGAGAATCGCGAGGGGGAGAAGAGGCTGTTGCCGTCGACCTGGGCAGCTGTCGCATTAGCGGAGCTGGGCTGCCGTCCACAAGACGAGGTCTCAAGCCGCAGGGTGTCGTCGCCAAAATGCGGGCGCTGCGGTGCTGCGGGACTCTGCGGCGACGCAAAGTCGTGTACCTTGGGGTCGATTGGGGAGGCCATTCTGGTTGCTGTTGGGGGTTTCTACGTCACCGCGAAGAAGAAACCTGAGGGGGCTGTCGGGGACTAAATTGTCGGGTGCGCGAAAAAGCAACTAGGCGATTAGCCATTGAGGAGGTGAATGCGGCTGCAGCTGTGAAATATTGACGTTCGCAATGCAACCAGAGTCTTTGTCATTGACAACGAAGAGGTGCTGATGTAATGATGGATATTTTCAGCTGGCTCAGAGGAGCATGGTTTCAGCCCACAGGTCGTTCTGGCGGCGGGCATCGGGCCTCGCGCGAGCCGTGGATGGGGTAGGTGGAGCGGGCATACACACAGGCGCCTGCGAACCGCGAACAACCTCGCCGCCATCCATCTGACAGGAAGACGCGGTGGAGAGGCTCAATTTGGGCAGTGGCTCTACCTTCCATGCAGCAGCAGAGCAAAAGCGCGGCGAGCACGTACTCTCTCACGCGAACGGGCAGGGAGCAGGCCTCTGGCTGTGAAATAGCGGCCATTTCGGACATGGGAGACATGGGAGACATGACAGGCAGGGTTTCACTCAAGTGACACGGCGGAGGAGCCTTTGTCAGCCTCATCCCATCGCATCGCCACCGACGGCGAGGGCTCGCGGCTGGCGAGAGAGAAGAAAAACTAATCCGACGCGATGCATTTTGCATGCCACTGCCTTCCAGTGTTATAATTGCTGCCAGCATTTTGCCGCGCACAGTGACTACTTGTTGCTGCCGGCGGGACCCCAGCTGTTATTCTTAACGCATGAGATTGAGACTCGGGCTGGAAACGGCGAGCCAATCACCGCCCGCTCTCCTCCAGCAGTCAGTTCTCTCCACCCGCCCTCCTCTCTCACCGAACCCACGCCCGCCGTGCTTCGTCCCATTCATCCCCCCCAGCAGCCAGCTACTCGACATCCTCTATCCTCCCTCGCCGCAGCCCGCATCGAGTCCCGCCGCCCGCCTAGCGCCGTTGCCGTCGAGCATCGCGCAGCAGAGAGTCGATTCTGGCGTCCGTTCGCCACGCGCACTTTCCTTGGCCTGGACACCCCTAACGCATAGCAAACATCTTCATCTCCCTCGACCAGCCATCTCGACACCCCCTATCGCGCGGCCGACTCGATATTAAGCACCCCTCGACCGAGTCCGGCTGTTTTCTGCCTCACCAGCCTGCTGGATTCCTTTCAACCTCGAGCAAACCCAGCTCAGCGCCGAGTTTGCTCGTCCCAAGCGAAGGCCCTTTGACTGCAGAGCACACGAGCCTGCACCCAAGCCCGCGAGCAAAGAAAGGACTGGCCCTGCTGCCTTTCTCCTGCTGGCTGCCCCAGTTTGCCCGTCGATTGACCTGCATCCCCTCCACGGCTTGCCTTTCACCACATGCGACACTAGTGCTGCAATCACCCCACACGGCATCCCGAGTCCCTTCCGCTTGACACGCCCAACCACACCGAACAAACATGAGGGAGGTCAATTTCAGCATTCCGAATGCCAACAAGGCCTCGGTCGGTATCACCACCGCCCTCTACGATCGTCGCGCCCTCGACTGCACCTCGACCCTGCCGCTCATCAACTCGCTCAACCATCTCGCGTACCTGACTGCGTCCTCGGCCCGGATACGAGATATCCTCACCGTCGATGGCGGCATCGAGCGGCTGATATGCATACTGAAGGACGGCAGGAGCAAGGACATGATGGACATGTGGAAGTGGAACCTCGCATTCCAATGCATCTTCAATATTGGCGTGCGTGGCTCCGAGAACGTCAGAACTAGAGTGGTGGAGGCGGACATGGTGCCCGTAATTGCAACCATTCTAGACAACTACATCAAGGTTGTGGACAAATGCAGGGAGCGGGCAGAAGCTGAGCTGCGTAAAACCACCCGTCTTGGCGGCTCAAGCAGACACCACTCATCACGTTCAGGCGAGGTAGCTTCCAGCTCCAGCCATAGAGCTGAGCGGACGAGGCGTGCAATACCCCCTCCGATCGAGATTCCACAGACCTTCACCCAGACGCCTTTGGAATCGCAGGCTGGAGACACCACCCCCACCCCGGCCTTCTCACTGAGCTCACCGCCTGAACGAACATCATTCGCCCGCCCCCATCATCATCATCATCATCATCATCATCACCGCAGCCAAGAAGGCAGGGCTCACCTGTTTGGAACCGTTGGCGGCACAACTCGCAATATCGGGCAGCCGATGGTCTCAGCATTGCCGGCCATGGAGACCACAACCACATTTGCGCTGAGGCCCGTGCGAGATGTTGATCGACTTCCCTCAATGCTTCCTGCGTTGCAGGGGGAAATCACTTCCCAACCCGAATCTCCAACCACGCCAAACGCTCCACACGGCCGGCAGACCAGCCCCCGGCCAGGTGCCGGACGATCACGACGCCGCCCGTCCATTCGCCATCAACTTTCTCTGTCTGGGGAGTCTGACATTGATGGCCACCACGAGGAGATGGCTGCCGAAGCCACAAACGCCGGTGCGGCTGTTAATGAGCCCATTGTCGGAATACAAAACGAGATTAATATGTCTGACATGGTGGATAATGCGGAGATGCTCGATGCTGGAGCTACCCCAGTCGCCCTCGCAGCTCCACCATCAGAGGGGGCTGATGAAAGCCACGAGACGTTCAACATCACCCACCGCCCCGCCCTGGATGGAAGCCTCATTAATCCCGCCAATACTCAGACCACTGGTCCCATTGGTGGTTTCTCTCCCGTGCAACCAGCCATCAACGTGGTTAATACTAATCCCCCTCCACCGTGGTACCCCCGCTACTCCCAGGATCGTAATGCCACTGCTGGCGTACTCGCTGCAATGCCTCGAGATGAGGACGTCCTCATGTCCCTCCAGCTCCTCGCGTACGTGTCGAAATACTGCAACCTCCGCTCGTACTTCCAAAAATCTCACCTCGTCCCAAAACTCAAGATCGGTTCAGACCTACAGTTACTTGACGGAGAGGTAGCGAGCCCATCTCCTGTATTGGACGAAGAAGAAGACGAGGAATACCTCCTTCCGGATGATTTCAACATCTTCCCGCTTGTCGAAAAGTTCACCGTCCGACATCACACTTCAGACATGCAGTATTGGGCAAGCGTAGTGATGCGAAACCTGTGTCGGAAAGATGACTCAAGAGGTGGCATTCGACAATGCGCGTATTACCAGTGCGGGAGATGGGAGGAATTTACTCGACAATTCGCCAAATGTCGCCGCTGCCGACGCACAAAATACTGCAGCAAAGAGTGTCAAAAGAGCGCCTGGGTCTTCCACCGGCACTGGTGTGTGGCAGCAAACTAGCGAGATGGACGAATTTCCTTAATTCATTATCGCGTCATCATCATGGAGTGCAACATTTATCTCTGCCGCATATTGCAAGGCGCCACGGCTCATCATATTTTCGATTTCCATACTTAATGAAGCGACACGACCGGATACCATCCCATACTCAGACTGATTGGCTTTTGGACACGGGAATCTATACCGGAGTTGGAGTGGAGTGTGATGTGACTTCTTTTGGATTACAGTGGAGGATGGGTTTCAAGAATGGGACCTGTCGCTTCTTCATTATACCATATTTTTAGGGAAGGTATTGCTACCCAATGATGGAAGATTCCGGTAGTGGATATGGAGAGAGGAGAAGGAGGCTTAGTGCAAATTCACATGGTACCTTATGGACTTTGGCCATTTGGTCTTTTTAGCGTGCTTGCATTATGAGTTTCTTGGATTTTCCCTTTTGCTCAAAAAGATTGGAAGCGACACGCTTAATTAAAATGTCTGGAAAGCATTTTTTTTACGAGAACTCTTTTCCTTTGTTCTACATTGTTCATCTCAAGCCAGTTAAGATGCACCACAGTACGGCCAGAGCTGGGCTCGCTAGAGGAATGTGGCTACGGTTATCTTCTTTGCTATCTCTCCTCGCATTTCTCCTAATTCCTAGTAATGGCCCTATCTGCGAGTGCGGAAAACTCCAGTTTGGATGATGAGAGGTTGGTTCGTCGATGAGTCTGAGTTTCGTGGATGTATGGGATGGGGTGTTTGGGAGAAATGTATCAGGGGTAGTTCTATCTATCTAGGATATCTGCATTGAGAATGATTATGGCTAATTCAAATCAATATGACCTTTTAAATGCCTTTGCGTGTCGTGATTATGGACGAGAGGATTATCGATCAGGTGTTAAGAGGGTTGTTTGGAGGTTTATGCGCATGAGGCTCGTGACTATGCTGTGATAAACGAGCCGGGCGGACCTGGATTATGGGTTGGGGTGTGCTGAGGAGGGTTGAGCACCGGAAATCTGCCTTGCACATACGCGCGCTTGATGAAACGAAGACTTTGATGGAAAAGGGAGTTAGGAGGAGAATCAGTCGATGATGGACACGATAAATGTGGTTACGTCAGATGTCAAAAATAATTAGTTAGGGCTGTGCAGGTTTGGGAGGGATGCAGGGGTTTGGGTGGTTTTTGGTGGGTTGCACATCATGTGGCTGCACCGTGAGATCGGGTACAGCCGTGTAGGTTTGACGCTGAACTTGCTTCTGGCGGTACCTGACCACTTCTGCCCTTTTGTTTGCACGACGAACTCCAGGGGGATGCAGAGCCCTCAGCCCTCTAGCATCGACGCGTAATTGAGACCGCTGACAGGTACGTAGGATAAGCGTGCGAGCCCTCAACATCGCCCCGAAGACGAAAACCTCGCCGGCAAGGCTAGCGGAGAGCGAGAGCGACAAGAGAGGGTGACGGATGACATTCCATCATGTCAGGAGGTGGAGAGCCCCCGAGTCCAGGCAATGGAGGCATTCGCCGGCGACACTCGTCGCATTCCTACATCGACGATGAGTACCAGAGCGCGGCAGTGCAAACCGGCGATACCGTGGCATCAGCGACCATGTACACGATGGAACCCCCGCGACGCTCAGCAACAGACCCCGATGCTGCCCCCGCCTCGCAGTCGTCCGCCCTTGATCCAACCGCCAGACCATCAATGTCTCGCATGTCCACCGACGCCGCGCCTCGAGTTCGCTTCTCTACCGACATTGAGCGCCACCCGTCCGCACAAAAGTCACGGCCAGGCACCGCAGGAGCGTCAATTGATGAGATTGCGCAGGCAGGGAGGGCTTCAGCGGCTTCGAGAAAGCGGTCTGGCACCCCAGATCTTACCGTCGACACACATGCTCGTCCAGCAGGGAGCTCCTCTGCGGTAGGCCAGAGCACTATTGTGTCCCCTCCCGCTCTCTCTCCCCTTTCACCAAGGAGTTCTGGCAGCATGTCTCCACTCTCACCGACCAGCCGGGCCCGCGGATATTCGCTGCGTAGTGCTTTGTTCAAGAGGAACATTCACGACCAGACACAATCGCCAGGGGCGAGCATTGAGCTAGAGGAGAGAGCTGGGTCGTCACGGCATACCCTTGTGGAGGGAGACGAGGCAGGAGAGAAGGATCGAGACACGGTGGTTGCGATTTCGCCCGCCGGTGTCGATTACGGTTCGGAACACGTGGGAGCCCCGAAGGGGAAACTAGGGAAAGGACCCATTGCGCTCCGAAACTACGACACCTGGCTACAGGCAAAGGAAAAGAAAACGGGCATAGTGCAAAAGGCTCGAGCCTTTGGCGTCCAAGCAAGGAAGTTCCTTCTCCGGATCAAGGACATCCCCCCAAGCAAGGATGGTCGGCATATTGATCTGGATCCCACGCGGAAAGAGCGTCGCATTGACGAACGCACAAAGCAGCCCTACACCAGCAATTGGATCCGCTCTACCCGCTACTCGGCCTGGAACTTCTTCCCGCGGCAATTAGTAGCGCAATTCTCCAAACTCGCAAACTTCTACTTTCTTTGCGTGTCTATTCTTCAGATGATACCCGGTCTTAGTACCACGGGGACTTACACGACTATCGTGCCCTTGATGTTTTTCGTTGGACTGTCTATTGCAAAAGAGGGGTATGATGATCTGAGGAGATACCGGCTCGACAAGGCGGAAAATAATCGAGAGGCTCAGGTGCTTCATGCATACAAACCGACCCCAACGAGCATCTCCAGTGATGCAGAAAATTCAGAGTCGCCTTCGGTTGGGCCTCTTCATTGGGCGGCGACTAAGTGGCAACACATTAACGTAGGCGATGTCATTAAGCTGGAACGTGATGACGCTGCGCCAGCCGACTTGGTCCTCCTACATACAACCGGCGAGAACGGCGTAGCCTATGTGGAGACAATGGCCCTAGATGGAGAAACTAACCTCAAGAGCAAACAAACCACAGCCTCTCTTTCGAAGGCCATCACAAAACAGGAAGATGTAGCTACGTGCAACGCCGAATTCGTCGTCGAAGATCCGTCTCTAGATCTATACAATTTTGAAGGTCGTGTGACGGTTGCGAAGAAGACCGCACCTTTGACCGTAACAGAGATCATCTATCGAGGCAGCATCTTGAGAAATACCCCTGACGTTGTAGGTATGGTCATCTACTCGGGAGAAGAATGCCGAATCCGGATGAACGCCAACAAGAACCCCAGAATCAAGGCCCCATCACTCCAGTTCGTAGTCAACAGGATCGTCATCGTCATCGTCATATTCGTTCTGTTGCTAGCTATCTTTAACACCGTCGCTTACCAGATCTGGTCGGAACGCACCGAGGAGCAGCTTTGGTATCTGTCAAATGCATCGGTCGCCTTCTTCCCCAACCTAACCTCGTTCATCATCATGTTCAACACCATGATTCCGTTATCGCTCTACGTAAGCTTAGAAATTGTCAAGCTTGCGCAGATGTACTTCCTAAATGATATCGACATGTACGATCCTGTTTCCGATACACCCTGCGAGCCGAGGACGTCTACTATCAACGAAGAGCTTGGACAAATCAGCTATATATTTTCGGATAAGACGGGCACTCTTACCGATAACTCGATGAAGTTTCGAAAGATGAGCATTGCAGGAACAGCTTGGCTCCATGACGCTGACCTGCAGGAGACCCAGAAGAAGCAGCTTCTACATAAGAAAAGGAACAAGGGTAAAAAGCCCGTCAGGAAGAGCGTCCGGTCGGCAAGGGATATGATTACACCCATCGAACCCACGACCCCTGCTCTTGAGGCCAACGATATCCAAGATATAGTCGAACCGGAGACTCCCGGAACGAAGTGGAAGTCTTCTGCAAGACCTGGGAAGTCACAGCCAGAACTACTGACCGTCGATTTGCTCCGGTATATCCAACGGAGACCGCACACGTTGTTTGCAAAGAAAGCTCGTGTGTTCCTTCTATCAATGGCGCTATGCCATACTTGTCTTCCGGAAGCCCGGGAAGATGGGACGACGCACTTTATGGCATCGTCTCCCGATGAACTTGCTTTGGTACAGGCAGCTCAAGATATGGGCTTTCTTCTCATCAATCGCGATGTTCATACCATCACACTCAAGATTATGCCTGCTGGAACTGACGCAGAGCCTATGTTTGAGACGTATGAAGTCCTCGATGTTATTGAGTTTTCTAGCAAAAGGAAAAGAATGTCTATTGTCGTTCGCTTCCCCGATGGCCGGATTTGTATCTTCTGTAAGGGCGCAGATTCGATCGTCATGCAGCGGCTAAAGCTGTCCACGCTTGCGAATAAAAAGATGGTGGAGATTGAACGTCGTGCGAGTAAGAGGAAGAGCCTAGAGGCGCAATATGCTATCGCTCGTAAGAGCGAGCAGATAGAGCGGAAGAGCAGTGTGGGTGGCCGACGAAGTATGACTCTTGCTGGTGCAGCTCGTGCAAGTTTCACTCTCGGTCGGGCGAGCACTTCGTTCAACCGAGCTAGTATTGGTGGTCTTGGACGGTCTAGCACGGGAGGTCGCACACCCCAGCCGATGCGTGATGAGGTTGATCAGTGGTTACGCGAGCGCGAAAGAGATTACGAAATTGAGTCGATTGAGGAAACCAATGCATACTCGCCTCGGCCTTCGGGTCTTTCCGGTCTCAATCGCTACTCAGTAGCTCTGTCTGAGGCGAGAAGCTCGTTGCAGATGGAAGAAATGGAGGGTATTGTTGACGAGAGTCTTGTTGCTGATGAAGCTGCGGTTATTGAGCGCTGCTTTCAACATATTAATGATTTTGCGACAGAGGGTCTGCGTACCCTACTCTACGGATACCGATTTCTAGACGAAGATGAATACATGACTTGGAAGAAGGGATATCTAGATGCCACCACAAGCCTTGTTGATCGACAACGGTTGATCGAGGAAGCAGGAGATCTTATCGAACAGGAACTCGAGCTCTCTGGCGCAACGGCTATCGAAGACAAGCTTCAGCAAGGTGTTCCCGAAGCCATCGACAAGTTGCGCAGAGCTAAGATCAAGATGTGGATGTTAACTGGTGACAAACGCGAGACTGCCATCAACATCGGGCACTCCTGCCGTCTGATCAAAGACTACTCCTCAGTTACCGTCCTAGATCACGAGACGGGCGAGGTAGAGCAGAGCATTGGCGCCGCTATTCTAGCTATCAACCGCGGGACTGTTGCCCACTCTGTCATTGTCGTAGATGGCCAAACGCTTGCCCAGATCAACGAAGTAGAACCGCTCAAAGTGCTCTTCTACGATCTCGCTATCCTCGCGGATTCGGTGATTTGCTGTCGTGCCTCGCCTTCGCAGAAAGCAGGGCTTGTCAAGAATATCCGCAAGCGTGTTAAGAAGAGCATTACTCTCGCGATTGGTGACGGTGCCAACGATATTGCCATGATCCAGGAAGCGCATGTTGGAATTGGTATCACGGGTAAAGAGGGTTTGCAAGCTGCCCGTACGAGCGATTACTCGATTGCGCAATTCAGGTTCTTGACGAAGTTGTTACTAGTGCATGGAAGGTGGAATTATATTAGAACGTGCAAGTATACCGTTGGAACCTTCTGGAAGGAGATGGTGAGTACTAATTTCCTTGTCAACGGAGCCCACCTAGCAGTCGGGTCAGACGATGTGCTAATACAAGTTGCAGCTCTTCTACCTCACCCAAGCCCTTTTCCAACGCTCCGTCGGTTACACCGGCACCTCACTCTACGAATCCTGGTCCCTCTCCATGTTCAATACACTCTTTACTTCACTCCCCGTCATCTTCATGGGCATCTTTGAAAAAGACCTCGCCGCATCAACCCTGCTCGCCGTGCCTGAGTTGTATACAAAAGGTCAGCAGAATGGCGGGTTCAACTTCAAAGTCTATCTTGGCTGGATGTTCATGGCGTCCAGCGAGGCCATGATAGTATATTTCTGCATGCTAGGCTTGTACGGGCAAGCGTTGTTCACCGAGGATAATTCCATCTTCGCGCTTGGGACGCTGACTTTCACGAGCTGTGTTATCCTCATTTCTACAAAGATGCAGTACGTACCCCTACCTCCCCAACCCCCTCAGCGTTGACCGTCCTCCACAATCCGTATTCTACAGAACCATCTAACTTCCCCCAGGCTAATCGAAATGCACTCCAAATCCCTTCTTGCCGCACTCTCCCTCTTCCTCTCCATTGGCGGCTGGTTCCTCTGGAACATCATCCTCTCCACAACCTACAAACCCACATCTAAGATCTACTACGTCCGCAATACTTTCTTCGCCTCCTTTGGCCGCAGCCTGGGTTGGTGGCTCGCACTTATCCTCATTTTGTCCTCTGCCGTTGTCTTCGAGCTCGGTGTAGCAAGCTTGCGTGCGAGTTTCTTTACGACGGAAGAAGATGTGTTTGTGGCACTGGAGAAGGATGAGTGTGTTAAGAGGAGGTTTGAGGAGGCGGCGGCTGGGGAGTTACAGGCAGGGTGGGAGGAGAGGTGGGATGGGAAGAATAAAAAGAAGAGAGAGCAAGAAGAGAAAGTTAAGAAAGTGTTAGATGAGTTGGAGAGGAAGGAGGAGGAGAGGAGGGAGGGCGAAGTTAAGGAGTTGTTGAGGGGTAGGGTTGAGGAGGGTGACGGGGGAGGTAGGAGGAGTAGTGGGAGGGCGAGGATGAGTGGAGAGGAGGGGGAACGGAGAAGTGAGGATCCGGAACGGCTTTTTGAGGGCGCATATGGTAGGGTTAGGGAAGAGTGAACGACTTAGAGAGTTGGAAATGATATCATGAATTTTCTCAATTGCAATACTTGATTGATATCTTTGCCCCAGAGGGTTGGCTAGACCTGGTGAATATATCAAAGTGATTTTCTCTTCGTTTGACTAGGGTTTAAGGTCCTGCTGCATGGTATTTCGAACCACTACCTTCTGGTTAAGCTCATTACATCGATCGTCGGGGTATTGTCCTAAACTTTCTTGTCTTGCCCTTTCCTTGCCTAAATGGCGGGTTCTTCTGTACATGTTCGGATTCAATGCCTTGCATCATTTACATGTCACATTATCCTAATCCTAACAATAGCCATAGCCATTCATGTACACCCCAGTTCTTGGCGCTTTCTCTCCCCCTCTCCATCCTCTTACCTCATCCACTCGACCACCCAAGCGCCCAGCGTGCGCAGGTTATTCATTGTGAAGCCTTCGTCAGGGAACTTAAGGACTCCTCGCCTCCGACGGGAGCTCTCGACCGAAACGCGCAGAGGTCCCGGTCTGGGAAAGTCGGAGTCGCAGACCAGAGTCCAGGTCAGCGGGTTCCAGCCTTCATCGCGGATGTGATAGAGGGTGAGGATGAAAATGAGGACGAAGATCTACAGTATATGTGAGTGAGTTACAGGGGTGTAGCGGAGCAGAATGAATGCGATTGGGGGCTACGTACGCTGATATATGCGACGAGGATGTCCGGGATACTCATTGGGCTTACGAATGAGCGCCATCCGTTGAAGAGACAGACTAGTAGGGAGCCGAACAGCGCGTACAATGCTCGCATGTATTGCCCTCGGCTTTTGTACGGGTACCGTCTGTTGTCGCGGTCGAAAGCGCGGGCTAGGTGTTGGTCGACGGTGGGATCTTGGCCGCCAGCTGCGAGTTTTATTCTGTAAGGGGAAGGGTTAGACAGGGAAATGTATGGTTGGTTTGACATGACAAGAGAAGATGAGCAGGCTAACTAACCGTTTGTAAAATCGAAGGTAGGTTAGACAGATGACGATGTTGACAACTAGATGAGAGGCTACTGAATTTGTGGCAATCCTTCCAAGGACCTACAAACTCAATCAGTCAGGACGACGCACAATATGTTCCGAAGGTGCTCAATATACCTTTGCGGGAAATGGTTTCGTTGCGAGGAAGGCAAGGAAGCTGAAAAGCCAACATGTGGTGATAGCTACAAAGGGAATTCCCGCATGTGTGCGTTCCAGTCTCTCTCGGCCACTTTGGACGGGACCCCAGCTTGGCCATGCTTCTTTGATACGTGCCATAGCGTGCAGCGTGCGAGAAGCGTTATAAAGCGCATTTATACCGCATGTCGTAGCGGAGAAAATGTAGAAGGCGTTGAAGAAGTGGGGCCAGCCTCTCAGGTGGTTGTACACTGCAGATAGGATGAATGGGGAGTCTTGTCCGAAGTTGATCGAGTTGATTGACATGTCCCTGAGATATGGGTCTGTGTAAGGAACGTTTAGACCAACTGTAGCGATAGCCAGCGTGTAGAGAATGACGACTCGTATGCCTGTCTTGCGGGTAGCAAGTTTTATCGCTTCTGAGCGACGAAGATCGCGGTTCTCTGCTGCCGAAATAGCAACAGTCTCAAACCCAGTCATGGAAAAAATTGTTGTAGTGATGGCAGACCACATCCCGGCCAGTCGCCCTGCATCTCCAGTAATAACTTTGCGGGCATAGTTTCCCTCGTAGGGGAATTTAGCTGTCGCCAGAGGTATGGTGTAGTTCTGTACTGCGAATCCGTAAGGTGCATTGTATGTCCAGAATCGGCCACCGCGGGGTACTAGTTGGAGGCCGCTCAAGACAATGTTGAACATAATCAGCAAGACGAAGAAGAGGATTTTGATAGTGCCAACGCAGTATTCTACTTGGCCATAGCGCCGAATTGGGAGGAAGTTAACTGCGAGTATGATGGCCATGAAGATGACACACCAGATAGCTGGACTAGTTTCTTGTCCAACCTTCCAACCAAGTGATGGATCCGGGTATTGCAGTTTCTGGAGGTAGTGGGGGTCAAAGCGGAACTTAAAAAGCTGCGTAATGGCCAGAATCTCTGCGGCAACGACGATAGTCCATGAGAAGCTGATAAATTGTCAGTGACGGTCGCACAAAAGGTCAAGCCTGCTGTGCGAACCATATAAGCCATCCTGCAGCATAACCCAGCCCTTGATCCAGGAAGTGACATGTAAAGGCAAAAATAGGGCCCTCAATTGGAAAGAGCGCAGTCATTTCCCCCAAGGAAGCCATGGTAGCCCACTCGATTGAGCCACCGATGATGTACGCGATGAAAGCCAGGCCAGGTCCAGCGAGGTATATAGCGCGCCCACCTTGAAGAAACAGTCCTACACCAACGCAGGTAGAAAAGGCCATCATGGCTACATGAACCTCCTTCAGGTCTTTCCTATTTATCTGTCAGAGCGAACGACTCATTGGAAGTAATATAGTACTTCAAGTCCTTGCTGTATCCACGCTCATCAATTGACGGCTCATCATCCTCATTGTCGTGGGACTCGGACATAGCCGGGGCTTCTGATTCATCTTCTCTTCGATTTCGCATACGAATGGGCTCCTGACCGCTCTCCATGGTAGCGATATATATGGGAGTTGCACTAGCGAATTGGTGCCTGCAAAAAGGTTGTAGCAGTAGCAGAGGTCTTCCTTAGAGACAAGGGCATAGACATAGAAATGAAGCGATTACGGGTAGGCTAAAAAGTCACAGGATTCTTCCACCCCTATTCAAAGGCATATAAATTCCTCGAAGAGTTCGACATTTGAAAGGAACAAAGGGGGCCGACCAAAGGGGACACGCCGCCTCGTTTGGCTCAAGAGGCGAACCAGCCCGCAAGGCTCAATCGATGAAAGTAGGGTCATTGCAAATCGAGATGCGTTTAGTAGGTGTTTGCGACAAGTTACGCGACTGGGAGACACAAGAGGTGATTTGAAGAGCAGAGTGCGCCGCTGGCGCTTGGAAGTTGACAGCGGACATTGCCGTCGTTTACTGTACCTCCCTTGGGATTCGTGGACGCCATGCACCACCCCATGCGAATCACCTTCTTTCCCTGTCACACTTGAATAGCACTAGTCTTCCTTCCATTGTCTGATACATGCATGGCGCCGCTTCGCTTCTTTTATTCCTGGGTGCTGCCCGAGACGCCCGTTTTTGACTGCGACAGGCCGCAGCAAGCGTTCTGCTCAGCCTAGGCGGTTGAGCCTAACACTTCACCTGGACCTTCACCAGGTTTTTGTTCCACGGCCCTCTCCTCGGAAATCTCTTTCAGGACGCATTAACTCTCAGTGAAGATTGAAGGGTTTACACTTTCAAGACTAAATGCTTACTCTCTAAACTGAAATAGTCAAGGGTCAGAAAGTATCGCAGAATGAGTCGACATGTCAGTAACTTCAATATTATGGTCTACGTGTTCGACTTACTCACAACATACTAGGCCGGTCTCCATCCCCGCTGTTGCTGTGTTTGCAGCAATATGGTTGAATTTCTCGATGCTAGACAATGCACGCATTGTGGTGGGCCTCGAGGCAGTTCCGAACCACCTTTTCATTGCCTTCGCATCTGTGCCGAGAAAGATTGCCGTACCCGAGATTGTTCAAAACATCCTTCATGTTGGGGTAAGCACATACCTAACTACGAAGGTGCAGAGGAGCAACATCAGATGATCGATCCGTTACCACAGCTCTTTGTGGAGGCTGTGACCTACTCGGAACCAGACCCATTCAAACAACAAGCTCTCCACAACCGGGACAGAAATGCGCGTTGGTTCACTATCGAATCTGTTCGATCTGGTGGAGGCTACGCACAATTGAAGGTCACTGATCGGTTCACTGAGCTATGTGATCCGGGGATTTCAGGGAATCGGTGGAGTGCCAACCAGTACCCAAGCTTCGTCTCTCTAATTGGAGATACCTGTGTCGGGAAGTCTACTCTTCTCCGTGCAATGTTGTTGATGGGTATTGTAGATCCGTCAGGCTTTGGGGGCGAATCGAAGGGACCCAGCCAAATAGATGAGCAGAGATCAACTATGTCCAGGCTCAAGGAAGTCATCACTGAAGGCTCTTACGGACCAGTTACAAGAACGGCAGACTATCGTCGACTCACCGACCCAACTAGTTTGGGAGTACATCTCTATAAGGACAAGTACGGTTCGACAAGCCTCAGCATCCAAAAGGACAACGTGCAACGTTCATTCCCCATTCTTTTCGCGGACTGTGAAGGCTTTCGCGCAGGCACTGCAACCACAAACTCTGAAAGATCCCGAGCTCGATCTTCATCAAGAAGGAGAGGGCCTCGGAGAGACCGGAGTCCATTCGCCCACGAGCAAGACACACCGGGTTTTGACAGCGACAACATTATATCAGACGAGCCTATTGTAGCATCAAGCTATGGAAATGGGGGAAAGGATGGGGTTGACTTGTTCTACGCTCGATTTCTTTACACTATAAGCGATGCAGTGGTTTTCGTCACCAAAAATGACACCACTCTCCAGCCGGATATAGAGCGGTTACTGGAGTGGTCATCGTCTGCGGTTTTCAAATCGCTGAACCTTTCGGCACGAAGAACCCTGGTAATAGTGCGGAACATGACTGGTCTGCACGACTCTCACTTATACAACAATGAGATTCTGAAGACCTCGATGCTGGGCAATTTGAAACCATTTTGGGAGGGCTCTCCATCCCTCGCAAAATTCCGTCAAGAGTACAATAAGTCCCAGCCCCACTACGACCGCAAAATACACGATAATAGAGACTTCCTTCGTCTATTTTTTCAAGATGTTAACGTGTGCTATATCCCGGACAAGGCTAGGGCCGAGAATGAGCAGGTATTTGGCCAGTATCGGCAACTTCGTCATTTGATCACCCAAGCATGTCATGAATCTCAAATCAGGAAAGCCCGAAGTCTGATGCAACATAATGTTCCAACTCTTACCCATATCTTGAATCGAGCATTTGAGCACTTTAGGACGTCAAATTCCCCATTCGATTTCTACGACGCTGCCAGGAGGGACAACCCCAACCCTTCCTCGATGGCGGACCATATAACGAATTTCTTGCGCCACTTTCATGAAACTCAGAATATCCCTTTGAATGAGGACTCGGTTGTCTCTCACGTAGTGTCCATCAGCTTGGTGAGCTGGGCATTGCGAACTTTCAAACGTGAGTTTCTAGTATCCTCACTTGAATTGCTCTGCTAACGATAGCATAAGTTCATGAGCCGCAAGACATGTACTCACGAGAGCTTCGAGATTGGTGTCAGCGGGCGTTTCATGGATACGTTGAGCGCTTCCAGAAATGCGAGTTTCATTTTAGGGATGGTGCCCAATGTGTCGCCCGATTTCTTGGACATGGGGACCAGCATTGCGACGCTGCCGGAAACAGAAGTCCTGGACCTTTCAAAAGTTCTAGGGACAAAGGTGGAAAGCTTCTGGATGATATCCAGTGGGAATTCAACTGGCTATACCGGAGTCTTTGCACCCCTCAGACTCAGCCACGGCAATTGTTTGGATCGGACATTTTGAACTCTGATGACTCTGCACCCACCTTTCCAACTCCAGAACAGGCGCGCGAACTTCGAACGGAAGTACTACAACAATTTACAGACATATGGAAGACATTAAAAAGCAATAAAACTTGTTTCACCTGTCTGCAAAACGTTCCCGATCATCCAATGGTTTGCGGGCATGTGTATTGCACACCTTGCATCCAAGAATTCGGGAGGAAGTGCGAATACTATGAGGGCGCATATGTGATGGATCGATGCATCTTGTGTCAAATGCACTGGCCTGAAGCTCTTCAGCGTATCAAACTGAAGCCGAAATGTGCTGGCCTCCGGGTTTTAGCGTTAGATGGAGGGGGGATTAGAGGCGTCCTTGAGTTAGGGATACTAGAACATCTTGAAAGTTTCGTTGGCATCAATGTGCCTATTCGGAATCTGTTCGACCTCATTGTAGGTACCAGTACCGGTTAGTATTCCCATTCTTGAGATGCGTATATATTCTAGATAAGCTCATGCAAAAGGAATGTTACTGACACGTTCAGGCGGCATCATCGCTCTAGGGCTCACAGTCAAGGATGATTTGACCATTGGGCAAATGAAGGAAACTTTTATACGATTGGCTCATAAGACATTCGGTAAAAGAAGAGAAGGAGAGCTGATCAGTAAAATCGACCCGTTCAAGATCACTTCTAAACTCATGATGCTGTTTCAAATTTTCCCGAGCATCTATCCAACGACGCCCTTGCAGAAGGGATTAATCGAGCTCTTCGGCCGTGACACCACGCTGTTTTCTTCCACCAGTCAAATAAGGCAACAAAGAGCTACACGTGTTGCTGTCACCTCGACCAAAGATGCTTCGGCAAGTCTATGCCTCATTGCAAATTACAATCGCTTCAATCTACAGAATAGTGACGATTTTGAGCGCGAAGATGAAAACGAAAAAGAGCTTCGGACATGGGAGGCAGGATTAGCCACATCTGCTGCTCCTTTATACTTTCGCCCGTTCAAGAAGAATGCCTCTAACAAGGACTATGTAGATGGTGCACTTCACGCAAACTTCCCAGTCCCAGTTGCGCTTGAGGAAGCTTCTAAGATTTGGCCGCAATCGAATTCTTTGGATGTTCTTGTATCTGTTGGAACTGGAATTCAAGAGAGGGAATATCACATTCCTTCAATGGCCAAAATTGGAGGCATCGAGAAGATATTTGCCTTATTCCAGAACAGTCTTGATACTGAACGCTCCTATCAGACCTTGATGAACGCCTCTCAAAAAAGTCCGGCATACCAACGGATCCGCAGATTAAACGCGAAAATTGATGGCGGATATGTTGCTTTGGACGACCATACCAAGCTCGAGGAACTAGACCAGATGCTGAATAAACAGGTGCTGAAGCCTGACGGAACATTGAACGAGCTGGGAAGATCAATCGCTGAAGTTGCAGACATTCTCATTGCTAGCTTGTTCTTCTTCGAGATAGATGATGGAACATCGCCAACATCTCTCGTTCGCGACCCTGTCAAGCCCAAGAAGTCTATGCTCTTTGGCTCCATTCGGTGTCGGCTTGCCCACGAGAGTCCCGAGTTGAAACACTTGGTCAATAAAATCGATGAATTTACTCTTATGGAGTCCGTGAACAAATCGCACAATGGGTTGAATCCCAGTTCATCCACTTCTACGACCTCCAAGAAAATAGGCCTGACTGATGAGCAACGAAATGAGGTCCGAACGTTGGGGAAAAGGTTCAGAATAGCAGTGACAATTTCCACATTTGATGTCGAAAATGCTCAGCAGGTTCTAGCAGTCAGATTGAAGAATCGAAACACTTCAATTCCAATCAGCGGCTTCCCTGTCACATTGAAGGAGCTTCATAGCAGAGGCATGGGACTATGATAGAGCCTTTAATAGACTTATTTCGATCTATACTTTTCTGAAGCTACCCACATTTTCGTACAAGTACTTCGAAAGGATATCTCGGAGCTGCGCAACACGTGATAATACCTATAGAGCACGTGAACACGAGAGTAATATATATGCGTAATCCGAGATTACTGCTGAATGGAAGTTGCTCTTGTTCGGCTGGTGGCTGCAGCTTGGACCACGCTTCGACCTCACTGCCTACCCACAAGGCTACCTCTAGCAGCGCCAACGCTTCCTCTTGTCAATGTCCCGACATGTATCCGGTTAAGCGGGCTCACTTTGCTGCCTTACGAAAGCGCCTTAAAGAAGCCAAGTGAGGCCTACGCTCTCATTCGCCCTCGCTTCCAGCTTCGTTCCGCCGACCAAGGGCTCATTCTCTTTGACAAGAGGTACTGGCTCTAGGCTCCTTGAAGACATGTGCTGATTGACACATATTTTGAGGCCCCCAATCGTGTTCAGGCTGTAGCCAACAGTCCAAAAGCATTACATGGGTAGGCGACGTTGGCTTGCATGCTCTGGAGCACCAAAAGCGTTCCGCGAATAGTAATTTTCATTCAGAGAACATCGATCACGCTTCTGAACAAGAAGACGAGTCTTATTTCAGCCATTTTAGCCACTATTACCAGTTGCAGCAAAGGTCATGGGGCGACTGGCTGCAGGCGTATTGTCAAAGACTGAACGAAGCCAAGTTATTTCTTCTTTCCGACACAACGTGCTTGTCTGTTGACCCTCTCGCAGGTCTTTGGGCGGAAAGCCGCCGATCGCAGACCTGCTTACTACGCCATACACAGCATTCCATTCCCCCCTAGCAACCTAACTCGCGAACGGTGGGATGGACCGGCACCCCTTGGCCAAAGTGTGGTCTCTTCTTCAGGGCCAAACCGATATTGACTGCATTTTACGAGAAATCCTAGGTCAATTTACGCACCTCTTCCATACATCACCTACTCTTACATCGGACTCCACCCTCAATCAAGCAAGTCAGCTCGTCTCGTGGATCAAAGCTATTTTTGACCTTCAGCGTACCTACCTCCAATCCTCAAATGCTTTGAGTGACCTTCACTCGATTATCATTGATCCGTATCTTGTCTCGGCGACTGTGTTCTCTGTCATCTCTTTGAGTTCTGAGCTCTATATACTACCAACTAATGGACCTAACGTACGGGCAGTCGGCACCCAAGCCGCCTGCACAATATTGTCAGGGATCCGACTTCTTCTCTTACAGCAGCCGCTACATCTCGGTGTAGTGGATGAAATACGGATCATACTCTCTGAACTGAGGAAGGTTTGGAAGGATCCAGAGTCTCCTACACTTGAAGCGACAATTATCACCTACTGCGAATGGTCGATCAGCAACGACGAAGAAGGTCGGATATACATCCCAGCTTGTGGGGACGTTGAACTTCCGAAATTTACTACCGGGCTGGTAGGTGTGCATGATATAGATTGCTACTAGTGAACGATTCACTGATCCTCTCAGTTCCTCGATCTCGACGAGGCCTTTCTGCAACCCCTCTCCGTGCAAATACACCAAGAAGACACTACTATATCGCCTAGACTGTTTTGGAATATCTTTGACATACTCTGGGCATTAGAAGCTGCGAAAGTATGGTCGAGTAAGAATGATTCTGGTTCTGCCATCACTCGGCAGTCTGGATGTACTATAACGGCGGAAGCATCATCTAGAGCCAATGCGCTCCGGAGCCTTTTCCACAAAGGATCTCAAAGCTCGACTCAAAGCAAACCCGCTCTGTCATGCATCATGATCACACTTTTCGAAACGCGTGAGCCTGAGATTTTGGAACTATTGCAATACTATGGAGGTGATTCCATGGTATGTATTCCTTGCCCCGGTAACGGCTCTGCTGACTCTTTCAAGGACTCGAATAGCTTTCCTACCCACGATCAAGCGCTCGTAGAATTTGGAAACTTTCTTCTATCGAGAAAATCATACATGCAACGCTGCAATTCAGATCTTACAAGACTCTCTTCAGATTTCCGAAGCCTCCTACAGAACTGGCTTGAGAAGAGCCTAGCCTCCAGCGCAGATGATCTCCGCTCATTAGATGGTATACTTACTCCGACATACATAGTACAGTGCCCTAATCTTCACCCGGTTCCGGGGAAATGGTTAGAAGGGAAAGTATTAGACGAGAAAGAAGACAGCCTCGTCGTAAGTTTTTCGTATTCTCCCTTCAACATTGGCTGAAAGTATCCAAGACATTGATGCCTGGGACTCGATGTCCAAGATGCCCAACCGAGGGTGACATCAGCCGCGCTCGACGAATTGAGCCCATCACCTCAATACAATCACTACTCCAAAAGGGCTATCATGGTCAGGACAACCATCGAATCCCAGTTCCATCCGCCCGATCTTTTCGAGACTTAGCAAAGACTCTCCCTCACACCGACCAGATTGAGAGTGATGCAGATGATGAGCTCTATGAATCTCCACGCAACATTAACTCGCGCTCTCTATCCCATATAAGAACACCAAACGGATCACTCGGAGACTTGAAAATCCACGGCGACCTTCCAACCAATTCGAAGACTCTCCCTAGTGCCCCACTTGACGAAAAGACTCCTCGGGAGCCCATAATCCCATCAAAGCTCTCTACTCACCCAGCTCGGGACTCTAGGCTCTCTCTCCACAGTTGGTTTGGCCATAGGGGCTCCAGTGGCTCAAATACAAGCATTCCTTTATCTGACGCCTCGAACGAGTCGAGGCCGGAAATCTCACCTAGACTTGGAAATAGGGAAGATACGTCTTTGAACCTGGCGCACGCTGCATTCTCATTTTCCTCCAGCGGCGATAATCTTATCATATGGCACAAGGATGGTGGATATATCGCCCAGTTGTACGATCTACACACCGACCCGGTACCCGGCCGGAAATTCCACATCGAAGGAATTCAGCTCGCTGGCGCAGGAAAGAACAAGATTGTCGTTCTCCGAAAAGATTTTGTGGTAAGTGTAGAATGGAGATTGTTAACAATTCACCTTCTCACATCCAGCTAGGACCTTCACAAATACTACTTAGGCGTTGTCAACGTCTCAGAATGCATGTACGCCGAATGCGAGGTCCCGGTGAACGGCTACGCAAAAAATGCCATGTGCATTGTAGTATCTGGAGATGATCGATATGCCGCAATTAGTTGTGGGAACCAAGTTCTCCAATTTTCGTTGTCGAGTCCAAACCCATCGTACATTGGTAGGTTACTGGTCGAAGACGACCTCCACAACATGGTAGAACAAACACTCTCCATTTCAGTAGATGGATGTCACATCACCATAGCCACACAAGCCAGCGAACCCATATGCGGCAAACATAACACTGTTGTTCATCGCTGGCACTTGAATCATTCTGAAGCAGACAGAGCGCCTGTCCCGACTCGCACATCCCTCCAAATCCCCCAGGTGCGTCGATGCGAACCCCCACCCTTTAGAGCGCAGCTAAAGGCAGTAACATTGTCGACCAAAATACTCATACCTTCTTCCATATACAGGGCAGTCAAGACAGGGGCCTAACATCCGCTCTCCACGATCCTTCCACACAGCGTACCCTCCTAACAACCTTCTCCGACACCCCCCCACGCCTGATTTTCAAAACACAGATCACAACCCTCAAATCCCAGTTCGGAGGAGAAAAGATCCAAGCTGCCACCCAAAGTAGCACGAACACATCACGCATCGTCCTCCTGACTCGCACCAATAAGCTCTGGGAAGTGAAGCTAGGAGAGGGAGGATTCGCGCGAAAGATTGATGCATTTAGAGGCAAGAAGGCTGTGACCAGTTTTCGACGAAGTTTTGCGAAGATAGGTATACCGAGAGAGGAACTTGTTCATGTTGTATGGGAGGAAGGCGGTGAATTGGTTGTTGGCACTGTTCAGAGAGCTGATGCAGCAAGAGGGAAGTGGGAGAGAACAGAGCCGAAACAGGTTTGGTCTTCCGTGCAGCGATTGGAAACGACGGATCTGATGCAAGGGACAGTGCAGTAAGCAGCTCAACGTCAGATATTGCGGACGAGCATTGGAAACCAGATACAGATAGCAAATGACGGGTAAATGCATTTATTCCTGTTCCCCACCTCCGACCTAATGCATTCCTCCTAAAAGATATGTACCCTCCACGACTCAACCCCTAAGCCCACGAAACGAGCTCAGAGGAAACGGAGTACGCAAAGGCACCACCACCCAGAGGTAAGCGGGCAATGATTTGTTAATCTCGCTTCCCTGTCCACACTCGTCTCACGGGAGGTGACGTTCGGACGAGCTCTAGCTTAATTGGAAGCGGAAAATGTTTGTTGAAAAGAAAATGTGCAGAGAGGGCATACACTTCCTGATCTCCTCGCACTCACTCAGCACCTGGCTTTCGCGCTGAGACAATGCATTAGTAAAAGGCGGGTGGGAGAAGTGAAGGGGGAAGGAAGTAGGACAAGACAAATACCCCCGGGACCCACAATTGGAATATTGACCCCCGGACCCCACATGTGATGACCCCAGAGCCCACGATGATGACGAACTTGTGGAGATGACGAATTCGCGCACACAGGGACGTCAGTCCTGTTCCATACCCAGTCCACAAGGGAAAGGGGCTTTTCACGGGTCAAGCCGTGAGAGGCGATGGATGGAAATGCGATCACCTTCACAGCGGATTGGACGAGGACCCCTGAAGGTTCACCCCTAGTCCAATCCGATGGATGTCCTCCTGGAACGTCGGAACCAAGCAAGATTGTCGAATCTCGCTGCACTCGAAGCTTCGCCATTTCTGGCCTACTAGAAGTTGAGTCTGCTAATGGTGAACTAGAGGCGTCTGAAGCTCTGGAGAGTGAGGTCCGTCGGTTCCTGTCCTTCTGCCGAACAGTCTTTATTGAGTGATGTCTGTATCTGCAGCCATACAGTTGGCTCCCGGAAAATTAGGTGTCCACAGACATGAAGGGATAAAGGCCGCGAAAGTTGGATTGAAGGTCTTGTAAATGTACCAGCACATCTATATCTGCCTGCTGTGACAAAATTTGTTCGGAACCATGCAAGTGGTCCTAGAACGATGTGTCTTGTCAGATGGGAAAAAAACAGCGCGGCGGACGTCCTCGGACGTGGAAGCCGTGCTGAAAGAACCGATATGAAAACAGGTTGCCGGCTTGCCTCGCAGGGGAAACTGCTGAAAGTGGTTTTCGGATCGTCTCCATCTGCTTGCTACGGCGTAATGTGCAGGGCACAGTCCGTTTCGAAGGGTTCCAGCATAAGGCTTCCGCTTCGAATTAAGGTACGAGTGCTTAATTTTGAGAACTGTGGGCTCAGCCCAGGAAACTAAAGCCCAGAGAACTCAATAAATCTTCTACTGGCCTCGTCTGTAGTACGCTAGGGAGCGCCATATGTGGAGTTTAACACGCCGGCCTTTTCTAAAAAAAAAGAAAAAAGCCGAGGTCCCATGGGTCCCAAACGCCCCTAGACTTGGTGCAATCCTCTCAGCACATCTGCCCATCTCTCTCTGTATGCAACACCTCGAAAGGGCACCACAGTGAGATGACGGCAAACAACTGTGAGGTTGAGCAGGAATGTTCTTCCTCCCTGTGATCTGTTCGGCAGTGCCGAATACGATCATAGCACCGTCAAACCCTGCATACTGGCGCTTGATTTCATTGAAACCGTGCGCAAAGCATATGCCGGGATAAAAGCTTTGAGATCGTAGGTGCCTCCGAGCAAAACATGCCAAGGGCCTTTCGGCCTGTCGGAACTGCTCGAGAGCAGCTCAACATCTGTTGGCTTCTTCCTCCAAGATCGGCTTCCGAGACCTCCCAGCGGCTCTTCAACATGAAGAGGACCAGGCTCTCAAGACGCCTTTCCTAGAATCGGGGGTTGCCCCCTGCTGCAAAGGTCCACGCCCCTCCACTTTTTTTCAAATGACAATAAGCCATACGAATTTTCGTAATTTTGCATAAACTTTTCGATCCAGATTTCCTCAAACGGAGCCCAACCACTGTTCGACTGGCTTTGGATTGGATATGCGTCGCGTTTAGCACAGAGTGCTTTTCGCTTATATCACAGCTGCTGGGTTTCTGTACCCTTCTGAGTGTAGTTTGGCTTAATTGCACGTTTCAGGTCCCACCAGTTTTGTAGGAGTTTTTGGGTTCGCCAAGAATTCCTCGGATTCCCAGCAGCGTGTCGCTTTCTTTGCCGCTCGCCGGTTTTCGAAGTGAGGTCGCCGGTGCTCCGATTTGTGGGATTCCTTTGGGAGGATCGTTTCTTTGGTGCCCGTTGATGTGGGTAATGGGTAGCTCCGCCCGGTTCTGGAGCACCATGTTTTCGAATTCTCCCGTAACTATTTGGGGCTTTCGCCCAAACTGTGGCACCGTCTCTTTCAAGAACATTGGTGACCTTTTTAAGCACTGCGGCTCGACTGCTGCTCGCCTCGACAAGTCCACTGCACCATTCATTGGTACAATAGCAACTTCGAAGCGCATGCAGACTAAGCTTCCATTATGAAACAAACGGAAGCTCAAAGTTTCAAGTCTCCGTAGGAGGCCTTCGCATATCTAGAATAATTCCAACATCTCGGTTTCCGAGAAAGCGAATTGATGTGAATAGATCCGACAGCTGAAGATACCATCACACCTCCCAGTCATACAGGATGAGGTTTCGTGTTCGGTGCCTGTCTGCCATCTGTGAACAGCTAGCTCAAACTTGGTTGATCCACCATTATGACAGAAGTCCATGAAAGACGTGCCATAAATGCTGGTGGGTATAACCGACCCGTATGGGAGCACATCCAGCCCAACCAACCTGGCGGTCAGCCACACCGGCAACATCCCAAACTCTTCTAGGAACCTCTCCCATCCAGTGAACCTCAGGAACGATTTATGCAAGGTAGCATCCCAAGGGTGGTAAGGTAACCCTATTTCTCAACTGGAAGCCAACCCGAGAGAAATCTGGACACCCGAAACTTTGAGCATGAGGGCTCTGATTCCAATGACACAAGACTTCTGTTGTGATAACCATGTGTGAGGGCGTGCCTGTGGGTACGAGGCCTATACTGTGATGACTGTGATTGCATGGCTGTTGGCAGGAGGACGAAGGACGAGACGGTGACGTGGCCTCCGCATTGCGGGAAGCACGTTGGCTGAGGGGAAGGAGGCGAGACAAAAGAGGATGAGATATACTATTGATAGCAAAGAACAGTAGGAAGAAAGAGAAGGCAGGTGAAGGAGTATTTAAGGTGAATGAAAAGACAAAGAGATGAGAGGGGTTGGGGTTAGGAGCCAACGCGGCGAAAATTGAAGTGAGACCGTGTCGCGCTAGTATAGGTTCGGGTAGTACTAGCCTCTTGGCATAGTCTGAGCGCTTGGCTCACGCGTCATGGATCGGGGTGATTGCGTGAACGAGGGTCTGGATCTTCGGTCTGCGAGTGCAATACTTTCTTTCGACGGCGAACGCACACTATGGAAAGCTCAAGTCTATCGCGTATAGAAGATTTTGAAGCTAATTTCTCCTTAGCCGCCAAAGCGTCGCGCCCCAACTACGAAGACCGCGCTCACCACCAAAAGACCCTCCAAGCTTGCGAAGGAGAACCGGTTGACTGCCGACCAGGAAGCCGAAATCCGAGAGGCGTTTAGCTTATTTGCGATACATCATCCGCAACACGAAGATTCGGAGGAGGGTGTGCTACGAAGAGATGACGTGCGGCGGTGTTTGATGTAAGGATGGCCGGTCTCCAAACTGCCCCTCAGTCATCGGTATGAATGTTGCTAAAGACACGATACAGATCCCTAAACCTCGGGCCTGATAAACCAGAACTTCCCTCCATCCTCTCAACAATCGACCCCCTGAACTCCGGCTTCGTGCCCTTCGTCCCATTCCTCTCTTATGCCGCCATAGCTATGCATTCGAAAGTCGAAGGGTCTGACGAGGACGACGATGAAGATGAGTACCGAGAAGAGAGTAATGCAGAAGAGGTCAGAGCCGCATACAAGCTTTTCACGCATGGCGGACCTGGACCCATTACCCTAGCACATTTAAGGAGAATCGCGAAGGAATTGAGAGAGGACGTGCCGGATGAGGTATTGAAGGATATGATACTCGAGGCAAACGGAGGGGTGAATGGCAAGGGGAGGGGAAGGGATGTTGGGGGCGTGGGGTTGGAGGACTTCGAGAATGTTATGAAGAGGGCTGGGTTGACTTTTGGGTGAGGGAAAGAGAATATCGAATGGCCAGCAATGATAGTACAAGGTGGGCAAACTGTGGAAACATATTAGCGCGGAGTTTGGTCTTTTAATGTGATCTCCAGTTACAGAGATATCCTTTTCAGTTATTTGAGCATTTGATGGCGACATTGTCGAGTATTAGTGACCTTCCCTCGAGTCAATCAGAAATCTGCAGTACGTGATGACCGAAAGTGGAATATAATTGGGGTAGAGTTTATTTGTTGAATATATTGCTAGAAGTGGGGAGTACTTCAAGAGGATGCAATTTCTATTGAAAATTACTGCGTCATGTTCCACTTTAGGTGACAAGATATCGAACATCCCCTGAGCCTATTTTCTCTTCTTCACTTCTTCACCTCCAGCACCTCGATAACGGCCGGGGTTCCATAACAGCCACCTAAATCATATCAACTTTATGATCAATCAAAATTCGCGGGTGCACCTACCACAATTCATGAAATAGAACCCATCGCAAAGGCCGCTCTCATCCATCCATGCACAGCCACCCATAGTCCAATTTGATCCGCCACTAAACCCCATCGGGCCTATATCCCCCGATTGAGGTATATCCAAACCAAGAAGCCACCGGCCATCGTTACTTTTCTCAACTGTCCACTTGTCAATGACCTTTGCCTGTGGATTCCCTTGGTCAGTAAGAATAAAGGCCGAGAGACTACCATAGTTGACAGGAAGGGCAACATCGCCCTCTGAATACGCTAAATTCTTGCCCAGAGAACCATCGATGCTGACTTGGACTATCGAATAAGTCTTTTCGTTATGACCTGGCTGCAGCGTGAACTGGAAGGGTTGTTCGGAAATGACGGCTTCGCGGTGTTCCCATACGCCGATCTATTAGTACACAGGTTAGAGGGGGGATCGAGGATGGGGGACCATAGGGAGACCGACATCTATCCATGTCCCATTCTGTCGAAGTGGTTGATCCAGTCCACGTTCTGAGGGTGATTTGCCTGTGGGGAGTAGAGAGGGTCTTTGAGACTTTAGCAGTTGATGATCTTCGGAGCATGGACTGCCGTAACTGACGATCGTGACAAGGCAACATAAACTGGAAAGTTCTCGCTGGCACAACTAACAGGCGCAATGAGAACCTGAAACATTACCAACATGAGGAGCGGAAGCTGTAAAGGGGAAAACATATTGGTAGCTAGAACGAGAACATAGGAGGGGAATGAATTTGAAAAATTAGCAGAGATGGGATATATCTAGAGCTGGATTGGGGGATCCGAGAAAGCTCGGATAAGTGTTGAAACATTCCTTCTGTCGAACATGCTCAGCGGGCCGTGCTAAGCCTTCCTGCAGCCCTTTTGACATCATAATATACTGGCCTCCGAAGCAGTCAGGAGTATAGTGGATAGCCACCCCGACAAGAGAAACTCAGCATCGAAAAGAGTTATATTATCATAGAGAGGCAGTTCAATGGCCGAGCTGGCGTGGGGCTTCAATGTGGAGAAATATTAGGTGATCAGCTTGTGCGGACTGAGCACACTGGGCTCTCTTGGCATGAACAGGGTTCGGGAAGAGCAGGATTGTTTCGAAACGTTTGAGAACAGCATTTGAGAACAAAATTTGAAGGGACCGCGATAATGCGGTCCTGATTGACTGTAAGGGGGAAAAGAGGGAAGATAATGCATTAGTGGACATGTCCGGGCCAGGATTTATTGGAACGCGGAGAAGAGTGAATTTGATGAAAGAAAGAGCAAGTGTCAGATCGAACTACCTCAAGTGCCTCCAAGTTTATTTGTTCCTCTGCTATACGGTATGCTAAAGAATGTAATTTTCTCCGGTAGGTTAAATAGTGGAAAGGAATTTGGGAGCAAGAAATGCAAGGCTGTCGTGGAAAGGCTCCTGGAAAGATGGAACGAACTGGCAGTCCCTAGTAGTCGCCGGCAGTTTCCAGCAGACGTCATCGCGGGCGTTTGCAGGAGCGTGCTAGCGGGTTAGCCGTGAGTGCCAAAGACCTCCGCGAAGCCTGGTGAAATCACCAGACAGCAATCGCGAAATACAGTCGAAGGAAGCAAGAGGCAAGCCAGAGCGGCGACAACGCTGTAAATAGCCACACCAATCATGAGGCTCTGCGGCAGGGGTTCAGCTGGGGGGGGGGGGGGGCGAGCCAAGCCGCGACAGCAGGAAAAGAACACGACTCGAGTGCGACAAAGGGGTGACAGCAATTTGGCCAGCAATTTGAACGCCGCCCACCCAATTCTTTTGCCAGAACACCACAAACGCCCGTGCCTTGGATAGTTCTATAACTGTATGTCTTTCCCTTGCGCGCACCCAACCTAAGTCCCTGATGGTCTGCTCGTGCACCGCCGCCGGCATGCTCACTGATTGTTCTTCGCAGTCCCCAGAATCCGTCCATGCGTCCCTAAAATCCTCCCACCCCCATATGTCCAGCGGTGTTGACGTCCGACGACGTCCCGGTATCTGGTCGTATTTCAGTTTCACTGGTGGTCCCCGCAGACGCACTTCCGTGTCGCTACCACGCAACGCCAATCCCAACAACGACCCCTTTGAGAAGGCGGACCGTCACTCCCGCCATCGCTCGACCACTTCAACCAGCTTCATGAACGATCTCAAGGGCGCCGCGATGAATCAGGGGCAGAGGACCCGGTACCTGAAGACCGGGGGAATTATTGCTTTTATTCTGCTGGTCTTGTACTTTATTGCACCGCGGGATGGCATATCAAGCGGTGTGTTGGACAAATAGGTGGATACCTGTGAGAATCTCGCATGACTGACATGATATTGCAGGAGGGTCCTTCTCCGAAGGCAACACGGCGGCAGAAGGCGCCGAAACATCGAAATGCACACACTCCATCTCTAAAGACAAGCCGCTCATCCAGTACGCCCTCATGATCGATGCCGGAAGCACTGGCTCCCGTATCCATGTCTACAAGTTCAATAACTGCGGCTCCACCCCTGAGCTCGAGAGAGAGGTTTTTGAGCAAACGGAGAAGAAGAAGGGTGGTTCGGGCCTCTCGTCGTACGGAGCTGATGCCGAAGGTGCTGCCAAGAGTTTGGATGTCCTGATGGACGTGGCCGTGAAGAATGTCCCTGCGAGCTATCAGAAATGCACGCCGGTCGCTGTTAAGGCGACTGCTGGCCTCCGCAAGCTCGGTGACGAGAAGAGCGACGCTATCTTGGAAGCGGTCCGCCGCCGCCTTGAAACTGCATATCCATTCCCCGTTGTTGCTGCGGATAAAGGCGGCGTTGAAGTCATGAAAGGCGAGGACGAGGGTGTATATGCCTGGATCACAGCCAACTATCTCCTCGGTAAGATTGGTGGCCCCGGCGACAGCCCCACTGCTGCTGTCCTGGATCTTGGCGGTGGCTCGACTCAGATTGTCTTCGAGCCCACTTTCAAAGGCAGCCCCGATGGCGGAATGCCGACCAAGCTTGCAGATGGTGACCATAAGTACGAACTCAACTTTGGTGGCCGCCAATTCACTTTATACCAGCATTCCTACCTAGGCTATGGCCTCATGGAAGCTCGCAATAACCTCCACACTGTCGTCATCAATGCTCTTCATGAGGAGAACAAGTCTTCCGGGTCGACCAATTGGTTGCAACAGGACATTGTTAACCCATGCATTGCTCCGAAAATGCGCAAGGAGGTCGAAGTTCATCTTGGCGAATCCCACCCCCTCGGCCCTTCCGTCACAGTCAACATGACGGGCCCTGCCGAAGGCTCCCCTGCTCAATGCCGATACATTGCAGAGAAGACTCTCGAAAAAGAAACCGAGTGCAAACTTAATCCGTGTGCCTTCCGCGGCGTTCACCAACCATCCTTCGAGAAAACTTTCTCTCGTGAGGATGTCTATCTCTTCTCCTACTTCTACGACCGCACTTCCGTGTTAGGAATGCCAGAGTCTTTTACGCTAGACGAGCTGAAAGATCTTACTCATCGTGTCTGCCACGGACAGGACTCGTGGGATGTCTTCCACAGTGTTGAGAAGGCCATGGAGGAACTCTCCGGGCGCCCTGAACACTGCCTTGACTTGAATTACATGGTTGCGCTTTTGCACACTGGATACGAAATGCCTATTGACCGGGAGGTCAAGATCGCCAAAAAAATCAAGGGCAATGAATTGGGCTGGTGCTTGGGTGCCAGGTATGTGTTTCCATCATTGTAGACTCCAAAATGTCCTTTTTGACTAACATGTGTATAGTCTTCCCCTACTTAGCAAGGAATCTGGCTGGAAATGCAAGATTAAAGAGATCACCAAATAAGCATGTTGTTGCATAGTGGGTGTTTTCAGTTGCAGGTTTCTTTTCTTACAACACACTTTTGGAAACTACTTTTATTTTGCATTGGGTAGGCGTTGCGCCAATTTCCCTTGGGTTTCATGTTACATGTGTCTCGAACATTCAATTGCGAAGAGCATCAATGATACGCCGAGCATTCTCACGATCAGAGCGATTCGGGTGGCCATTGCAAGGCTTTGGCTGGGAAGGGAAGGGTGTTCTTGTAGACGGGGTAATGATATATATCCAATATGTTGTACGTTTTGATGTGATGGTTCGTCGACGTTGCGTGATGGCTTTGTGAAGAAGCCTCGCCACTCCGACTTCAGCGCATTTTAAGGACGATTATAATGTCTATTCAACCCACTAGCAAAATAGCGAGTACTTACCCATAGGGTTGTGTTGGAGAGTTTGTGGGATGGGGAGGCGGTCCGGGGAGATGGCAGGGGGGTAAGGAGAATTGGGTGGGGGTTTGTGCAGGAGCTAGAGGGGTGAGAAGGTTTAGGGTTTTAGTTATAGGAGTCTTAGGCAGTGATGCCCAGGGGAGGAGGATCCTCTCGGCTTCTTAGGTGTGCTTTTCCATTTTTACAAAGATGCCCATCGGTGAGCCAGGAGATTGACCTTATAGGCTGTGGCAGAGCCACAGATTGCGTCGGTCAGTCCTCTCTAATCTGTCTTAATATCTATCTAGTCTACTACTAATATTCTATTGATAGTTCCTAAATTATAGTGGGTGGTGAAATAAACCTTGGGCGCAAGTTGATTTACGATAACTAGGAATCCTAAGTCACTGCTGGGCTGCTCCTTTAAAAATATGAAGGTCCTGCAGTGCACTCGTTCATCTACGAAAAGAGCCGTCTAGCTTTGGCGTCCACGGAGAGGACATTATACAGGAAGATCGCATCATGGATTCGTTTGTGGCCCCTTGATTAGGATGCGATACTCATGCCCAAAGCCTGATACGTCCAGAAATACCTTCAGGGCAACCCCCTGACACTGTGCCTCTTCACGAGCTATGTGATTCCTGCAAGGCATAAGTGTGTAAGTCCCAGGAGCTAGATGGCCTGCGCACAATGGCCCGCCCAGATAAATGGGAACGACTAGCCAGTGTGTTGAACGGACTATATCAACACTATTTACCTTTTACTGCGTCAGACCTGCCGAGCGGGTTTCAGTGGTGCCATCTCTACACTTCTATAAAGCAGTATACCCAGAATCGGGGGTCGCAAATCTTTCACCTTAGATTATGGAATCCAATAGACGAAGCCACAAGTACACAAATCTCGTTACTCATGCGACGAGAAACACATGTTTTTAGTGAGCTTATTGTCTCCATGGGGGTATCCAGGTACTGTTTCGACACTCCACGGCTTCAAGATTACTTGACATCTCACTAGACTTGCCAGTTTTTTTACCCGCGACACAGTTCACGAAGAGCAACGTCTAACAAGGTTCTTGAAACTTTCTGGCAGGGAACTGATGTTAATCTGCAGTACTCAAGTGATCATTCCGTCCCACTATGTGAAACTCAGTCATATGTGGGGTCCCCAGCCGTCACGGCAACTTCGTTTTGAGGGGTCAATAATAGGGGTGTTTCAGTTTGATATTCCCTTAAACTAACCTTCGACCATCTATACCGAGGCCATCCAGGTTCCCCGCCTTCCTGGATACGAATATTAGTGGACGGGCTCGTTATGCATAATCCCATATTCCAAGAGAGTTTGGGAAAAAGAGGCTATCAAGATAGCTGGAGTATGTGTCAATTGGATTGCAGCTTCTCCTACATTCCCCCGCCCTGTGATGGAAAGCTAAAAGGCCCAGTCAGGCCTCCGCGCGTGGGTCCCTTGCATCAATTGTCCTCCCATTGATGGGTTAGAGGATTATATATTCTTCTTGACTACACTGATGCTATGTGGCTCGACCCAGAGAATGGTCATTGTTTCCCCAAGTTTGGGTCCTCCATGGGTGTCTTTTTTGTCCGCGAAACATATCTTAGCAGCAGACTCTGGGATGGGGTATTACGGATTGTTCTCCAACGAAATTTTCAGCCGAATTTCTCTCCATTGGTAGTCGAGGTACAGGAGGTTTTGATCTCAGAGGAAACACTCTATTCTTTGCTCCTCCGCGTTTCACCCCTGAGTGGGCACATATTCAATTCTAGGGACGGAATTCACATCACCGATATCTCGTTGTTTAGCGGCACTTGGAGCGGTATCATTGGTGACTATACATGTAAGAGATTTACTAATGAAGCTGACTGGGCGATGGCTCTTGCAGGGATTACACGTATTGCCAACAGTTTCAGTGTGTTTACTTATCTTTCAAGTCTGGGATGGATCTTTTCTCCCGTTGCCTGCTATGGACAATTTTCCACCAACAGCACCAGAGCGTGCCCGAGCCTGGCACGCTTACCGTACTAACCTTGTCTCAGTTTTACGCGTCTTTAAGTCGAATTCGACTTTTTTCTATACACTTATGTTAACAGACTCCAAACTGGGGCTTCAAGAGAATAAAGCTGGGTACCATGTACGTTACCCTAGAAGAGGCATCCCCAGGCCTGACATTCACGCCAAGCCCACCCCAGACTTGCTAAGCGATCCTTTCCCTTCCACGTTAGCGTTCTCCGCCAAAACGAGCACAGCATCCACCCGTGAAGGATGCCTTATGACGTCAACGCCCACCCACCATCAAGCACGAGAAAATGATAGGTATGCACCCCTCACGACCAAGTCGGACAAAAGACTCCACGCACACGACAAGAGTACCCAAGTTCTCTGTATCAGAGATTTGAAAATCTTGAGAGGAAGAACAAGAATACCAAGGTTAATCAACTATTACCGGCATTCCTTACCAACTCACGAGAAGCCCGTATCGAAAACTAAAGATTAGCAAGATGGCAAAAGAGCCTCTTACATCGTATGTCGCTCCTCCGTCTACTGGACATGAGATTGGGGTGATTTTTGGGTTCATTGGTATGTTGTTTCCGTCTCCTTTCCATGCATGTATGCAGCTGTACACTTTCCTCGATCATGGATATATCAGAGTACCTTTCTAGCCCGGCACCACCATACCTCGAAATGCTTTCCTCGTATTAATGACACTATTTTTTCATTTCTATTCTACGCTCTCTCTCTTCTTCTTCCTATCCCTACTCTCCTCCCACTTAACTCCAAATTGCACAGCATCCTGCTACTGCTCACACCCAACTAACAACCACCAGGCTTTATGGTCCTCTGCATGATAACCTATGGTTTCGTATGGCAAATCGGAAACAAGCGTAGTCAAAAGAAAGAAGCGGATCGAATTGCAAAATTGAGAGCCAGTGGCCTCATGCGAGGGGAAAAGGAACCTAATACGGAGCCTATGAATGGGACCTAAGTATAGCGGGTGTGATGTTGTGCTGGGGATTGATCAGGGAGTGGGAAGGGGGTTGCAAGTGGAGCTTGGTGGCTCGATATTGGATACCCAGGGTACTTTCGTTCTTGGATCTGGACTTAAATGGGGAGGGGAGGGTGTATGGGGAGATGAATGGATGGATTGACGGCTTGACGCCTACGAGATTGCTGGACCTTAAGGGGTCCTATTCGGATTTCCAAAGGCACCGAGTAATAAATATATGTTGTCCGGCTACACAGCAGACCCCTTATCATGCTTCTTTTGTGGAGGTCTCATGAGTAACTCGCTTCTGGGTTAAACTCTTCACTCACTTTCTGAAGCCGGTGTTCCTCAGCTTTCAGGCCATTTGCTTACAATTTGGTCCAATCTATAACCCAGCCTAAATGACCCGGAATGGCACCGCTTCCTAATCCAGCCCCCAACCCTCGCCGTGTTGGAAGCGCTCCACCACCCCACTAAGTGCGGCGAGGCTCCCAGCGTGGTGCTTTGTAGCATTGTCTTGCACCTTGAATATCGGTAGCGAGGTCCGGATTCGAGATTGAAGGATGGAGCGGAACGGATGCATACGTAGATATGCGTGCAGGACATGCAAGCACATGACATGGGCCGGAGGAATGAGGATGGATGAGAGTGAGCCGGGGTACGGAGGTGATAAGTTTGGAGACGAGACGAAGGATTGTGAAAGTGGATTTGATTTGGTTTGAAATATTTTCGAAAATAGGAGGGATGATGGCGGTTGGGATGAGAATGATGAGCTTTTGCTCCCCTCGCCTCCAAGACACTCATCGATCGGTATCATGACGGACCAACATCCAGCGATCCCGAGAATATACAACCCAACCCAACCTAACATACCATACAATTCATTGTCTCAGAATGGGGTTCGCTTTCTGGCATTCCCCCCAACCTCTGCTGTGCCACTGACCTCCCAACACAATTCTCAACCTTATTGAGTTTCATTCGCGCAGAGCAGAACCCGCGAAAGGCTGTGCAAACTTAATCCTTCTACTCCTACTCCTACTCTTGCATTTCCGATTCCAAGGAACCGACACCGTCGGATATCCGAATCCACACCATTGGCGATGTGTCTGGCCTGGCACTGCGGTGCGACCGTGAAACGTGGGGCTGAGGTAAGCCCGTGCAGCCCAGCCTCACAATCTACGGGTTAGATGAAAGTCTGAGGGTAGTGTGGCGAGGCAAGCAATCAGGTGGTATGCTTTCTGACAATTGATCACAACGGTTTGTCCGTTGTCGCTAGTAAAACCCGGTCTGGAATCGGATCTATCGGAGTCTGACTCTGAGTCTACAAGGTGAATAGATCACTAACCCTTGAACCGGTGCAAGATCCTAAGCAACAAAAGCCAAGCCAAACCATGCTAAACCAACTCTGTACCTAGTCCCCGTAATCCCCCTAATGCATCTGCCGATGTCCTCTCGACAAGAATAAGAATCTGAGGTGAGGAAGAGGCGAGCTAAAAGCACGTGGAAGTGGGATCAGGCTGCCAGCTTGCCTTGCATGATGACTACGACTTCTCTAAATAATGTCCCGAGAAGGAGCTCTGAGCGAGCGAGGTAAGAAACACCGAGAACGGTGTGAGGGTTTCAGTAGGGTAAGCATTTGATATTAGGAATGGTACGACATCGAACGGTGCTGCATCCGGATTCTGCGGGCGGAGTTGGGTTTGACAATGCATGGCAGACGGACGGACAGAAGGATTGAGTGAGGAATGGAGTGATGTTGAGGCAGCGATTGATCCGGGATGAGAATGCACCAAAGGTGAATTAGAAACATGCAAGATCCGCGAGTCAAGAACAATCGTAAATGAAAGTGAGAATTACAATTAGTCGTTTCTATTCTGTTCAGATCACTTAATGCACCTATTCCAGTCTAGTGCAGTCCAGCATCGACTTCGACCTTTTGTTCGCGGAACAAACATAGAACCTTGACATATTGGGGGGTATACTCATACGCACAACACGGACAATTTCGCTCCTCCCATCCTTCCCTTCCAAGTCTGGAAAAGAAGACCCAGAGCATAGCATACCATCCACGCCATACCAGAGGTGACCTATTACGACGCCGAAATCTAACGCCAATGCTACGCCAGCCTGTGAGAGAGGCCCATGAGAAATGCAAGTCTATACAATGATGCCGAGCCAAGGAAATGAAATAGTCGTTATGAACAGCGGGTCCGTTTGCCGTCTAGGAGATACAAGAGAGAAGGGACATAGGAGAAGGAACCGGCTGTGTCGATCCTTCAAGTCCGATGAAGGATGCAGGTGCGAGGGTTGACCGCACGTGGCCATATGCGGGGGTCGGATGTTGATGTCGAGACGCAAGACCGGACTTTGACTGGAGTGACCGATGCTGGTTGAAGCAACGGAAGGTGAAACCTTTTCGAATCAAGGATCAAAAGTAAACATGCGGGAGAAACAAAATTCACAAGGGACGTAATGGAATGCACCGTGGGGCGGAGGTGCTGTGTGAGCAACATGTTTAAAATAGAATCTGGTGTCTGCAAAATGCCCAGTCAGCTGAAGTTCTGTTTCACTTTGTGTGGAGTGCTTCCAGCGGAGTGGCTGCACTAGTGCATGGTTCAAACTCACCGCCTTAAGCACACTTCCAAGCTGATTGGACTTAGTTCCGAGTCGTCGGGAAGCTCCTCCATCAGAGGGACGAGGCCGGCAAACTTGTCACCGCCTCGGTATGCGAGTATAGCAGGCACGCCTGCGACTTCCATTTCAGCATCTTCGTAGTGCAGCTTTACGAAGCGTGTCGTGTTGTGCTTCTTTGCAAGCTGGCGGACGCAGTCCTCGACCATGGTTGAAATATCAGACTGCCAGACAGGGTTAGCGTGTTACAAGATGGGACGGTAGTCCACAGCATACCATATGGTCGAAGATGAAGACGACGACCACGGTGTCCCGCGGCACTCGCTCAATGGCGTCGAGGAAGCCATCACCGTCCACCGTCGGCAGGTTTCCGTATATCCGCTTGCTAGGGCTGGTTGTCCGCGAGCGTATCCGCTGGCCAGCATTCTGTAGCTCGCGCAGTCTCGACTCTCGCCACCGCTTCATGAAGCCCTCCTCGGAGTCTTCCTCGGGCGACGCCTTCTCGTCCTGGTACGTGGTCACGTTGAAGGAGCTGGGCGGCGTGGTCTTCCGCCATGTGAAGCGGCGAGCCTGCTTCTTGGCCTGCTCGAAGGCATGTGCGTCCGCGATGACGCCCTTGGGGCCAGTGTTGGCCTCGGAGCGGATCTGCGGGAGGTAGTAGTTGGAACGCATGTCGGCGGGCAGGTCGAGCTCGTCGTCGGTATCTGGCTTCTCGGGGTAGAAGTCGGTGTCTTGAGCGTCGTGGTCGGAGAGGTCGGAGTCGTGGGCAGCGTCCTCGGGGTGTCTCTTATCTAGGTCCTTTTCTCGGAACAGCCCGTTGAATTCGTCTTGGGCTTGGGAGGTAGTCATGGCGAAGGAGAGAAAGGGACTCGGTGCTCGGAGGCAGTGGCGGTATTTGTATGTTTGGGCGGGCAGGCGCGGTCGGTGTGGTGTGGGCAGGTGTGTTGGGGAAGCATGCGGCAACCAGCATTCACCAGCAATCCAGGATGATGCTGTGCTGCGTCCACTCAGACGCGCCTTGGCATGTTCTCCCTCGTCTGCAGGGGCCTCACTTCTATTTTCTGGCCTGTTTCAGCGCCGCCATTGGGCGCCGGCACGCTGGAAAGCTTGACAAAAAGCACTCGGAATGGCCTCGTGTTTGGGCGTGCTGCAGGGCAATCCCTCTCGTCGCTCTTCTGCTAGGGCTGAGCTGAGGCGGTCCTCCACGCGACAGCCAGATTGGCGAGCAGCAACACCACTCCTGAAACGGGCTCCTCACCAGCGAAACAAAGGAGCCACACGTCCATCATAGCACAGTCCGCATGTCCTCTGCGCCCTAGCTGTCAGAGCCAGGCCGCGAGCATCATCACTCCATCTGCTCGCCCCTCGCTGCCCGTCTGAAACGCGACCTGCAACGCTCCTCTCGCGCGAACTGGTCGTCCCCGTCCCCGTCCCCAGGCATGCTAGCTATCGTGGCCTAAAAAGAAAGTCTGATGCGCGCTTGCCCGGCAGACGGCATCGGAGTGCGGCCTTTCCATCATGCTCGCAGCTCGCTCTCCCAGGCTTCTTCATGCAATTCATCCGTGCCCTCACGGCGCTAATTCACCCTGCCAGGGATGCAGGCCGACCACTCATGCCATGCCCTCGCGGTTTTTTTTTTTTTCCAACAGATTTCGAGAAAGGGGCTTGCATACCCTCTCTCCACACGAGGCTCGCCGCACCCCGGCGCCAATTTGCTTCTGAACGTGCTTCTAGAAGCCTCCTGTGCATCGGGTTGCAAATCTCCCTTCGACCCATCCCTACCCACCGTCCTCGCCCGGAGGCACCCGGAGACCTCGGAGAGACCCAGAGCCACCAAGCAACAGATTCGCAAGTCACGACAGCTGCAATCATAAAAATAGTGGCACAGACCAGTCATACCCGAGTAATATAATGCCACGTGCATACAATCCCTCTCGTGTCATTTTTTTAACTAAGTGCTAACTTCGGACCTCGTTGCCTGCAGCCTCGTACAATGTTCCCAGGAACTCCTGAGAACTGCTCTCCAGCTTGCACTTGCGTACATGGACTCCAATTTTACTTGGTATGCTGGTGGTTGGCGGTGAGTTTGTGACGGACTGCCGCCCCCTTTCTCAATAAGTTACGAACTTGCGGTACATATGCGTGTCCCCCCGGGCTGGCCTAACATGCTACACTCGCTTCCCGAACACGTCCAAACCCAGAAACCACACCTGGACACCTTTCCCTCCATGACTGGCTGTCTGCTTTACATACCCTTCTCAAACGAGCCCTAAATCCGCATTCCTCATTTCAATCCCCAAAAACATATCCCTACACAAGCCACCTATATACGCAGACGTAATCCTAAAATACCCTCACCCTTCCATCCTCTCATCTGGAAGCAGGCTAGAAACATACCCATGCCCTGTTTTGCACCAGATCTCACCGCATGAAAATGTCGATGGAACCTTCCCTTGATGAACCGTTCGCTAGCCGTTCCAGAAAGCTATTGTTACGCGAATCCTCCGGAGATTTCGGTTCGTTAAGCAGACAGGCAAGGACATAGGCATTAACACGCTTACATTTATTATCCTGATATCAGATCTATACTTCTTGACACTATTAGGAGGAGAGATTTGGACCTTATCTTGCCTTGTGTTGACGAACCACACCGTTCCTTCCACGTCCGTCTGCGTCCTTGGGGCGGAGATTCCGGAAAGCTGGGGGCCGCCAACGTTAATAATAATTAACGCTCCAATAATTTTTGTGCATCAATTCTCTCATCTCCCTTTTCCATTCTCCATCCACCCATTTCTCACACCATCAAACATCCCTCCCCCAATCTGACATCTGTAGACGCCGGTGGCTGAACTGAACTCACTAGTTCCTGTCCCTCGTCTAAAGCAAGTGAAGTCAGGGATTCGACACGTGGAAAAAACATGCAGAAGTGACACGAAAACTCCTGCCGACTCGTCTATCGTCGCGGGAGTGGAGCGTTGGTGGCTGGCTAACTGTCTAGCTACTCATATGTCTCTCTTCTAGCCTGCTACTAACAAGCTGGACTTTCGAACTCATGGCTTCTACACGACGGTATTGGCTCGAGGATCAAGATTGCGTTGCGTTAGTGATCATCCATGTTCCATGGCTGAGGCTAAGGGGAGCTCAGAGACAAGGTGCCCGGGGCATGCACGTGTGACTTGTCCCAACACTCGGTGGTAGTCTTAGAAATGAGTTTTATTACGATAAGTTGTTCGAGGCAGTCGATAATAAAGGATCCCAACACTAGAGCAACAGTACCTACAACTAAAGCTGCCATGTCCACCCACCCGTCCATTTCATCCATAGTACACTTCACATCTCACACCTCACATAGAAAAAAGACAGACAAGACACAGGCCAGAAACGCACCGGATATGACAAAGACCCTGAGAGAGTGAAAAGTAGATACAAGCATAGCCGGTGTGGGGTGGAGAGAAACCTCAGAACTAGTATCTCACTGCTTGATAGCACGCACATGCTTCCCGCACGACTAACGAACCCGGAATGCATATAGGAAACCGCTCACCGCGCTCCTCTCCAAAGCTCACCCAAGTAAACCACCTGCTTCCGTCTGATCCATCTCCACCCACATCCCTCACCATCCATCACCACCGGTGTCGATTGAAAGCCGAAAACATAGAGCAACCTTCCGACTCGCCCTCACATCGCACCCATGCTTCCTCCCTGTCCAACAAACGCACAGAAGATAAATCTGCTTTTAATCGACCAAACAACGAAAAAAGGGATGTGAGTTAAACAAGTAGGGAACGCTGAGTAGAGGTAGGCACACGCGACAGACACTACGGACAACACAGAGGCTAAAGTTGTAGGAATTTGATGGAATTTGCAGATCGGGAAACAGCACCCCACACACCCCACACAGATAGATGTACGCAGAAAAGGCCATCCCGGATAATGAACTCGGTGTGAAAAAACAAGTTTCCATTTCATCGGAAAAGAAGAAGAGTTTAGGAAAAGTGGTATGGTAGAACAACGACTTCGCATCCCGGCCTTTGGAAAGAAAAGAGAAGAAAAAAAAGTTTCCGAGCGCCTCGCGTTGTTCCACCGGATGATACAATGGCCGTATCCATTCCCAAAAATGGAGTTGTATTATATTGGTTGGCACCCAGGCAGAAGCCGAGAGGATGGTGTGTGATGGGAAGCGATATGAGGATGTAGAGGGTGTATGAGAAACGTACAAGGCTTTTTTGTCGTAGTTGGGCTACAAATTAAAGGAGAAGTGCGCACGGAGTCATCCTCGTTGAGATTGCATTATCACATGTAGTCACATACCAAGCAGCGTGAATTATGCCCAGATGCGCAACTGCGTGCCAAGTCAGCTATATGTGACATGATATAGGGTGCATATCAAACTTACCATGGAGTCCCATGAGCCAGTGCAGAGACTCAGCGCGTCATTACTTACACCGAGACAGCTGACTCGGTTGTCGTGTCCTTGCAGTGTCCCGACACGCTCTCCTCGAAGTACATCCCATACCTATATTTGAGTCAGTCTCCCTTCCACCGATGTGGGCCAGCCCTACGCACCTTGCACTCGAAGTCATCGTAACCAGCGAACAACAGTCTGCCAGAGACCGAGAAAGCTACCGACGTGATTCCACATACGGGTTCGGGGATCTATGGACCGAAGCGGGTTAGTAATCCGCAAAAGCAAATCACATTGATTCATAATCAGGCCTAACTCACGGTGTAGCTCTGAAGCTCGCGGTCGGCGCGGATATCGAACAGCCTGCACGATGCGTCGTCCGAACCTGTACCGAAGGCGTTTCCATTCGGGAAGAATTGGATGGCGTTAATGTCGGAGTCATGCGCTGCAAAGGTCTGCACACACTTCTGCTGTCGAATATCCCACAGTTTGGCGAAGGCATCACAGGCTCCGGAGACGAATTGGTTGTGATCAAGCGGATTTATGCTCAAGCTCATCACGTCGCCAAGATGGTCGGCAAATTCGTGCACCTTCGAACCAGTCTCCAAGTCCCAAAGCACGCAGGTCATGTCGCCAGAAGAGGTCAGGATACGCTTGTCACTAATGAATCGACAGCAACTCAGGTATCCGGAGTGGCCAGACAACTCGCGGGCAACACGGGTCGGGCCCTCTCGTGCAGAGAGATTGTAGATGGAGCAGATGTTGTCCAGGCCACCGCACGCCACATAATTCCCTGAGGGTGAATAGGCGCAGGTCATGACCCACGAAGATCGGAGGGGAATGGCGTGAACTTTGTTTGTTGTGTATGCATCCCAGATTATGAGCTTCCCATCCTGGGAGGCAGAGACGAGGTGCCGTCGGTCCGTTGACCAATGCATAGCATAGATCTTCGCCAAGTGGCCCTTGAGGGTGCGCTTGGTCTTCATGGTGAGGCGCGGGAGGGCATCGACCCGCTGCTTCGCAACATCGCGAACTGTAGCCAATCTGTTAGCGGAGGGCGCTCAAAGAGGGTTGCGTTGCGATGCGGGACGGGGCCCATGGGTCAGCACGACGTACGGGTTGTGTCAGCCAGCTCGTCCTTCTTCCGTTTTATCCTGTCCTTGAGAGCCTCGGCATCACGGCGGGCGATCTGGATTTTCTGTTGGATAGATTCTGCGTTCATATCGGCCATAGTACAGTGTCAAGAGTCGGGGCGAAGGTAGGGTGTCGCGGAGGACAGCGTCGAGAGGCGAGGCAGGCAAGATCCAGGGGCCTCGCGCAGGGACGCAGCTGCAGCGGCCGGAGACCGAGAAGAGGCTAAGTCAGGTGCGAGCGAAGAAGCAGGCAAGGCGACGGGCGCGCGCAGAGCAACGGCAATTGCTCGCTCGAAGAAGTCGGCGGAGACAACGGGTGAAGACAGGTCTGGGGGAGGAGGTGTTGCGGCGGTTGTGCTGGAGATGAGGTACGAGAGCGGCCTGGGTGAAGCTTGGCCTTTGGGGTCCGTTAGCCGAGTAACGTTGCTGGGGACGCGGAGCGAGGAGGGCTGCTTGTCTGCAACGCCGCGGGCAATGAAAGCAAGAGGGCAGCGACAGCGACAGCAACAGCAACAATGCGGGGTGCAGGTGAGGCGACGCGGGAGCAGGCTGCCGTTTCGCAGTGAAGGAGTGGTCGTGATGGGCACACAGTTCGTGGGGAGTTGTTGCGAGGGCGCTCCTGCCATTCGTAATCTCGCAGGCTGCTGTTGCTCCTTTGGCAAACCTGCGCTAGAAAGAGCGACCCGTTCGAGAAGCCGCCGCTGATTGGCGCCTGCTACACTTGGACAAATTGGCTTTGCACCCATCACAGGCCCGTCCACCGCTATCGAAAGCCGCCTCAACATCACGACCATTTACCTTCAGCCATCGCGTACCCAGTTCTGCTGTTCTCTTGGCCCGCAGGAGTGTCGATCCTCCGTTGCAAAAAGTGACACTTTCCCTCGCTGCTGCCGTCGACGTCGACTTCATCAGGTGAATGCCCAAGATCGAGATATCGTCGGCCTCCAGCCCCCCTTCTTCACCCCTCCGGGCGCCAAGAGAGCTTTGACTTCCCTTTCACGGAATGCTAATCTGTGCCCCGTTTCCAGCTTCATGCTCACCTCACCGGTAGAGTGCCGCAATGATATCTGGGAGCAAAGGCGTGCTCAAGACCCGACGCTGGAGCTGGAGGATCCCCTCATCGCCATTCCTCCAGGGACGTCGATTATGACATTAAAACGTAGGAACGCCACCGCCGTTTGATCTTGTGTTCTAAGATTTGAGATTCCCCAGCTCTGCCTGCAAGCCTGGGTCTGACGTGCATCATAATACGCGCACGTTTTGTGTTATAAGCCAGGTTCCAATTCTCCGATCTCTTTCCTGTCATGGGTTTGCCTGCGCTCCTTCTTTCGATATTGTCTAGCAGTCTGCATATCTCCTTTTGGTGTTTGTTTCTTCATTGCTCGAAGCAGCTAGCTATGTTTTGGAAACCTTCCGCCCGACGTGAAACGCAGAGCGTGATTCAGCACGTCGTCCATGCATGAGACCTGGCCTTGTAGGGAGCAACCGGCTGATGACGCGTGATCAGGTTCTTCCCGCTTTTCTCGTCCTACATATACAGGCTATGCAATAGCTTTGCCACCATAGAGTATGTTTAAAAGCTAGAATCAGCCTCTAGGATGCCATTATACTAATAAGGTTGACGTACAAGCAGATATTTAACTGAAGCAGTCTTGCATGACTTCTAGACCGATGGCGTGGTCTATCTGGAGCTTCGCACCACACCAAAAGCTGTACCAGAGCGCAATATCACGAAGGGAGACTACATCAAGACAATCCTCAGCCTAATCAAAACGCACAACGAGCCAGAGAGCAGTAGCATGCAAGCACACCTCATCTCTATAGATCGGCGGAACACCTCGGCCGAAGCCGAGGAGGTCGTCAACTTAGCTCCTAAATATCGCTCTGACGGAGTAATTGGCATCGACCTATGTGGGACCCGGCAAGTGGGGACGTATGTATTTTCACTAATGCCTCCACACGAGCGAAGGCTGCCGGATTGAAAATGACGTTACATTTTGCGGAGACTCAAGTCTCAGCTACTGACCAGGAGCTGCGTGCGCTACTTTCCTGGCAGCCGGACAGGCTCGTCCACGTGATTCATGCACAGGATGAATCTCAGGAAGTCATTAAGAAGCGTAACATCGGCCTCGACTTGTGCCTGAGTTGTAACGCTCACGCTGAGCTGATAACCGGGGGCTACCCAAACCATCACTTCGGTATGTGGAGGCACAGCGATGTTCCAGTGGTCTTATGCGTACGTCGGTAGTCTCAAACTTAGGCAGATCTCCCATTTACGAGCTTCCAGACCGATGACGTCGGCGTCTTCTCCAGTCCTCTGTCTTACCAGTACTCCCTTGCTGCTACACATTTTGGTTTTGACCGGAAGCAGCTCAAAGAACTTTGTGAACGCGCGATCGACTCTATCTTCGCCGGGCCAGACTAACGTATACGGCTGAGAAGAATCTACTCGGAGTTTACCGGATGGGTGAATTGATGTTTGAGAGGACCGGATTCTGTACAACATTCGAGTTCAGTTGGATCAGACTAGAGGCACCTTTGCTGATCAACTCTAGAAATAGCATCCGCCAACACTGTCCGCCAACGACTCCGCACCGAGTCTGTATTCAAATCAGAAATAAATTCCTCGTATTTGATTTGCGTTGTGAAGCGATGGCACCCTTCAAGACATTTGGATTAGCTTATTCGGCCATAAACAAGCCACTCATGTATGTCCAGGCAATCTCCACAATCTCATCGGCCAAGCCACCACACACCGCTGAATGTCAAACAACTGACAGTTGTGTGAGATGCAACAATGCCATTTTGCCTGGTAAGGTTGAGAGAGATAATCGCGTAATCTTACCTCCAGAAATCTCCCCATTTAATTTATGAATCTAAAATGGGCCACAAAATGAAGCCACAACTAGCGACAAGACCTATCACACGACCTGGTGGCTTTTACATAACTGGCAGAAGCTTGCTCAGCCTTTTAGAAGAGTCGGCTCAGCAGGCCGGAAGGCAGTCGTTGCCCTCTCAGCTGCCTCGTTAAAGTGCATCACCTCATCCGCAGCCAGACTTGGCGTGAACACCACTTCTCTTTTTCTTACGCACTTCTCTCTGACTGGTTCCTTCTCAGTGGCCTGAACAAAATCGCATGTTGGCTCACCTGCGCCACAGTGGCATCCGCTGTTTCCGCTCTCGTTCTGTGGATAGCGGAAATATGTCTTGGCGGTGGAACAGAGCCCATGAGAGTGTCTACGCCACATCCTCTTTACGATGTGGTATCGTGAGCTATTCTCGAGCTGGCGGTGTAAGGTGTTGGTGAGAGGCAAATGTTTCTCAGCCTCGAGAACGCCGTCAAGTATGTATATATAAAGATGCCTTATTGCTACTCCAGTGTATCCCTCATCTAAACAGCAACAACAGTTCGAACATTATCCTCATTCTTCCATCTACTTCTTGTTTCTATTCCTCTTCCAATTCATCTCTCCTCAATCCATTCACTCAAACTTCACTTCAAACCACACCCAAAAAATCAAAATGAAGTTCGCCACTACCATTGCTGCTGCCATCCTAGCATTCACTTCATCCACAGTCGCCGCTCCAGTTTCAGGCCCCTACATCACTCCTGAAACCATATCCATTCACCATGGCTACAACGGCCAGATCGAGTTCAACGTACGTCGGGGCAAGATCCAGCGTCAACAAAGCGGCAACGACGACATCTCAACCCTCATGACCTTCTCCTTCCCCCAGGCAGCAGATGGCAAGACCTGCGAATTCAACTTCGAGCTCAACGACGGCACCTTCAGTGTCACACCCGACGTTGCTCAACTGGACGCCTTCCACTCCTCGCAGTATGCAACTGCCAGCAGCCCAGGCTGGGGACCACCATCAAACTACCGTGACGTCCAATTGGGCAGGCTCGAGGTGTCGAAGTGGGGAGGCCTCGCCCAGCAGAAATGGGGAAGCTTTTCGTTCCCGTGTCCATCAGGGAAAAAGGGATTCGAGGTTGCCCCTACTGGCGATGCGATGACGATTGAGTGGGACTCGCCCAGTGATGGACCATACATTCGGTACTACTAGATGGGCTCGGAATGGTAGATGGTGTTGGATATTCGGAAGATAAGGGTTCTAATGGGATATGAATGGATAGCATAGCACTTGGCGTTGACATCTACTTCGCTTTAGAGTAGATGGGTATTGAGAACACTCGCTGTGATTTGACAGACGGTCATTGAGCGCTTAGGATTGTTTTAACGCCTTTGCTTCTACTTATTGTAATACATAAAACATACACACTATCCTTTGAATTATGAAATGTAATTGTTGTATGCAAAACTTGTCAGCCCTCAGGCCCCTCGGCTCTTGTATGTTCAGACTCAAGGCTCCCCTTTCCTGAAGCCATCTTTGTCTAACTGAGAACGTTGACCAGATAGAGTAATCACGAGTTAATTATCGGACGACATCGAGATCTAAGTTGTACGTCGAGCTCCAGCACCGTAGGTATTGTTTCAGCCCGCCTTCTCCACTATTTCAATCTTCAAGCAGCTAGTGTCTTGTTTGGTGGGAGGTGCGCTGGTCAGTGCTAAAATGTCACTTCCTAGGAGCACCTGCTGCCTTCAACTTTCCCCATCAAAGGCATTGCTGTCAATGCTACTTTTTGTCATGACAATGACAAAGCATTGTTGCTGAGCGAATGAGGCTTCTTCTAGGAGCTACTATGTCTTGTCCGATATTTGAAGCTTGGAGCCGTTGATTTGCAGATGCACGTTCCCGTCTTCTACACCTCAAGATTTGCTTCGACACGGCGCTTCAAATGCAGCCACTCCGCGAATCCATCATGCTGGCTGCCTACGCGGCTTCTTGAGGACATAAAAGCGTAGAGTATCCTCACTTTTGCTACGCCGGAGTTGCAATGAGGTAAGAGTTTGGTAAAAGTGAGTTTCTAGTCGTCGGGTTCACTACACGGGGTCTTTCTTTTGTACGAAGGTGTCAATTCTGCCAATCTCTAGGTGTAGGGAAATTTAGGCTTTGTCAGTGTGTCCAACCGTTAGTACACCTGATAGTACAGTACTGCAGTACACTGATTTTGGTCACGTACGTACGTACAGGGCATCTACTCAGTATACTGTACTATACATAAGGCTGCTGTACTAACTGTTTACAGTAGTTATATAGAATTTTTAGTAGTTTTAGGCAGTTAAAGGCAGGTTGCTAAGGGCTAGGAGGCTTGTGTTTAGAGATTAATGCAGAGAATGCTATTAGTGCCTGTTTTATTAGTAATCTTCTAATAAATTTAGCAACTATGCTATCTACCTTATTCTTTTGCCTATTATAATGTCCTAATTTTTATCCTAATTAATAACGCAGTTATCTTAGCGTGTTACTACCTTGCAGGCTCTATTCTTGTAGGCCTTATCCTTACATGCCTTATCTTAACACTTAGAGAAGGCCTGTATAGCCTTACCTAGCCTATCTAGGCTGTCCTTGCGTAAAGCAACTCCTTTAAAGCATATGCAAGATACCTAGGCTAAGGAGCACCTAAATAATGCCTGCTATAACATTTGTAACGAGGTCGGCACGGTCAACCACGTGGCCTTCTCTCGCTCATAGAGGTTTAGGCTAGGCTAGAGACAACCGCTAGTGCTAGTGCTTACCCTAGCATTACCTATATATATATTATACTATGCGAGAATACTTAGCTTAAGTATTCTCGTGCGTACCTTTTGGTACAGTGGGGAAAGTCGTATAGTATCGGCTTGGCAGGCGGGGCGCCTACCTTATTACAACATTAGAATTACCTTTAAAATTAACATTACCTTAAATTTCCTATTAATCCTAGCAACTTTATGTAAGTGCAAGTAGTGCTTCTTACAGGCTAAAAAGACTATTATAATTAAAAAAAATTAACTATTAGTGTTAATAATAAAGGCTTCTTAACTGCAGAAGAATTAGTTACATAACATTACTGTTACTAGTAAGATTAACAACTATAGATTTTATAAGAGGTATTATAACTTTCTAATTAGGTATAGTTTTTAGCTTTAGTGTAATTACTTTATAATACTTTACTTACTGTATTTAAACTGTACACTAATGTTATCTTCTTTGTATAGTTAGTTAGTAACAGCTAACTTTTTTGTAACTGTACTATACAACCTCTAAAAGGCTCTGTAACTAACGGTTGGACACACTGGGCTTTGTTATGGTGTAGTGGATATGTTTCTGGAGGTTGACTTTCCCAAGAAGCCTATGCCTTCCTTGCCCCAGCGCTGAGTCTCTTTTTCAACGATAACGGGTCACCTTAAGTACTTGCCTAGATTTCTTCGCCAGCGGGCTTGTAATAGTCGTCTTCCTGTCCTTTCCTCCTGATTTCTCGTACCTTCTTCGTCTTCTCTTCCTAGAAAATTCAAGTCTAGGAAATCCTGTCTGCGAAATATACATGCTTCCAGACCTACGCGAACTCAAAAAAATGCGCCAGTATTGGAGTGGGCTGCTTAAGATTTTATGGCTTCTACTTCTCACTTCAAGGACACACTTGACCTAGTGCGAAAATACCACGCAACAAGTCACCTTCGGTTATAGTTCGAGATGCAACGATGCGCAGAGACGTGTGATCGAAGAATCTTTCCAAGATGCAAAGAATTTGGTCTCCGGCCTGTCTACCATTTCGCACACATCGGTCGGCTTACTGAACAATGTTGCCTGATCGACTTGGAGTCCAAGCGATCGCTCAACTTGGCCCAACTACTATTTTAGGAATGATCCGGAAAGTAATGGAGTCGAAGTAGCAACTTGCAACTTCCTGCGGCTAAGAAAACAACCCAAGTGCTCAACTAAAATGCGGCAATCCGTTTGTGCTGGGAACACTAGTTAGCAGGACCGTCACATTTACAAATCCATCGATGGAGAATCAGACCAAAGACGGGTACCCAACATTGGATGTCGAAATTTGTATTCTGTTATACCTTTTCACACCGAATCTCTTAGACATGCTGATAATGATGATTCTGAATGAAGTTCTTTGGTAGTTATATAGCTCCCAGTATTCTTACAGGCCTCACTGAGGTTGTTGATCTGAGTCTACAGAATCGTTAATTTTAAAGATCGTCGCTTTAATTTGTTCTGTTGAACTAACTAACGATCGTTAAATCAAGCCTATAACTATGGACTCCTGTTCTCGTAAGATATGTCCAACCTTGCGTTAATAATATCTTAATATTCCCACTGGCCGATGTGGCTCGAAACGAGCTGCAGCAGGGAGAATCGCAAACCCGCGGTGTATACATGACCTACAAATTGGGCGTAAATGCATACAAAACTATTTAAGCAAGCTCAAGACGTACACTACCACTCCTGCCAATCTTACAAATATACTGTTTCTGATCCACCGAATCCTTCAAGGGTGTAATCGAGAGAGAACTTTTTGTGTCACAGAAGTTCGCCATATTTCAACTGACGTTAGCTTTGATGCTGAGATGAAGTCTTTTCCAGTGTGGAGAACTATAACTACGACCTGATATACTGGGACACTCAAAAGACTAAACCTTTTATTATGCAACACTAGGTCATTCTTAACGTAACGCATCTTATGAAATTCAAGCGAAACGATACCACGAATCTCACAGGTGACTTCTGGCGAAAATCGGAAAACTGGGGTCTCAGAATTTCACCACCTGTCTCATTCGCAAATGCAAGACATCATGGCTGTATGGAGAAATAAAAACTAGCTATAACTACCCCTCGAATTTAAACGTGTCTTGTTCCTGCGACAGCTTGCTTATAGCTCCTGTAGGAACATTCGTCTTCCATGAACAGCCTCGCCTGTCGTTTAAGAATGAAACGAAGGATATCTGGAAGAAGACTAAAGACACAACTTACATGGGGATAGATGGTCCCCTCATGGCAAGAATCCTGGAACGTGTATCCACCGATAAAGAATGGCCCTCTCTGGACGGAATCCCTTCTTCTTTAAGTGATCCTGGACACACTCTAATGTGATACATCTAATCCTCAGACCCGAATACAGAAAAAGGAGCCTTGCGCGCGAAGGTAGCACACCTAACGAAATCAACTTGGATGCTAGACACAAAGCTCTTGAACGATCATGTGGACCAGAGGAATAAGCTTGCGGGTTAGTTTCCGAGAAATCTGAGCAATCATAAATCCAAAGAGAGTAAAGATATACTCCCTTACAGCACCAATAATTGGACCTGCACCCACACCGGACCAACACGTTTAGAGCCTTGCCAAGCATTCGATCGTAGCATGGCCGTGTCTGTGTTTGAGAATGCTTGCAATAATGACGCTTTGGTTGCAGACGTTCTTCTTGTCTTAGCGATATTCTACGGCAACAGAAAAACTATTGACTGGAAGGAGGGAGTGAAGTTGCGCCATATGAGAGTTGACAACACTGGATCACTACACTGGGACAGAATGAGAACAATAGTAAGCAGTCATTCAAGTAGAGGACTGGACCTGTCTCTTAGGCAGCGTTCGCCGGCCTTGCATCCTTTTACCACTTAGCAGAGAAATGATTCGGAATCTGAAAATGACGCTGCGTTGTCTTTGGGAATGATTTGAAGACTTAAAATAAAGGGGAAATAACTATTAATGTCTTATGAGTAATGACATTAAATGAAATTATAAGGTGGTATGAGAGAGGACACATCGAGCTATCATTGTTGTGCTGTCTCGCAGTTAGACGTTCATAACCCGAAAATATTCTTACGACTAAGTTCGCTACGCGTATCTGATTAGGGTATCTGATTGACGGCGGCACCCTAGATGTTAGCCAGCAAGGCTCTACTCTGAGTGAGGAAGTTTGAGGAAGCGAAGGAAGCAATCTGTCTGCTGAAGAGCAGTAACGGTAGGTCGGGGCTCACCCTTAACTTGCTCTTGCAGGGCGAAGATGCGTGTCGTTATTTTCGGTTATAATTCTTATCATGTATCTAAATGCTCGGCTCGTCCATGCCAGAAATGCCTCGTTACCCGCGTAATAATATTACTGTTTCTTGCTTTATGCTGCCGTCCGCGGAACACGTTCGCCTCGCCATAGTTGACAATTTTGTCTGAACTCTTCATCTCGTATCCTGAAACGATAGAGCCTTTGAAATGAACCAACTTTTCCAGGCTCTTTTAGGGGTATACAGCACAGTAATGCGATTCAGACCTACCCACAATGTGAAACTATCGTGATGCTGTGCAATACAAACCGCTGAAGACTTACGTGGTTGAAGGGAACGCGTACGCAGTTGGTCATGCAGTAGAGCCGAAGAACTCTTATTTGTGAAGGGAAGCGTTGCCAAGGTGGCTGTAAAGTGCTTTTTGCTTTGCGGATGTTTCGTTAAGGTTAGGTTGAACCTTGACAGTTCAACTCGCAAACCATGTTTCGCCAAGGGATGCCCTCAGGGATCTCAACCAATCACCATTCACTCTAGGGAGCTGAAAGCGGAGTCAGGCTCCGGGCCCCCAAAACATTGCCCGTGACCTTCGCGCGCCCGCCAATGTTCCGTGCAATAAGCCCTCGTACAGCTTTGAATGGAGTCGATTGACTTGAAAGCTTTGCATAGCAACCCCGCAATCTCGGCCAAACTAATTGATGTTTTTGAACGCGAGGCCTCTTGATTTTCGGGAGGAAAGAAGCCTCGTGATGGACTGACCAAGAAAACATCAATTTATGACATCTAGGCCGCGAGTCGGCGCCACTGAACAAGCTGACACGCGTACGCTCGGACACAAAGCTTGATTGGCCAGAAAGGAATAGATAAATCAATGAGTATCCCCAGGGTGGATGAGGTTTCTCATATTTTGATCTCTTGGACTGTTAAACACCACATCACTTTTCAACAATGGCACGCGCAGTGCTTCTCCTGGTCTTCAGCCTTGTAGCTACGGCTTTGGCACACTCCGGTCACGATGAAGCCACCACCATGATGGGAATGATGAGCACATATACTGGCAGCATTCCGACGACATTCATGAGCTGCGGACACGGAGGACCTGGAAGGAAGAGGCACGATGGATGCGACGACAGCAGTAGCCATCATTCGGAATTCGAGACTGAACCAGGCAACTACTACAGCTATACCTACAGTAGGTTCTCTTCTCCCTGACGGCTAGTTCCTCTTGCTAACGTGCGCCAGACCCCTCTAACGCCCTTTCCTATGGCCCCAGCGATACCGGCAGCAGCGTCAGGGCAACGAGCGCAGCGGGCTCATCCGCCTCCTCAGCTGCTGCCGCATCGTCAAAAGCTACAGGCAGCTCTCCATCTGCTACGACTCAGTCGGGGGCTACCTCTACCCGTCCGTCGGCGCTCCAGATCACTGGAACGGGCGCCGCGAATGCACACTACCCGGAAATTCTTGGAGCTGTCGCGGGTGGATTAATAGCTGGTTTGGCCTTAGCTTGATGCGGAGGAAGCTTCTGGAGGACGTAGCTCTTTGGTGATACCCTAAATGGCGCCGGTTTGGTACGAATAGCACAAGCTATGTGGATGTAACGGCTTGGATAACACTTCTTAGAGATCATGATACAGTAGTAAATACGGTTTAGGGTATATATCCGAGCCCACAGTGGCAATTTCACTTTTCCATGTATAGGAGGCATTGCTGCCAATAACCACTCATATTCAGAGCGACTCGGGTTCGAAAACCTTCGATTCAATCGAACTCTATACTATCGCTTGGCGAGTTGACATCACATGAGTCTATCTCACGGTCCTTCGTTAATAACACGTCTATACTCCGGTCCTATATTTCCAAGCAATTGAAAGACGCTGAGCGAAGAACAAAAGCAGACACAATACCTCGGTCCTCTCTGCACCTGCAGGAAATCTAGACCCTCCACTGGCATATTTCCCAATCACTCCACCAGTCACCTCGTCGCCTGGGCAAAGTCAGCTGGTCACGTGCCCTATGCCATTCACTCGGCAATATCCCGTCTCCCAGGATAATCCTTGGTGTAGATGCTGAAATATCGAATTCGTAGATCTCCACCTCACGTTTAACACCGCCTTACCCGTCCTCGCCATTCCCTTTCTGCGAGTGTTGTCTCTTCCTTGTTTGATTCGATGCGGGGCAGGGATACGAAGTCTCGTCACCAGACTCGGCGACTCAGCCTCCGATACGTTGAAGAGTATATGGCGTCAGTCCACCTATTTATATCACTGCGTATATCGTATCCTTTTTATGTGTTTGTCCGTATAAGGCGAGGACTTTCACGACAAGGGTGCAAGGGAAAGGCAACTCGGGAGCTTGGCGGTTGCTGTTTGACGTAAGAGTATTGGATTTTTTACTTTGAGGATTGTGGAGGTGGTTTACGGAGGTCTCTTGGACTGGTTCAGTTTCACGAGACACGAGAATGGGCTTTTGCTCACCAGCTATGGTTTATGGAATCAGCCACTCAGCACTCGAGTAGGAGCCAGTCTCGTCAGGTCGGGAGATACAGCATGAGGAACAAGACTAGGCAGATGCTTCTTTGGTACTATGATTGGAACTGCCCCTACACCGCCGTCATCCCGTTCTACCATCTGCGAGGACCGGATTTGGATGCATCATGGGTTCAGAGAGAGGGCGTTTGTACTACATCTGACCATTTGACCGTTGTATAAAACCCCCGTTATCCTATCTCTTTCCATCATTCTTCCATCAAACATCAACAGTCAGTTCCATCAACATCTAATACCATCCACACAAACCAACACCAACACACATTTACCACCTCACAACCTCCAACACCAACAATGAAGCTCCTCGCCATCCTAGGCATCGCAAGCCTAGCTGCTGCTCTCGCGCCGCCTCCAGTCTGCGAGCAATGTCGCCCGCTCCCTAACGAGAACAAATGCGACATCACCACGTCGTGCGTCTATGTCTGGGGCCATAAGGGCTCCACCCCGGCACCCTACTACTGCGCATGCCGCGCCGGCTACAGAGCAACGGGATACGGAGCCGACGATTGGACTAAGCAGTGGAGACTGCCATGGTATGGAGGCAACGGAGATCCGAGCCAAGAGGGAAGGGTTTTCGTTAAGCCCGGTGTTAAGTGCGATACCCTTTGTGATTCTTGGTGGTTGGGCGCGAAGGGATGCCAGGAGGTGACGCTTAAGGATAGCTGCTTGTAACCAGCCATTGCGAGGGGATGGTAGGAGAATATGAATGGGGGTGGAAAAAGTTAGGTTGAGGTGTGATGGTACGAGATAAGTTGGAGTGGGATAGAGAAGGGGGTTTGGAATGAGATGAGTATGCGGACACTCCTGTTAGGAACGAAATGATGATATGAGTGGGTTTGAATCAACTGAACTTGGGCTCCGAAAGATAAACATGGGACACGAAGCATTTGGGATTATTTTGGGACTTCGGGTCTGACTTTCTTCACTCCTTTGCTAGTTAATTCTTGAATGATAATGCGTAATGATCACAATAATATCCCAGACAACCATTATAAGTATAATCGTCAAATGAAATTTGTGTGATATGCAGGGTTCGAGGCGTTCTCAAAAACTGTGCTGGTGACTACACCTAGTTTTCCAAGATCGCAAGACTTAACATCCATTTATGCAGCGGTGATAGATCATTTACATATGCAGTGGGACGCCCGAAAAACATGAATTCAACAAAAACCACTAATTACTAATTACTATTAAACTATTTAGCTATATACCAACTTTTGTACCCAAGACGCTTATGCCAGCATTCCGATGTATCAGGTATCATAAAGATCGTAAGAAATCGTGAACTGCATCTCTAAAAGAAATGAAAAGCACAAAAACGTACACATCCATCTATACCCACTCCGCTCGACTCGTCATCTCCAGACCCAGCTCACCGCGTCTCCGCCTCCGAGCAGTTGTATTCGTAACAACATCGCTCTTGCTTCCGGGTTTGGTGGCACCAGTGTCGTAGAAGGATTGACACTGTACGCTTGTCGGCTTCTTGACTTTGTTCGAACTGTAGGTAAATTTGCCGCTGCCGGAGCTTGTCATCTGGACAGTTGAACCACCGGCCATGATTAGGTTCATGCGCTTGACGTCCCCGTTGACGACATTAGAGTGGCAGTTCACGACAATAGAACCTGACTGTCTGCTTTCCCAAGTATAGACATCTACAGTGACGACATCGGCGCCGTTCGGATCGACACTGACAGTGACTGTAGCCTTGCTCTTCTTTGTGGTGTCAGATTTCAACGTAAGAGTAACCTCAAACGTAAAGTCAGTCTTTGCGGTGACACCTGGTGCGGTGAAAGTAGCAGTCGGGGAAGCGGCGTTCTGAATAGATACTGTCGGGTCTGCCGGAAGGGTCTTGGTCCAATCAAAGGTCAAGTCCGAGTTCTGGATACCAGTTGCGGTATTTGAAACTTTGAGGAGGACTTGAGCGCCAACCCTAACGGCTGAGATCGCTGGGGCAGAAGCAACTGGACTGGCATTTGGGTTTGGAGGAGTGCCTCCAGGGGTGCAAGTCTTTGCTGGTGCTGGAGGCGCAGGGCCGGGGAAGGGATCCAAGGGGCCGTATTGCTTCCCGTCTAGGAAATCGCCTTGAACAAGCCCACGAATACCTGCAAAAGCAAATGGTGGGGGCTCAGCGCCTGGAACGGCGACTTCGGGTTGGATCCACTCGGTAACGGGTTGCACATATTGCCCTGCTTTGATGTCGTTTTTTGTGGTGATGACTGGATTGTTGGCTTTAATTATGTATTCACGAGTGTATGTGTCCGCAGCGTTGGTATTAGTGCGGAATTCCCATTTGCAGCGAACATCACCAGCCCTGGGTGTTGCAGACCCGATGTCACGCAGCGTTTCTTCCCCGGTACATGGGTCAACATCGAGGGCGCTGATAGTGACGGACGCACCAGTGCAGCTCGAAAGGTAGCCAATAAACTATATAAATTGTTAGTAAAAATATGGGTTAAGAAGCTGCACACATACCCTTCGGTCGGCCAACTCCACATTGCCATCGGGGTCGAAGACGCCAATGATGGCATCCTCCATGCGAATGTAGTTCGGAACCGTATCGGAAGCAGTTGTGGTGATTTGCACATTGATGGCTGTGATGGCATACGCCCAAATCTCTGCACCATTCTTTATGCCGGCGTATTCAATGTAATCACCAGCGAGGAAAGGTGCCATAGTAAGGGGATCTGGAGCCGGAAAGTTGGTTTGCCCTGCAGGGCGATTGGATGCTGGGCAGCTAGGATCGGATGTGCCTCGGGGAATACACATAGGAAACCCAGAGAAGGCCGTAATACTTGGGTTCGCATCATCGGCCGTGAAGAGCTCGTTGCCGGTGGTGCCTTTTGTGAAAACACCATTGGGATCGTTGATCCTCACAACCGGTCCTCCTCGAATCTTCAAGGATCCATCGGTCGTGTCAACCGTTTCAATATATCCCTGGCCAGACTCAAGGAGGAATTGGGCTAGCTGAATTTGGGCTGCGATAGCCTGACCATTCACTATGTTACCAGACACGGAAACTTCCATGCCTTTACCAGCAACGCCGCCAGCGCACATCTTGGGAAAAGGTACCCATGTCGCTGGGAATTGTGCAATCAGATTCTTAGGGACTTTAATATTGAAGCCGTTGACGGATATGAAACCACCGGAGTTATAGTCGGTAGTATCCGTTGTACAACTGTGAGGTTTATTAGTGACAAGCTCCAAGGCACTTCTGTATGGTTCAAAAAACGTACGAGTCTAGGGCACCATCGACGCCAAAGGAGATGATGTTGGGAATTGGTGTTGCTGCAAGGCTAATTGAAGCTAATGAGAGGACAGATCCGAGCCAAAGGAGACGAGGCATCTTGATGGCTTCTCTAAGTAATGTTTGAGAAGCGAACTCGCGTAGGAATCTGGCAAAGCGAAATAAGGAAGAGGGCCAAGGGAGTTATATAGAGGAGCGCTCCCCTTTACCATCCCTGAACTCAGCTCGCCCACGAAACTTCTTCCAAGACCTCGTATGGACCAGTGCCGCCTGGAGCTTATTCAACTCTAAGGCAGCACCTAGAATCGTCATTGTTGCGGCATAAATGCATTGAGCACCTTAAAGCGCTGACCTTCTAGTCACGACGCTCTAGCACAATATGAACAGGGGTTATGCAAAACACTGGCCTATGGCGTCGGGCCGGCGCTCGCCATCAATATTTCCAAGAACTTTGACGAGGCTTCTCGACACTGGACACTGGCGTTTTTGGATCCACTTGACACCAGGCTGACCCGAAGAATACAAAAGTGGTCTAGCGCCCAGCTGATTGGATAAGCTTAAGCATCGTGCCCCGCGAGCCGAAAGCTTTCAGGCGCATGTTGAGAGATCTCGACTTGGGGAGCATGGCTTGGAGGTTCCCTGGGAACGGTCCACGTTGGCCCATGACCTGGTCTGCCAAGAAACTCATTATTCCTGGGTGAAAGGAGACAGGGGGTTTGGAAAAGACCATGAGTCGATCAGCCGCAAGCGAGAAATCTGGTCGGTGAATTTTTGAAGATCTCAACGAAAAAGAGGTGGGCGATTTGGATCTCTGGAAACTTCCGTCATGCACAATACGAAGCAGGAACCCGATTAGAAACGCAGGAACCAGACGGACAATCTCGGAGTAGCGACTGCCTGGAAGCCGATGGTGAGGGCTGACATAAAGCACAATCTCAACCCCGCAGGCGCTATGAGAAGCAAAACACCGCGGAAGCCCCAAAGAGGACTGAGATGTAAGGCGTACTATTTTTATACATTCCTTCGACACTCTTCAGCCCCGCGGATGCGCTTTGGAGAGAAGGTGGATTTGGCTTGCATAGTGGGGCGAGGACGACTGAAAGTGGCAATGGAAGTGTAACATGAGCGAATCAGGATAGTCTACGTTTAAATCTGACGAAGAAAAGCGAGGGAGATACCGTGTGGCTGGTCCAGAGGCACGTTCAGCTGAGTGGCTTGCTGAACGGCTCTTGGCTTGAATGTTGCCGTGTCAGAGACGCCTCAATTCGAATCGCCGTACTTTCGAACAGTTTTCGGACACCAGAAGGGAGAAGGACAAGTTGGTTCCAAAGGCGTCTATAGATGCTTGCAGGGCTGGCCCATATACATCATAGCCCTTTTAAGGAGCTAGCTCTCGAATAGAAAGCAATTATGGAACAACGAAAGTGGTGGATGAGGCTCCACTGTTGGAGTAGAGGAGTAGGCACGTGCCGCGCTAAAAATGCGAGCTTGGGCTGAATTTACTTGGCGCCAAGACATCCAACATGCATGGCATTCCCCCACATGTCCGCTAGTGGAACATAGTCAACTTGTTCACCACAAGACCCTTACTAGTCAAGACTGTGCAAAAGAAGTGTGCGGCAGAACGCCGAATATCCTCAGAAAGCAGCTTACGACAAATCTACCACTGCTGTGAAGCCTAGGAAATTTCTCCCTACTAAGCCACTGAGTTCCTAAAAAGGTAGTAGATTAAGGCGACAAAAGTGTGTGGCGTGTGATGAAGGATGCGGAGATACGAGAATTGCTTCAATCGAACACGAAAGTTTAGCGAAGCTTCGGCCAATTCTTTCTAATGCTTATTTGAATAGCGTCAACCCAGCCACCCTTACATTCGTATCTAACCTTACAACCCGTCGGCATGATCTCTTGCATGTGTCTTGAAAAATTTCATTGCATTGTTTGGATGAAAACTAAGTCCTCCTCGGAGAGTTTTCATTAGCCCCTCTCTCTTCGTCAGCACAGCGCCACCAGCTCGCTCCAGCCTGCTTTTCTCGCATGCCAAGCAAGCAAACCAAAAAGCTGTAAAAGCATTATCCGAATCAGAGATTTGATAGCGAGACGCCCATGCGCACAAGTCGCAATCAACGGCTCGAGACAGCAAGTTAGGGATCTCTGAACCACGCTTCTGCCCGGAACCCTTTCTTGGCAGCATTCTGGTTGACGCGGGAATTGAAAAACGGGTGCGCAAATTTAGACACAAACGGCTTGCATGCCAAACAAGTGCATATCTGAGACATTCACAGCGCACACTGTCTTGGCGTGAGTGGTGGTGTTCCTTGCCCTCGAGAAGGTTGCTACCAGAGTCAGCTTGAAAATACTGGTATGAGGAAAGCACTGAAAAAATCCTGTTGGGAGAGATGTTTCCACCGAAGTATCAACTAACAAGTACTGGTTGGGAATATAATGAAGAGATTTTCGGGCTGTAGTTGATCACAACAGGGGGTTGTTGGTATGTGTGGGTTGAGAGGTCGTTAATTCGTGACTTTATTAGACAGAACAGTATATTGAACGATTCCACTGTTCAAGGAAACGCGGTGCGGATAGATGCCCACTTCTTGAGCAATTAGTTGAACAACTCTCCACCAATTTACTCCATCACTAACTACTAACCTCACATGGTCGCTGATCAAACTCCTCAGAAACTGGAATGAAGACCACGGCCTCCTCATTTAACCCCGCTGCTCACGACCTTCGTATCTTACTAGTTTAGAGGATAATGTGCCTTTTCGCCTGGGGATAACGCGGGCCGTTCACCACCGGAACAGGCGTAGCACGAGCTTCAACGATATCACGACGTTTAGGAACAGGCGATGCCTCTGTTGGTCCAGAGTATGTCTTCCAGTATCTGTTAAGTGCGCTCTCGGCGTCTTCGACATGAGCATAAGCGTCAAGGCCGACGAAAAAGTCAACCTTGCTCGAGATTTGCGCGTCGCTGAAAACACCGGTACGGGCTTGGTATTCGGACTCCACGAAAGGTTTGGCGCGGTAGCGAGGCTCCATAGGGTCGATGAACGCCGTCTTGTCCGTGTACCCAAGATCAGAAAGAGCTGACACATTGAATGCAACAAGCATCTCGTGATCCTCATGAATCAAGTTGTGGCAATGAAACATGTAAAGACCATCCCACGGTGCATATCGGGCAACAACCTCAACGGTCTCTCCAACGTTGAGCCACATAACGTCCTTGAGAGCAACTGCCTCGTAGGGCATTATCGCTCCTCGGCCACCAGTACGCTTCACCATTTGAAGGTCGACAAGATGTATGTGGATAGGGTGAGACCAGCCGCCTCCTCCATTTTTCAAGCTCCATTTCTGCACTGCACCACGCTTGGGGCGAGCCAGAACCCGCGAGTTGACTTGAGACCATGTTACTCCATTTACTTTCCACTGGGATTGACCGCGGGCAAATTCAAAATTGTGGTCGACAGGAGCATGGGCCGGAGGGAACGGAACATTGCGAAGCTTCGCGGGCAAGCCTTGGGGAAGATTGTTGGAGGTATCAGTGACAGTTTGGCCAACGCGGAATTGCATAACCCTGTCCGTTGCTTCGAAGTCAGAGTCGGCAGCAACACCCCGCGCATTGCGAAGGATAACATTTTTGCCCTTGAAATTGCTGAAATCAATGACAAGTTCCCAGCGTTCAGCGATCGAGATGAAGAAGTTGTCTGTCTCGACGGGACTCAGGAGAAGGCCTGCATCTGAACAGATCATGGTGAACTTGATCTTATTCTTTGTGCCTTCCTGCTCAAACCAGAGGTTATAGGATCGAGAGACACCGGTGTTGAGAAATCGAAGACGGTACTTGCGGGGCTCAACCTGGTGGTACGGGAATGGCATACCGTTACTAACTCTCCGTTAGGAAATGAGGCCCAAGCCGTCGATGTGACTTACACATGGAGAACATCGCCAAAGACCGAAGTTGTCTCGCCGTTTTTTTCGGGGTCCCAAAGCGACGCATCTGAGTTGTACCGCTTGCCAGCGAGGGCAAGGGGAACGTCGTATTTCCCACTGGGCAGACCAAGAGCATCCTGATCCGCGTCGCTCAGAATATAGAAGCCTGCCTGCCCAAAGTAGGCGTTCTCAGCGGTGTGGTCAACCGCGTGGTCATGGTACCACAGAGTACGAGCATTCTGGCCATTGGGGTAGTAGTAGTCCTTATACTGCCCTGCAAAATAGTAAGTCTCGCGATTAAGAAATCATGGTCTTAGTTATATTTACCAACTTCCGTAACATCATCGGCCCATCCGTCGAAAGGAGCCCGGCTGTACGATCCGTGAAGATGAACGGAATTAGCACGGTCACCGTGGTTGATGAACCTCACGATTACCTCGCGGCCTTGGCGGATCCGGAAGGTCGGTCCAGGTACGAGTCCATTGTAACCGACTAGTCTCGTCTTCGGGAATGGGGGTGGGTAGAGTTGGAGGGAGACCGGCTTGATATCAATCTCGTAATAGTCGATTGGTTTACCCGTAGCTTTGGAAGTGAACGTTCTAAGATGGTCGTTAAATAAACTTGGCAGAGTACCAAGAGTCTTGGGATGCTTACTTTTTTGGCACGGCGTCCGGTGGGATTGGTAGAGGAAAAGTGTACAAGGGGTACACTGGACTCTGCCATCCACCAGAAACCAACGTCATAGAGCTAAAGAGAGCCAAGCTGGCTAGGAGCCCAAGACCCTTGACCATAGTGAGCGGTATTAGATATTAGATTATACTAAGTCAAGTCACAACTGAATGTATAAATGCCGGCCTGGTTGAGTTCCAGTGGCTAGAGGAATCTGAATGAAAAGAAAGGGAAGATTGAATGTGGTCAGCTGTAAAGGGAGAGAGATTATTGGGATGATGACGGCCCTCCCTTATTTGAACACAAGTTGCTCGGACTGCCTCCCACTCACAGCTTTGACCCATCATCCCCTATGGGATGATACGAGTATCAGAAGATCGTTCGACGCCTCTTCCTCGCCGAGACCAGCAAGCTTTGTCTTTCAAAGCTTGTGGACACAAGCAGCGGCTTGCGCCGAGTCTTGAGAGCCGAATGAGGTTGCGGTCGTCCTCTGAGAGTGGTCACAATCTGGGATTGTAATCAGAGCCACTGCAGCTTTGACAGTTGATGTGACACTTTCGGTAGTGAAAGCGACGACAGCCATGGCTTACCGAAAGAAGGGTCAGTTAGCGGGGGCTGAAATCCTGCCGTCAATGGCTTTTCTCTGGTCAGTATCAACAAAGCCACTTGGTGGAGAGGCGTTAAAAGGAGTGCCAAGAATGGTGTGGAATACGCGACACTGCATTGAAGCTTGACGACGACTCGTAAAACACTGTGTTTGGGTTCAGTGAAGCTGCCTAAAACAGATATTAGAAGCGACACTGCCGTTAGCTGGCGTCGTTGAAAGTGGGAAGTGACGTGGGGAAAAGGACCATTTAATTGAATTCGGCAAATTCGAATCCTTGTAGAAATAGGCAAGCATGATAGCTTCAAGAAATTCTGAATTCCTCCCTGGGTGCTTCGTTTGGACAGAATAATAGGTGAGCAGGATCGCGAAGCAGTAAACGCGCGAGCAAGGAGTATACGCTTGTTCTCATGTTGTCCAGACGGAAACTTTCGAGAAGTGGTTTGAGGGTTGGAGCTGTTGACCCTTTCCAATATTGATCTGGGCTGAATTGCATGAGCCTTGTTCTATCCGCACGATACCGAACGTTTGCATGGTTCCAGGCCACGCCACGATTCGGCCTCTGAGGGTCAGCTCCCGTTACCGCCGCCACCTGAAAAAGAAAGAAATCTTAACTTGTGCGGAACATTGTTGAACTCCGGTTTAGGTATAGGTTTGGCAACTCTCCAAATTCTGCATCTTGACGGAATGCACTACTGTGCTTGCTGCGTAGGTACGAGGTCAGCTGCCAACAGCCAGTCAGCATTCCCGCATTACTCGTACATACCCTTTCCACTTTCGTCAAACACTACTCGGAACATTCCGCCTACATGAAATAGGCGATAGGCTAGCCAAAACAGCGCCTCCCTTCCTATTTCCCCGTCATTTCTTCCTCCGTAATAGCGAATTTTGTCGTTAAGAAAGGGTGTTGTGGATGGGCTGATAACGAACAATTTCCGTTATCTTCGGCGCATACTAGGAATTGGCGTGAGAGGGCTCTTGCGAGGTGGGAGATGTGAAGGTTGAAACAACCCTCGGATGCTTTAGGGTCGTTCGTAGCCTGGGGGTACGGCTAGGCTTTCATTCTCCCTCTTCCATCACCTGTGTCTTCAATCCATTTCCCTTTCAGACGTTCAGGTTCCCAGAGCATTGTAATCCCTTCAAGTCCCTCCGCAATTACCACCTCGTGAACAACCTTAAATCCCGACTTCAGGTACAGCCCACGACCAACTATGCTGGAATTCAGGGTCAAGGGAATGTTTTCCTCGGTGGCAAGGAGCTGTCCATGTTTGACCAATTTGCCTCCAATACCACGGCGTTGGTGTTTCGGTGACACGGCTAGCATGCTGAGATGCCAGCGGGGGTTAAGGTGGGTGTAGAAGTCATAGTGCCTTGTGTCATTGTATGCTTTGATACGGGTTGGGTCCGAGGCACGGTCAAGCACCTTTGCCTCGTACCAGAGTTCCCATGAGAGTAAATAACGTTCAAACTCTAGACTCGTTGTAAGCTCTCTCACCCTAGGAAAGACGGCGAAACTGCCAAGCATGACGTACTGCTGAAGATAGAATCGTGTCGCCACTTTTTCGAAGACTCATCCGTTCCCTCTCGGACAAAGAATGCATAACCAATAATTTCTGGCTTTCCTTGCCAGCCAGGGTCCGTTTCATCCGTTACGGCGACGAATCCATAGGAACCAACGGACACTAGACGGGTCCGCAGGCGAATTAATTGATATCTCCGAAGATCGTTAGGATACTGATTTCGCCGTGGATAGAGCCAACCGAAGAGCTCGTCATCCACAAATGATTGCTGGGTGATGGCCAAGACCTCTGGTACGTCTTCCCGGGTCAATTGTCTGATGAACATGGTGAAATAAGGAATTAGGTTACGACGATTTGATAATTATCGAAGCATTTCGCATTGCTCGGGAAAAAGGAAAAGAGACTCGTTTTATACCACTCTGCTCCATAACGACGCTCTGGCATATTGTGGTTACATTGGGGTTGCGATTTCGATGAGTCATGCAAAATGAGGCCACACAAATTGTGATCCAGGTATGACTTGTGGACAAGGAAAAGCTCGAGAAGTAGAGGAATCTGTGAAATGAAGGTTAAGCGGCCGTTGATTATTGAAAGAGGAAGAGAGAGACAGGATGCGATGGAAGTGCAGATGGATTTGGATAGAGATATGAAAGAAGCAAGGTGAGAGGTGAGGGGCCGACTACGATTGTCCGAAGGCCGGCAGTGGCGTCGCACAGCAACGTCGCCCCGGGGTCTAATACCCGCCTTCTCCAGAGCACGGCTGGACTGCAACAGAATATGGATGCCCACTGCTTTTATATGCATACAATTTTCGAACGGTGAGTGGATGAGAAGGTTTGCGCGAGTTGAGGGGAAGGGACTGTGAACGCATCTTCGACCCCCTAACCCGATCGAGCACAAGATCACCCAACCATGGGCTGAGCAGTGACCACAAAGGTGGATCCTGTGACAATTCAGTTTGAACAATGGAAAGTTTGGAGGAGATAAGAGTGAGAACGAGATGACTTGTTAGGTTATCGAGCTCAGAGAGCACCGCACAGTGATGCGGTTAGACCGTCTCTACGTCGCACAGCAGCAGCATGACACTAGAGCCTTCAGGAGGCGGAGCTGAACCACCTCGATCCTGCTCACCACTCCATCTTCGCCATGGCTATCTGTCGCTTCTTCCAGGCCGGGCGCTGCTTAAATGGGGAGAGTTGTAGCTTCCAACATTTTCCTAACACCCAGAATCAGGCTACGATTACAGCTTCACCTTTGGCTCTTAACGCAGCTGCGAATTCGTTCAGGCCTTCTCAGGACGGTAATGTGAACACCAGATCGAAGCCTCCATGTACCTTCTTCTTACAGGGAGCCTGCAAGAGAGGTGCCTTCTGCAATTTTGAACACGCAGGGTTGCCTACAGTTGTAACACCCAAAACAGTCTCCAAGGATGCTAGATCCAATATCGTTTGCATCTTCTTCCAAAAAAATGCTTGCAACAAAGGGGAGGAATGCTCGTTTAGCCACGAGATTAAGTCAAAGGAAGTTCACGGATACACTCCCTCCAAAGTTCCAACTAGCGAAGGTCTTGCTCCCTCTGTTTGGGCAAGCTCCCACCCTTTCACTAGCCGAAAGGATGACAAAAGGACCATTGGCGGGGCGACCGTGACTTTCGAAGACGGCGTCTCCGTTGCACAGCTCTCGATGCCTACCGACTTCTCAGCCGTGTCCATGTCCGACATACCTCTCGATACATCTATTCAGGATATCCTTGCTCTAATGAACAAACATGGCTTTCCAAGTCTATCCCCAGATTGTATCCATCTGAAGCGTATTCCAACAAATTCATTACAGACTGCTCAGATTAGAGTCGCAGACCCGGATTTTGCCAGTAATCTCCTCCAGCACTCTGGACCAGTGGTATTTATAGATAATGCCCCGGTGTTTCTCTCTAAGATGCAATTAGGAGGGCAGTCCGAATCCGGCTCGAACAGACTCCAACTGACTGGTGTGATATGTACTTGGCATAATCCTTCTCTGGTCGCATACCTCCAATACGAGGGAGACAGGCAGGCCACGTTGGCATTAAACAATTTCGGGAAGAATAGTTCAAAACAGCTCGATGGACGGAAACTGGAGATCACCTACCATCCAGGCAGTTCTCTCCATGTTAGAAATCTGAACCCCAGCACAACGAAAACAAACCTTAGGAAATTTCTTCGCTTTCCCTACCCCCAGGACATTTCCTTGGGCTCTCGATCTCACAATCTCACTGCGAAGCAATTAGAGGATACAGTCAAGACGTCCCTTGAATCTCATGGTACCCTTATCGAATGGGTCGTGAACGCACAAGCCGGTGCAGGTCGCGTGAAAGCCATCGCAAAGTTTACGGAGGCTGAAGCGGCCCGTAATGCGGTCAAGAAGCTGAACGACACTCTGATTGATCCAACCTCGAATGATAAGTTGCGAGTTACACATCTGATTTCGATCAAGCTATCCGTATCGTACCGTACCCTCACCGCCGTCAGACCTCAACTCGATGCTCTTGGCGAACAATCATGGAAGTCGGACTACGTCACTATTAAGACGTATGAGCCCCTCGGCAAGCAATACACCCAGGTTCGCATCTTTGGCCAGAGCAAGGAGGCCGTAGCTCGTGTCAAATCAGTCGTAGAGAAACTTCTTGCAGGACATGTCGCGGTGGACAATGGTAAACCGATCGCGGATTCTTTCTTCTTTAAACACTCTTCTGCTGCATTTATCGAGGATTTAATGAGTACACATGGTGTCTTCATCAGCCAGGATCCCCGCAAAATCGTCCTCCGTCTCTATGGAGCCCCTCTAAATGTTGAACTCGCCCAAAACGCTTTGGCAGAGAAAGCTACGGAGTTAAAGGAACAGTCTCATATCATTATACTTGATCCAAAGACGTTGAATTTTGCCCTCAAAGGCGGATTTCGGCACATTGTAGCAGTTCTGGGTAAGGAAAAGGTTAAGATGGACATCGTTAGCAACCCAAAGCAGATCATAGTCCAAGGATCCGAAAAGCATCTCGCACAGGTACAAGATATTCTTCAATCCCAGGCATCCCTACCTCTTGAGGCAAGAGTCGCCACCCTATCTTTCGTCGAGGGTGAAGACGAAGAAGTCTGTCCTGTCTGCTGGACTCCACCGGACGAACCCTTCAAAACACACTGCGGCCACATCTATTGCAGCTCATGCCTCGCATCGCAATGCAGTTCCACGGATGCTTTCCCACTCCATTGTCTTGGCGCATCTGCAACGTGCAAGACGCCCTTAAGTCTCCCAGAACTGAAGGAGGTTTTGCCAGCATGCGACTACGAAACCCTCCTCCAAACTGCATTGACCCTTTACATCCGGAGCCGACCAACCGAATTCCAGTACTGTCCCACTCCCGACTGCGACCGCTTCTACAGAGCTTCGCCCACCACGGATCCGCGCGTCTTCGACTGCGACGGCTGTCTCAACTCGATATGCACAGGCTGTCATCAAGACACCCACGATGGCCTCACATGCGATGTTTATAAAGCGTTAGCTAAAGCTGCTCATGACGGCGAAGAAGAATTAGAGAAGTGGAAGAAAGAAAATGATGTCCGAAATTGCCCTAAGTGCAGTGTCGCAATTGAGAAAGCGTCTGGTTGCAATCATATGGAATGTATGGCGTGTGGTACTCACATTTGCTGGTTTTGTATGAAGACTTTTCGTCGTGGTTCTGAAACCTACGACCATATGAGCAAAAATCATGAGAGCTGGAATATTTTGAGAATGTAAGTCTTAAACAGGATGTTAGGAGCTGTCTTGTGGAATGGTTATTCTGGGAAATAATCTACTTGCTTAACAACATGTATGACTTCATTTCTTCTCCTACGCTTAAATTGCAGAATGTCCCCTTTGATATTCATATTTCGCATTTCATGTCCCTAAGACTCGTGAACTCATGACTGTTCCCCAAGATGGTAACTCTCACGCGCTTGGCAAATGTCGACACGATCCAGCGGGCAACTATTCGATTTACTCAACATCTGTCCATTAACCTAATTATCCAAGCATTTTTCAGGGGAAAAGAAACCGCCGTTATTGCGCGCTATGGCCCCCGCGACACCTCTGGAAGGTTTAGTAATCGAGTCTCGATGGTTAGATAGTATAGATTTTACTGAGCTTAATACTTTCCAAGTACGGAGTGCAGAACTTATTTAACGGGATTTGGTTGTCAGTTGGTCGATACTCAATGGATACATCGTTAAGTTGAAACTGTATGCACTGCTCCTCGTCCGCTATATATAGCTTTAAAGCGCTGACTCACCTGTCGCAAACTAAGCATATAGAATCGTGATCGATGCCCTGAGAAGGCAAGTCTTGGCTAATCCAATCATTTACGATGACCTGGAATCCGCCGTGGGCCCTCTTCACGAAATCCTCCATGCTTCGGCGGTGGAATAAGCGGGATAGCAGACTATGCAGCTAGAATATTCTTCACGGGTTAGCTTATGAACGAGTGGTATTTGTTCATTAAAATGGATCACGTCCGGGATATCAGAAAGAATATAGCAATTCACGGCTCCGCACTGTTGAAGAGATTCAGCCGCATGCCTTCGGATATCGATGAGCCGTGCAGGTGTGTCAACTATGGTTACAGCAGTTGCGAAGCCCAGTACAATTTATGGAGACATCCGAGCAGCTATCTTGGATCGCAAAGGATATCATGGAACCGCCACAATGCCGGGGTCAGGTTACGGAAGGGTTCCGAAAGTTCGATCTGTTCAAGTGCTAGAGATGACATAATGACAGTAGGAGCCGGAGTCATTCGAGCCGAAAGTTAAATCTTGACCGAAATAGAGTGATAGTGTCTACTAATAAAGAGTTGAAATTCATGAGAGGAAAAAGGAATGTGCAGCTTAAAAAGCAGCCGATCCGTAACTTGCCACTCCAACATTCAGACAGTCACATGGAAATTAATGGTTGAAACGCATAATACAGTCCAAAACCCAGACTCTAGGAGAGGCTCGAAGATTGATATCCTTATTATAATAATAATAACGAAGATATCTTTCAAACCAAGACATGGGCCTGATTGCCTCGGGGAGAAGGCGGTCAAAGAAAGCAGGCTCAAAATGTAATCCTTCAAGAAAAGGACAGAGGAAAATCCCTAGTCGCGACTCCATCAGTCCATCAATCTGGGTACAATCTAACTGGTGGCTTTCTAGGAGGTACGCATCTTGGAGGTCGAACGGGGGAGCCAACAACTGATAGAGAGTCACACGTCAGCCCCCGAATTATCAAAGGTGCTAAAGGGGACGTGGAGATTAATACGCTAGACTTGCTGTTATTTTGGGAAGCAATCTGACTGAATGGTGAACTCCCGTCGACATAGTTCCCGAAAGGAGATGCGGTGACGTTTAACGGGGGCTGTTGGCGAGGCCTTAGTGTCGAAGGCTGGCCAAAGACGGGAAGAAGGGAACTATCTCTCGCACTTCGGGGTACCGTGTCCTTGTGGAATAGCTAGTATTCGCGAAAAGCAGAATATCCTGTGATGGAAGGTGGGCTTTGTTCTAGACTCTTCTCCGTGAAGGATTGTGTGGCCTCTGGTGTTTTGACGGATACTTCTGAAGAGCCATTCGAGTTTGATATTTCAATCAAAGTCTCAATCTTCTCTAGATGCTTGGCAAGGGCCGCAATGCCATCGTCGATCGGTTGGAGGTAATGCTAAATGTCGCCAGCCCGCTTGCTGGAATGAGACGTTCTATCCACTAAAGGATTGGGCCCTTTCCTACGTTCAGAAGATTCGCAGAAGGCTTGAGACTCGTTTCTATTCTCTCGTAATGGTTCGCGAAAGGCAGGGTCGCTAAACTCGGACGATGCTGGATAAGCCGTTTCTGGGATAGACGGCGTTGCAGAAGGCGTGTATGTAACAGCCTCTAGACGAGCAATTATATCTTCTGCAGAAAGAAGACTTGGCGCTAAGGTGGTAACCTCAAGCTTTTATAGCGTTGATGGCGTTTAGAATAGACTCCAAAGAAAGCTCGGACGACATGGTTGTAAGCGTAGCTGGTGGTTAGAGATGAGGTACCGGGGTTGGAAACTGTCTCAAGAGGCTTCCTGAAAAGACTGGGGCTTTGGGTCAAAGTGAAGTGTAGTGAAGTGAAGTGAAGACTCAAGGGTGACTGATAATCGGGGTGCGAGTGGAGCCTGATCGACGCACGGACGCATTTGAAAGTGGAGTGGTGCATCGACTGCGTCCTCCTCTTTCTCCTCTTTTCTCAACCATCTACAATAGTTTCATTCTCTCGAAAGCCTCCGCAAACTCTGTGCAATCCCAATCCTCTTCTGGTAGAAAATTACCCGTTAACTCAGCAACCCGGGCTTTGATGCGAGCGACACGGCTCTCAATTGACTCCTCTCCAGTACTAGCCTTCGGCGTGTCTAATCCAGAAGGCACAATCTCGAGATGCAAACACTTCTGAAGTCGATCACTCTCAAAAGGGGAGTGAGATCTCATCCATGTAGCGGCAAGGGAAACGCGCTGTTCTCTTGTCTTTAGCTCTGATGCAAGGAATGCAGGTCTCCAGGTGCGGCCGAACTGATTTGAGTTGATAGGAAAGTTGAGAGTCTCCAGCTTGGGGTACCTTTCAAGCAGTCTTTGACTTTTGTCGACGATGTTAGGCCAGAACCGTCTCCTCCACCAATAACTGACAGTATCCAGGTCATCTCCATATATCCTATGGTCGGCATCTGTTGTGAAAGTAATATGCCGCACAAAGGGAAGATAAACAGGACCGAAGCCGACATTGACCATGTACATGCGGAAGAGGTTTCTTCCATAGAGAATCTCACTGCTCTCTACATGCAATTGCCGACACGTTCTCATGAGAGCTATGGAGATGGTGCTGCCTATTGATTGTGGTTCCTGTGGTCCTTTGGTTTTCTCACGAACGACTTTTGCTCTTACACAGTGGCGGATATTGTCAGGATCCGAGGAATAAATGAATATCGCACCGGAAACGCAGAGCGCATTTTCATATATAATGTCCCTCAGCTCACGTGGAAGATCTAAAAACCCCGTGCAGCTGGGGTGCTTTTTCTTAGACCGTGCCCACATAACCTCAGCTTTTTGCTGCTAAGATCAGCGTGGGCGCGACAAGTAATGGAGAACTTACTTGCGAAGCCACGGTGCCTTGTTTTGAACTATTGCTGACAGACTTTTAAGGGTTGTTGAAGGGGAGTAGAAATACAAAGGTGAGGGATCAGGCTCCAAGAAAGATTATGAGGGTGATAATTAGTTGACTAGTCCGTTCTTGGAACGCTTGGATCCTCTCCCATTGATCCAGGCAGCAGCTCAGGCCATTTCCACGGTTCCACCTTCCTATTTTGTCGATTGTCGATCCTCCAGTCATCGTCCATTTCAACCTTCTTCTAACATCTCGCCCTTCCAACTACAAGTCGACCTATTTGAGGCATGGACGGCTTCTCGAGTTTCCTATAACTGTACGCTCTCCTTATCCCATCCATGCTTCCCTCAATTCCTAGAGCCATAACATGTGAATCATCCTATCTATCTTTAATCTCATAATAACTGAAGAGACTAATTTTGAGAAGGAGCGCTAGTCGCCGCAACGGAAAACCCGCCTCATGCGAGCCATGTCGAAAGAACAAGACTCGATGTGACCATGCGTTTCCGAAATGCGACCGATGTCGCCAACGCGGGATATCGGAGAAATGTTTCTATCATCCCGCTCCGCTGACAAAACCTCGAGGAACCCCGGGTGCTGATTCTTCAGCTGATTCGCCGAAACAGAAGAGAAGGTATGAATGCGTAGTCTTATTATATCAGCATTTTAATCAGACGTACTTACGCTAGCCGGGGACAGGCAGCTGAATGCTGAAGCTCGAAACTCGCAATTCCCTCTGACTGGGAATGGAGCAATTCTCACCTCCCGATCTCAGGATGAGTGCTTTGTTGACTCTGTAGCAGCCCAGACCTATTGCCCTGGGTACCTAGGGCCGACCAGTTATGCCGCCATTCTCCCAAAAGAAGATGAGTCTTCGCATTCGGGCGCCCGTCAAGCTTCTATTGACTCCGACGATTCAAATCATGAGCTGGCTTACCAACACCCTCTCACAAAGACAATGCGTGTGCAATTAGCGAATAATGTGTTGAGAAGCCTGCGCAACTACCGACTGATTCAAGATCTTATCCTTCTTTATTGTGAAAATAACCAGGCAGGTGTTGTTGCTGCACCCTTGTATGCAAATGCGGTCAATGCACTTAACAACACCGTCGAAAACTACAACCTCACAGATTCTTCACCGGATCCTCGACTGGTCTCAATAGTTTTAGAAAACACAAGCCAGCCACTTAACATAGGACCTTCAACCCAAGCTAGTGAGTTTCACGGAATGATCACAGGCGATAATCTACGTCTCGAAATTATTGGACTCTTGCTTGCCTCCGCCGCTCGCTCGATGATGTTTGGTCTGGGGCCTGACAGCTGGAGCGACAATAGTCGACGTGAACTCCGACCTCAACTCTTGGATGAGATGCTTCGATCTAGTACCACATGCCTTGTTCTCTGCACCTTAATCAGCCCAGCGAATGATGTTATGATCTGGATGTTTTACGAGAACCTTTTACTCACGTGCGTGCATTGCGGTTACACTAGTAAGTCACTCCTTCATCATCATCGCTTTTTTCCCTTCCAATCTCTTGCTTATAAGCACAGGCCCCCAGTCCTGGCGTCGGTTAGGCGAGCTGTCAACACAGATATACGCCTTAGGCATCCACAAAGAATCTAATTGCTCCAATCTCCCCCTCTTCATCCTCGAAACACGCCGCCGACTATTCTGCGCTGCATACAGCATGGACAAAACTATCTCCACCTTCCTCGGCCGACCTCCAAGGCTTAGCAATCGCCACACCGACATCAAACCCCCACTCGACCTCTCCGACATGGACCTAACCGCCGACTTAACCACGGCTTCCGCCGCTATAAAAGCTCTCGATCCCGGCGGCTGGAACCAACACCACCTATACCTCCGAACCTCCTGGATCCGGCTCCGCTTTTACATGAGCCAATACCGGGAAGAAATTCTAGACTTCGCGCTCTCAAAACCCGACGCCGGGGTCCAACAACAACTCCTCGATATCTCAATCCGGTGTCGCCAATCATGGGACCGTTTACCTCCGCATTTGCGCTACTACCCCACCTGCTGGGACGATTCCCTCCCATATGGCGTGTGTCTCATGCTTGTCATTGTATACCTCACATACTTATACAACGAATTCCTGGTCCACAAACTACTCGACCGTACGCCTCTGACCTCTAACACCCCACTGTTACTCGTGAGTATGGATCTGCTATCCACGGCGCTAACACTCGCCACGGTTCGCGATCGTACGTACGAAATCTTGTTGTACGGGATTCCGAGCGGAAGCGTGTTGGTTACTGCACTCCAGGAACAACACCAGACGGGCCAGGCTTTTCCGACGTCGATCTCGCGCTCGGAGATTATAAGGACGCTGTCGGTATTGATTTCACATTTGGAGTCTGTGGCGAAGCCGGGAGATGGGAATTATAGTCTTTGTCGGAAAGCGATGAAGGCTTTCACCCGGGTCATCGACGCGGTCTTGGACCCAAAGCCGGCGGCTGAGGTGCCTGCTACTAATGCGAATACAGGAGAAGAAATAGAGGGCGATTTCGACTTTGAGATGGACTTGAGTTTGTTTCAGGCTCCAGGACTGGAGGGGTATGATGGGATGGATTTAGTTGGTGGTGGAATGTATGATGGGGCGGATTGGGGGGCTATTGGACAGCGGGCTTTTTGATACAAATAAACTTGCGGTTTGGCTGGCCAGCTCGGCGAAGTGACCTACGGGCCATGTACATGCACATGGTTTGTCCACTCGAAGTAATTTGACACCTCATAATTTGCAAGACAGGATTCTGTATTCTGTACAAGATCTCACCACCCCCTATTCCTTCCCTCATCCGCAGCCGGGCACGTACTCCCGACCGCACTCAAGCACGAAGACATACCAACTTAGGGTAGCAATCCCATGCCCACTATCTCGTACACAAACTCACACCGCATGTCATTTCCATCATCCAAACACGCATAGGCATAAAATAAACGCCGTTCCATTTCCCTAGCCTGAAGGGACGAACGCAGTCAAGACAGAGAGTAAATGCTCCAGTCGCCCCATGATGCAAGCCCGGCCCACCTCAAAAAGTGAAGTTCATTCATGAATGCCATTTCCTCATGGTAACATTGCACATTAAAACACCAACCACCTGGTTCCATGATTACCCTGTAGATTGGACTAGACGTGGACGTAGAGGAAGGTGGGGTGCTAGACGGATTGGTAGAGCAGGAGCGGTTCTCCTATATTTTCTATTTCGGGTATAGTGCATTTCAGGTCGAATGCTTTGGATAGGACAATCTTAAAGATCTAGAGGAAGATTAGATAAACGAGATAAGGGAGATTATAGGGTGGGGAGAAATGCTTACCTTCTGCACGTTTATGCTGTGACTTGTGCTGCTGAAGATGAGGCTGGCTTTCATTGCTTTTGCGAATCGTTTTGCCTACGTCACTCGTAAGTCGCATTGTTTAGAAGTGGCCGCAAATGGGCTTACCTGACTGGAGATCTCCTCCTGCTCTTCTCGGGGGAAGTTGACGAAATGGTCGTACTTTGTTCCCACCAAAAACGGGATGGCCGTCTTGTTGAACCCTCGTCCTTGGCGGTACCACTCCTTGATCGAATTGAGAGTGCTCTTCCGGGTTAGATCAAACATGAACAATATGGCAACAGCATCGTTGCAGACCAGCGGAAGCATGTTGACGAATTCGCGCTGGCCTCCGAGATCCCAGATGGAGAAGGTGATCTCCGTATTCCGGATTGATATGGTCTTCTCCATGAAGTTAACACCTGCTAAAGTTAATAGAACGCACACAGTTTTCTTTAGGGGCACAACCGACCTAATGTCTGAATGTAGTCCTCGTCCCAACTGCCCTCGACGTACTTGACCATCAGACTTGTCTTGCCGATCTGGGCATCACCCACCATGCCGACCTTGATCACAACGCTGGTATTCTTGGTCGCAGCTTCCTGCTGTCCCTGCGAGTTCCGCTGGTTCTGCTCCTGGTAGGTGACCGACCGGGCGCCGCCTTCCGAATGCGGATACCGATGACCTAGATTCGAGTTCGGCCGCGAGTGCGGCTGCCCCATCTGCGTCTCCTTCCCACTGCCGTTGTAGTAGCCATGTCGCGGCGGGGTGTCTGCGTCGGACGGAGTGTTGAAGCGCGAACTGTACTGCGCTTCCGGGTTTGTCTGCGAGTAGTGGTGGCTGAAGGACGTGTCCGAGTACGATGTCTGCGGTCGGTGGTCGCCGTTCCCATAGCCATTCCCGTAGCCATTGTTGTGCATGTCGGGCAGCGGGCCAACGGTTGAGGCAGCGATGGTGGTGTTCATGCTGTCGTCGACCTCCATGGGCTGGTCCATGTGTTTCTGCGCTTCCTGGCCTTCCTGGCCTTCCTGGGTCATTACAGTATCTGGCTGGGTGTCCATGGTATCCATCGCGAAGGCTCTACTCTGTCGCGGTATGCGGACTGGAAGAGGGATGATGTCTCTCGGTGGCTGGCGAATAGGAGGAATAGACTGCCGCAGTCGCAGTAGGCGCTGAGCGTTCGGCCGCCCCGCCTCGACGTGGTTCAGATGCGACGCGTCAACAGCAGCAGAGCGTGTCGGGTGCGGCTCTGGTCATGCTCCGCGGCTTGGAGACAGCGGCTTGCAGCAACTCAGGAGCGGATTGACCAGTCTAGGATAAGGCTGTGTTGATTATTTTGATTCGATAGCACGGGCAATCCACGACGACAGGGATGGAACTGGGCGTCGAGGGGAAGGGCTCGGCCTTGGCACCCGCCACTAAAACAAACCGTACAAACACCAAAAAAAGTTTCGACCACCCCGCCGACACTGGCGTAAAACCGTCTTTCGCCGCGCACCAATAATTTTTGCCGATATGTCCAAGCGACCGGCCGAGCCCTCTGAGGAGGAGCTCGAAACTGTCAAAAATGGCGACCGACCCATGGAAATCGACCAGGACGAGGCCGGCGAGTTCGAGGACGAATATGAGGACGAGTTTGAGAGTGAGGATGAGATACTCGAAGCGGGCGTAGACGGGCGGCCCGACGAAGAGAGGGAAGCGGAGGAGCGAGAAAGTAGGCACAGGACTTACAACAACCCGTATATCAAATTGGTTTATTGACTAGAGCAGGCGCCATGGACGTCGACCAAGGCACATTCATGCCTGGTCGCCACAAGCTCTCCGCCGGCGAGACCCTCTCCCCCGATCTCTCTGCCTACGAAATGCTACATACCCTCGAAGCGCCATGGCCATGCCTCTCCTGCGACATAATACCCGACAGTCTGGGCTCGAACCGCAAAACTTACCCCGCGACCGTGTATGCTGTTGCCGGCACCCAGGCCGCACGAGGAAGAGACAAGGAGAACCAGCTCATGGTCATGAAAATGAGCAGTCTGTCGCGAATGGAGAGGGACGACGAGGAAGAGGAAGATGATTCAGACGACGAGGCCTCAGACCCGATATTAGAGACAAAATCAATACCCATGAACAGCTGCACGAATAGGATACGCGCGCACCAATGCCCGCAGAGCACATCCGCAAAGCCCCCTACGACACTCACAGCCACAATGACAGAGTCAGGCCAGGTCCTGATACACGATATAACGCCACACCTCACTTCCTTCGACACCCCCGGCACCACCATCACCCCCGCACAGAACAAACCAATCTGCACAATCCGCGCACACAAGGCTAATGAAGGTTATGCCCTAGACTGGTCGCCCCTGATCCAGGAAGGCAAATTGATAACAGGCGACACGTCTGGCAAAATCTTCGCAACAACAAGAACCCAAGGCGGCGGCTTCGTAACCGACACAACCCCCTACACTGGCCACCAAGGCACAGTCGAAGAGCTGCAATGGTCGCCCACAGAAAAGCACGTCTTCGCATCCGCCTCCAATGACGGCACAGTTAAGATCTGGGATGCGCGATCAAAATCTCGAAAAGCAGCTGTCAGCGTGCAAGTTTCGAAGACTGACGTGAACGTCCTAAGCTGGTCACATCAAACCGCGCATTTACTCGCTTCCGGCGCAGATGATGGCGAATGGGCAGTCTGGGACTTGCGGCAGTGGAAACCCTCGACTTCGCTAAGTAACGAGAAGAAGCCTTCGCCGGTCGCCTCCTTCACTTTCCATAAAGAGCAGATTACGGCAGTGGAGTGGCATCCTACAGACGACAGTATTGTGCTTGTTTGTGCTGGCGACAATACACTGACGCTTTGGGATCTGGCGGTGGAGTTGGATGATGAGGAGAGTCAGGATACGGCGGGTGTTCAGGATGTACCGCCACAGCTACTGTTTGTGCATTATATGGAGCAGGTCAAGGAAGCGCATTGGCATGCGCAGATTCCGGGGACGGTGATGGCAACGGGTGGATCTGGATTTGGGTACGTGAACGAAAGACTTTTAATTTCTCTTGGAGTGACCACTAACAGTCCTCAGTGTATTCAAGACAATTAGTGTGTAGAAGTGATCGACCAACCAACACCAGTCAATTTCAAAGCCTCCACCACCATCTTCTCCTCCTAGATTGATCCTTCAGTATTTTTCTTCTTGGTTTACCTACAGTGGATTATATAGGCAGCCTAATGTCGTCCCCTGAGCCTCGTACTTCTTCTAACGCCACCCTCCTCATCCTCATCCCTAACCACTCTCTCCTCTCTCCTCTCTCCTCCTCTCCGTCTCCCTTGCAATAAAACTCCTCCTACCTCTGCCCAATTAACGCTATCTCTAGTTCTTTTGCATTTTCCCACAGTTCTTGCTTCTTGCACGTTGGCACCAACATGGCCATGCATACTAGAGTAAGCGGATGCCCCTCTCCAAGTACCTAATCCCTGATTTCTATCACCCTAGTTCTTTATAAGCAGCGGCCAGAATAACCCTACTATTTGCAAGGGATCCCGTCATCTGCCCAGGTAGCCTTATTCTCGTATTCACTGCTTGCACTGCTAATTCTTCGGCCATTTCCTATCTCCTTTGATTGATATACCTCGCTGCCAAATCATCAATGGCCGTCAACGGAGAACTATTCTCGTCAAGTATTGTAGATATGATGTCTGATGCGTTTCCTGGGAGATTTTCCACGGTTAACTGTACGAAGAAGCTCTTTTGCTGATGGTCTGCCTTTGGCAGCTTAATCTCCTCGACTGGAATCGTGATGCTGCCCCTTGGTGCTTAAGGATAATCTTCAGGATACATATTCCCTGCACTCGGTTTTCTGTTGCAGCTATAATCATCTCTTCTGGGATTGCAGTAATTCCCACACTGCTCAAGAAGAAGTTCTACTATCTATTTCCTATCTACATTTCTTTCTGCAGGTATAACGGCTTCGTCAGAAATTTTAACCGTTCTTGCTTGCTGCTTCCGGGATCTTGCTACCGCTTCCTCAGTGCTTAAGAAGCTCCATCCCGTCTCTTTTCCACATTCTTGCCGGCACTGAAATTGCTTTACCGGAAATCTTGATATCGCTCGCTCGATGCCTAAGAAGAAGGTCTAATACTTCCTCCTCCTTTTTCTACTGTTCTGCATCTATGAATGCTTCTTCCGGCATTCCGGAATCGCTCCCTTCGCCCTCATGAAGAGATTTCATCATGTCTACACCATCCCTTGCTGGATATTTCCATATCTGCTCCATCATTTCAATTCTATCTCCCCTTTGTCAAGAGTAAAAGCTCCACAGTTTTCTTTCCGCTGTTCTCGGCGGCTCTGACCACCCCTTTCCCTCTTTGCTCACTAAAGAGCGTGACTATTTCTTTTCCAACGCGCTTGTTCCTGATTGCGGTCTCTATCATTCCTGTTGTGATAAGAAATTTATCTCCGTGCTGCTTAAGGAGAAACCCCAATACTTCCTTTCCACTTTCTGCTGCAGCCTCTACCACTTTTGCTGTGATAGGAAATTCCTCTAGTAGTACGTAAGGAGAAACTCCAATATTTTCTTCCCACTTTGCGTATTCCCTGCTGCAGCTGCTAACATTTTGCCTCCGGCTGGGAATCTCCTTGGGTGCAGCAGCAGGAGAATCCCCATTCCTTCTTTTGCCAAGATGCATTGTATTCCAATGCGTGGAGGTAGGTAAGAACCCAGCCTTTGTATCACATCGAGGATTAGAAATATCGAGTAGCGCATAAATCATATCCCGGGGTTAGTAGCTCAACTTTCCTTGAACTTTACAAGAAGAGTGTAAAGATTTCGTCGTTCACTCCACCGGGAATCTTTGGGCAATGGATCTGGCATTCTATCCAACACAGCTTCGCAATGAGACTCTGGTTTTACTCCACGCAAGAACGGAGCAATGGAGAATATGCGCGCCGAGACTTTTTTGGTACGGTACAGACTACAGCTGCCTTTGCCTTTGCGACTTCTTGCAATATCCACACCGCTTTGAACCAGGGATCCTTGAGTAGCGACATGAATGCTGCACACTGGCGCGTCACTAGATCCCAGTGTTCATATATTCGGCTGAACTGAACTGTTGACAAGAAATCCATCTAGCACGGATCTGTACACACCCAGTCTTTATGCGCTTACTTGAGGCTCTCCTTCTGCAATGCCTTTAGAGAACCTATGAAGAGTCTTCTGCCTTGTGTCACCGGGCCTAACCAGCAAGTCTCGCAGCTCGAGAATATATATCTCTCACCTACTGGGCCTGGTGCCCGCGCTCCTTCTCGCTCCCTTCATCAATGTAAATAGCATCAACCCAAATTATCTGGTCCGTGTCTTGAGTCGCGCTAAATAGAGGTTTTGCGTAGCGTAAGTAATAAGTTCTACTGTTTACTACGATGTGTTCAGACGATTTCAGACTTCCTTAGGTATACAACAAAGCCTCGTAGGAGATGGGGTCGTCGACTTGGAACTCGGGGTGAATGATCCCGCACTTGATTTCAGACGTTCTAGCGGAGAAAAGTCGCATCGGTCAAAAAAAGGTCGTCCTAGATCGAGAGGTTCATATTAGAAAGCCATCATTGGCTTCGGAGGGAAGTTCGGTATGGAGCAAGGGAGAGTTCAAACACTAATAAGGGTAGAACGAGACAGTGGGTGGTTTGCGAAGGTTTGATCAGCGGGACTTCTCAAAAACAGTTTTCACTGACTTAATATGAAAAAGTACATATTTCTTATCAGGTGCGGAGCGAAATGTTTCTTTGCAAAGTGTAAGAATGTTGATTGAAGCCTACCCTCAAGAGCCAAACTTGGGGAGGAATAGTAACAGACTGGTGAGACGCATGAAAAGCGGGAAACAGCTAATACATAAAGCGGCAAAAAATAGATGTCATATATTAGCCGGTAACCCTGCCGCAAGGATAGCTAAGCTTGTGCTAGAAGTATGTGTTTTGCAGACACACTAGCTACAGAAGGAATTCTTTGGCACGTCCTTTTACATGTGTGAAGTGGACTCGCTCTGCAGTAAATCAGCCTGCGTCCCAGTACCGAATTTAGTGTTCACTGTCAAGCCTCTGTTTTCCAAGCTGGCTGATCATTGCGTAGACTGGGATGTGAATGGGGACTGGCTCGGGTCACGCCAATGGTTCTACTGAAATTTAGGTACGGAAACCTATCTAACACCGTAACTGTCCGTACGCAGCAGCAGCGTCGTGGCCTGGATACAAACAATCGCGCACGAGCAGGATCATGTATCTATGTCACATGATGCTTGTGCGCGAACCTCTGTGCGCAAACATCTAGATATCCCTCTTTTTCTCTGTATAAAGGAAAGACAAGAGCAATAGAACTAGAAACATGTTGCCTTTACTTTACCTACTTTATATACTATGCACACTATACACTACTTTTACTTTTACTACTTAAGTGCTTATACTATAAGTAGCTAGCTATTAGAGCTTATTTAATACTAATTAGTAGTTAATTTAATTAACTATAAATTAGTAAAAGTAATAATAAAGTACTTACACTTTATAAAGTACTTTATTTTATTACTTATTTTTTAGAAAAAGTAATAGTAAAGTACTTATGCCTTATAAAGTACTTTATTTAGTTACTTATTTTTTAGAATAGTAAATTAATTTTTTACATTATATAGTAAGCTTTACTACTATATAAAGTAAAAAGAAGATAGTATAAAACACACACTAAAGCTACTAAAGCTGTATAACTTAGTAGCTAGATAATAGCACATTAATCTTTTACATTATACAGTAAGCTTTGCTACTATATAAAGTAAGAAAGAGATAGTGTAAGGCGCACACTAAAGCTATTAAAGCTACATAACCTAGTAGCTAAATAATAGTAGTACTTATATAATTTACTAAAAAAGTAATTAACTATACTATTATAATAAAATTTTACTAGTAACTAACAACTTTATATAATAATAAAAAAAATAAAAAAAATTTTTTATTATATAAATAACTTATAAAAAATATAAAGATATTAAAAGTAACACTATAAAATAAAACTAGCCTAAAGTACTAAAATAATAAGATTAACATGTTAAAAGCTTTAATAAGCTTATAAACTTAATTATATATAAGTTATATAATTACTAATTTACATATAATAACTTAAAAAAGCACTACTTTTTTAAGTATATATATAAAAAATTTTAAAAAATAAATACTATAAAACTTTTTAGCACTTAGCTGTGTGTTTAAAAGAAAGCTTATATAAGTGCTAAAGAATAAAAGAATTACACTATAGCTAGGCACTAAAGGTACCTAAGCCTAGAAGCTATATAATATAGCATAAAAAAAAGTAATTATACTAAAAAGGCTTTATATATAACTTTTATTACTATATAAGGCTTTATATAAAAGTAGACTAAATATAATGCTACTATTAACACTAAATATACTAGCATTACTTACTTCTACACTTTAGCTAGCACTACACTAATTACTGTATAAATAATATATGCTACCCTACTTAACACCTGCTCTACACCCTTAATTATACACACTACTGCCTGCAGTAGTGTATACACTACTAATACTACCTATATAATCTATACTACATTACAACTTATATAAACTTTTACTTTAAAGAAAAACTACTAAAGAAAAACTCTTAGTAAATAAAATTATATAATTTTAAAAAGCATAAAAAAAAATAACTATATAAGTTAACTATATAACATTTTTATAAATAAAATAAAAATTTTTATTAATTTATATTAATAGCTAGATATTTAAAAAACTTAGTACATAGACATCTTTCTAAATATTTTAAAAAGTTAAGTAAATATGTACTATATGCATAATATAAGCTTTAGATATAACTAGAAGCATTTATATAACACTTTAAGTAGTTACTTTAACACTAATGTAAACTATAGCTAGTACTAGATAAACTAAATAATAATAACTTTTATATAATACTAATAAAAAAACTTTAATAAAAGTTTATATAAAGTTTTTAAAATAATAATTAATAAGCTTACACTTATATAAAAGGCACTAAAAATAAAATTTTAAGAGAATGTTTTACTGCACACTACTATTATATAAGCTTATTAAGAATAACTAGAACTAGAACATACTATATTTACTATTAAGCCTTTATATAAAGCTTTTATTTAGTAACTTATAAGCATTACTCTAAGTTACTATAGACTAAAAAGTAAACTAATACCTTTAAAAACTGCCTAATGTATACTATATAAACTGCTAATACAACTTTACATAATAAAAAAAAAGCCTCCCTTTGCGCAGAAAAGAATAATGTAGAAGATTTTTATCTAGGTTTAGGCTATAATCTAGAGACAACTGTACACAGACAAAAAAGTGCTTTATCTGCTATAAGAAAGAATGTTAGTTATTAAACTACTTTTATAATAACTATATATAAGCAAAGAACTAGTATGTTGCCTTATATAAAGATTTTTATAATAAAACTTTATTATATAAAGCTATTACTTTATATATTTAAGACTTTAAAGGTTACTTTAAAAAAAATAATTTACATAATATAAAGAAAATAAAATAAAAAGGTAAGAATGCTAAAAAAGCTATTAACTACTTTACCTCTACTACTTATTTATACTATGTAATAGAAAAGGACATTTATAGTATTAAACCTAAAAAATATGCTAAGCAGTTTATCCTTAATAACTAATACTATATAGTATACTAAGGCAAACTATAAAATATAAGCGTAGTAAAGATCTTTACTATTAGTAAGTTTTAACTTAAAGTGTATATATAAAAGAACTTATATATAAAAATTAATTAGACACTTAGCTAAATAAATATTAGCTTTAAAAGCTAGACACTAAAAAGATTAATTAGTACTATATAAATCTAGAACCTAATTAGTCTAGTTATATACTATATTTTAAAAACTTTAATACTATTTTTACTATTACTAGTAAATGCTAACTAACTTAGAGCATACTTTAATAACATTTTAAATGTTATTATATATAAAGATAAAACTACTATACTTATTATATAAAAATAAGGACACTTTTTTTTTAATATTAGTAAGAAAAAATTTATATTTTTTTTTACTAAATTAAAACTTTACTACTTTTACTACTAATTTAAACACTTCTACATAAAAAGACTTTAAAAGATGCTAACTAGCGCTAGCTATAACATTAATGCTATAGTACTAGAAAAGATTAAAAAGTTTTACTACTTTTACTAATTATATAACTAGGCTTTATAAAAATTTAAGTTTATAATTAAAAATAACACTTACTTTAACTATAAAGTTATTATTAATGTTATATAAATTAATAATAAAAATGTCTTACATGTTATTAATATAAATATATTATTTTAGGCTGCTACATTTTTAAAATCTATGTCTATATAAGATACCTAAGATGTACTATGTAAATGCTAGATTAACACTTATTAAAAACTTTTAAACTACATTATACATAACCCTAGTATAAACTTTACTTTAGAGAATTTTTAAGCTTATGTAAAGATTATAAAAGCTATATATAAGCAGATGCTTATAAAAGTATATTAGGTAGTTAGAAAAGTTAAGCGCGCGCACACACCTTTCTAATAAGTGTTTAATATCCTAAAGACTAAGCTAGGTAACTATACAGATAATAAGGCTATCTTATAAATAGTAGTTAAAGCTTTAAACAACATAGCTAGCCTACATAGTCTAGTACCTACACTGCTAGTTTTTAAAGTATACTTAAAAATTAACTTAAACTTTTTACTATTACTAGACATTATTGCATAAGCAAGTGCTATATAAAAGGTAATAAAAATATTTTAAAAAAACTATGTAAAAGTAAACATTAATTATATAATTAACACTTATAATAGCTTTATAATATATAAAGTTCTTAACTTTTCTTTTTGCTTAAAGATTATAGCATAAAGAGAGAAAAAAGGCTAGACTAGCTTATATAAAATTAAGAGCATTAAAAGAAGAGATATTATTATTAAAAAAAAGAATAGCCTACTAAAGCTCTAATATACGCAGGTTAAACTATACTATAAAAAAAAAAAAGACAATTTACTTATAATAAATAACCTAGATAAACTAATCTCTATATAAAAAGATTTTTTAAAGAAAAAGAAAAAAGAATAGCCTTATAAAAATATTATAAAAGTAGAACTAAAGCCTACTATAAACTAAGCCCTTTAGAATAGCAATGCTGCACTAGTGTAAAGAGAAGATATAGATACTAAAAAAAGTAAAAAGTAAAGAAAACCTGCATAAAGTCTAGACTAGGTATTTCTAACTTAAAAGAAAAAGAATAATTAGGCTTTATCTATTAAGCTTTATATAAATAGTGTAATTACTACACCTAGAAAACTATTTAAAGAATTAGACTATATAAAGATAAACACTTTAATTACTAATAGCACTTTTAAAGTTATAGTGTATAACTTAATAAGGCATAAAGGTTAGATTTTTAACTTTTACTTTATATAAAAAGTAAAAGGCAAAACAACCTAACTATATAAAAAATCCTGCCTAGTGTTT